ACTCTACGGCACTCTCCGGCACTCTGCGGCAACTCTCCGACACTCTCCGGCACTCTCCGGCACTCTGCGGCAACTCTCCGACACTCTCCGGCAACTCTCCGGCACTCTGCGGCAAATCTCCAGCACTCTCCGGCACTTTGCGGCACTCTCCGGCACTCTCCTGCACTCTGCGGCAACTCTCCGACACTCTCCGGCACTCTGCGGCCCTCTCCGGCACTCTGCGGCAACTTTCCGGCACTCTCCGGCACTCTCCAGCACTCTTCGGCATTCACCGGCACTCTGCGGCAACTCTCCGGCACTCTGCGACACTCTGCGGCTTTCTGCGGCACTCTCCGGCACTCTCCGGCACTCTGCGGCAACTCTCCAGCACTCTCCGGCACTCTGCGGGCCTCTGCGGCACTCTCCGGCACTCTCCGGCACTCTGCGGCAATTCTCCGGCATTCTCCGGCACTCTGCGGCAACTCTCCGGCACTCTCCGGCACTCTCCAGCACTCTTCGGCACACAAACACTTGAAAAACGCTCGAGAAACGCTCGATAACGAGCGAAAACACTCTAAAATCGGTTGAAAAACGTTCGATAACTCTCGAAAACGCTCGAAGAACGCTCAGTAACGCTCAAAAACGGTCTTAAAACGCTCTTAAACGCTTGAAACCGCTGTGAAAATGATCGAGAAACGCTCGAAAACGTTCAAAAACGGTCGAAAAACACTCGATAACGCTTGAAACCGCTCTGAGAATGATCGAGAAACGCTCGAAAACGCTCGAAAAGCGCTCGATAACGGTCGATAACGCTCGAAGACGTTCGAAGACGTTCAAAAACGCTCGATAACGCTAGTAGGGAAATGTAAAGATCATGCGCGAAATGACTCAGCTTATATCCGCAGTTAGGTAAGCCTCGGGAGGATTTTTCGCAGTTTTCGAATCTCATGTATACTTGTCGAGTGTAGCGCCGAATGCACACATACTCAACGTATCGATCCGTTGCTTGGCGCTTGACTGATTGGGACGCGCGAAGATTTCTAGGAGCGATCGCACTGACACAGATTCGCTGCATGAGAGTTCCGTACGCGACACCGACGCGTGCCCCAAAGCTTCGCATCACGTCGACTTCGAGGCAACAATGTACTTAATAGTAGTAGATAAGTAGATAAAGTCAAATGGAGCATCACGAGTGTTCTTCCCTTACCATCAAAAGCGAGCAGTATCGGTAAGCGTAGGTAAGCCACCACCGTCAACTGCCGCATGGTATTACCATCACGAGTACATGAGCCGCCAATGACGACTGGTAGATGGTACCGCCATCGTGAGTGCGCGAGCTCCTATCAGATATTCGTTGCGCCGCCCTTGGGGCCAAAAAACGGTGAAAGCTAACGTACGAAACTAGAGGGCAGCACAGGATGCGATCGCACGATCCTGCCCGTAAGCAATCTCCCAACTCATCTCTGTTTCTATGTTGCTATGTATTTCAGTGGACATTGCTCACGGGCACGGTCACGCGATCATATTCTGTGCTGTCCTCGGTGGAGAATGCGAGCGGCTCGTGCACTTGTGTCGGGACCGGGATGAAGTTCAGCCATCGACCACCAGGGGCGTAGCGCGCGACGAGCGCGATGCGTTCAGGACGGGGCAAACTGCGTTACCCCATGTTACATTACTGTACTTACCTGGAACGAAAAGACGACTACGTCGTAAAATGTTTTAAAAACGGTTGAAAATCGGGGAGGAGACTTGGTGAACAATTCTAGAGCGCACGTGGAAGTCCGCTCCTTTTTCTGTGATAATAAAGCAATAACTATAAGTAAAGTGTTAAAATATATTTGACAATCCCCACACACTATCTGTTCGCAATTCGCACCGTTCTTTGCTCGTTATTCTTAAAATGACAACTAATCGTCCAATCAGCAGCCAACAAGACACCAGCCAGCAGACAAGACAGCCAATCAGGAAGCTAAGATTTTGGAACAACACTACGCTACCTTACCATTGTTCATACGTGTTCCCCCTTACTTATTCCAACACTACCCCTCTGACTTGGACTCCGTTACATTACTTACGTCCATGCTGTCATATATTCCTACGTCCACGGCGCAAATCGTTCTTAAAGTCAGATTTATAAATTTGACATCCATGACGTATGTAAACGTAAATTGAAATCAGATGAACCAGCGTTGCAGCTTTTCCTTCTATTGTGTTGTATTGCGACTGTCGTACAAGTTCGAAAAGTAGTCGTACAGAGATTTAACGCCCAAATTTGTTTGCGGGTGAAATTACTTATAACAAATGATAAGAGATAGTGTACAACTCCGATTGTAAAACGAGATCTTAAGTTTCATTATATGATTTGAGACGGATATAGATACCTAATAAACAATTATGTAAAAGATGAATTGCATCTCTATAATTTATAGAGTATTATAATCCAGTACGACATAGTTTGTGGCCTTAAAAATACTGCATAAGGGTCAGTGAAACTATATCTAGTATTAAAATGAGTGGCAAAATGAGATATGATTCACTTTCGACGGAATATTTAAAGAGGAGCAGCACCAAAAAGAAAAGACGCAAGAAACCTTCGTCAAATAGTTCGAGCGAGTCTGAAGTTGATTCACGACATAAAAGTTCTCGAAGGAAAGATCGAAAGAAGAGATCGAATCATCGCCACTCTTCGAATAGTTCTAATTCGTCAAGTAGTTCTGACAGTGAATCGAACATGGAAAAGAATTTAAAGGCAAGAAAAACTCGTCTTTCCAAATATTGTCATAATGGAACTGAAATTTGTTCCTTCGAGAGAGCTATAGTTTCAAGGCATGGTAGAAGCTGTAGCTCTTCATCGGAAAATGATGAGAAGCACAAAAAGATACATAAAAGAAAGAGACACCGGAGTCACAAAAAGGATAGTAAGTTTAATAAAGGAAGCAGTAATTCTCTTAGTAACACGATAAGTCATGGTAGTAGCCGTTACCATTCAAGCAGTTCTCGTAACAGTAATATTAAAGATAATGAAACTGACAAAAGAAATATCATTAAATTGATGAGATATATGAATGAAAATTTATCTGGTTTAAAATCTAAAGATGGCTGTGAAGAAATGCAGAGTTTAAGTCATGAAACGAGAGAATATTTGCAACGCATTGGCCAGCTAATTGCAGAGAAAACAAAAAAGAAGAGGTCTCACAGTAGTTCGTCGAGCTCAAGTAGCGATAGCGACTCGAGCAGTAGCACTAGTAATAACAGCACTACCACCAGTAGTAGTAGTAGTTCAGAAGAAGAGATAAAACGTAAGAGACGAAGAAAATCTGCAAAGAAAGTCAGGAAGACCGAAAGTAAACAAAAAAAGAAGAAAAAGAAAGCAAAAAAAAAATCAAAGAAACATTCCAGTAAAGACCGAAACCAGAAGCCTATTGATATTTTAGACGACAGGTTACTTAACGATATTCCTAAAGAAGTTGATAAATCAAAAACTATGGCTCCAATGACGAAAGAGGAATGGGAAAGAAAACAAAGTACTATCCGAAGGGTCTACGATGAAGCATCTGGTAGACATAGGTATAGATCTTAGTTCTTTAGTCCATACTGGTATTATCTTTCCTAAACAAAAGTATTCCTTAGGTGAAAGTAATGGGAACAATTTTATTTCAGATTAATAAAAGGTGAAGGTGAGGTCTTAGAAGAAATTGTGTCTCTACGTCGTCATAAAGAAATTAATCGTTTAGCAACATGCAGTGACGGACAATTTTTTCAAACTCAGTTAAATTTTAGAAAATAATACAAATAATGAATACCTTATTGACAGTGGTTGGCAATGCACAGTAATTTATTATATTTCATTTTGTCCTTAGTTGGAATTTAATTCAGTATATTACTGAATAGAACTTTATTTTTATGTCAGAAAAATGTATTTACAATATGTTTGTTGCATCTCGAACCATGCAATCAAGTATTTCCCAAAAATGTGCATTTTATCTTATAGTATTTAGTGACCGATATATCAATGTTGCTATGTATTTCTTACTGAATTCTCTGAATTATTGGTATTTTTATCCAGTTTTGAAAACTCTGTCCTTATTTTCTCTAGGAGGTAAGAATAAACAATGATTAACGCGTGTCTAATTTAAAAATAAGGTCAAACTATCTTTGTGTCATGCTAGTTTTTATAGTTACACAAATAATTTTGTATAAATTATTTTAATATCACTTTGAACCATTGTATGAGAATTAAAATTAAGATTGTATTGTCCTGTATATCGGGTGTATGTCATGCAAATTGTATGTGTCGCATTACAGAGTCTTGATATTGTCCAGATTGGTAACACGTACCTAATTAATTGGCATAAATTACATTGCATTTAAAATCCAACCGATAAATAATTGGGTCATACGAATAACTAATCGACACGTTTGGTTGGCTATTTTTTATTTAATTATTACAAGTAAACTGTACACTGTAGAAAAGAAATTACAGGGCATTTAAACTCCATTTTCAACTAGGGTAATGACGTATAAACCATGGGTACGAATTCTGTTACACCCTGTATATGCAACTAGACAAAAATAAAAAAAAGAAACGTCAATAGTTATTCGTAGCAGGCGACAACGAGGCATCCTTATGAATTGACATGTAATTCGCCGGCACGTGGAGATTTTTTGTTGGTCAGGAACTCCAAAATTATACATTCGACTTACGAGAAATCTCAGCAGATTTTTCTTTAACAATGAAGGCATCGACATAGACAAAAAGGGAAAGAAATTCAAGCAACAATGGAAAGTGACATCGGAGATCCAGAATTTGATTGGATCAGTAGAACATGTCTGAATGCTTTCAACGTATACCTAACGATGGTACACTTGATAATTTATGACAACATAATGAACATACAGGCCAATGACACTAGTGAGAACATTATCCCAAATTAAAATCTAATACCAATGTACATAAGTGTCTAAGATGAATAAATAATGTATTCAATTATATATTTTAGATGCCTTATCCTATGCAATGTTCATGGCTGTAGTGGATTTCCTTGAATACGCGAGCATGTGAAAAATCTCGAAGAACATTGAATACCATCATATACACGAAAATAAAATATTTACGCTCGATTTAGGATTTTGTCAAGTCAGTCGTTTTTTATGTTTTATATAAACGTAATTTCAATAATGACGTCAATATATGGTATCTGGTTGCAAGTAAGTCTTCTTGTATCCGGTTCCGTAGCTCCTTTCGTAGTAATCTCCGTATCCTTTTCCATGGTGCCTTTCCGGGTATAGAATCTCTCCTCCGGGATAATACCTCCGATTAGGGTAATATCTGACACAAGAAGAAATTACACGTTAAGCGTCAATTTTTACCCGCGTTCGATAAAAAATCACGAACAATGTTCAGATCAGATCTGCGAGAAATAAGTTCTTCTAAGTCATTTAGAAATTTGTACTGCACTTCGTCTCTACCCTCGAGGATGAAAAATATTCTTTTGGGGATTTCTCGTCTAAGCGAAAGCGAATCGCAACTCAACGAGGCGAGTCTTCGCTGTAACAAATGGACTTCCGCTCAACCTTCCTCGTTGCCGACCACAAATCCTATACTAAATTCTGTAATCTTAAGTCCTTATAATAACTAATATTACGAAAGGTATAGTCACCTGCCACGTGGTGCCTCGTGGTCATAGCGATACCTGCGAGGCGGTATCCGGGGATAATAGGACCCTAACTAATATTAGGAATACTTAATAATTAATATTACAAAAGGTATAGTCATCTGCCACGTGGTGCCTCGTGGTCATAGCGATACCTGCGAGGCGGTATCCGGGGATAATAGGACCCTTACTAATATTACGAATACTTAATAATTAATATTACAAAAGGTATAGTTACCTCGTGGTCATAGCGATACCTGCGAGGCAGTATCCGGGGATAATAGGACCCTAACTAATATTACGAATACTTAATAATTAATATTACAAAAGGTATAGTCACCTGCCACGTGGTGCCTCGTGGTCATAGCGATACCTGCGAGGTGGTATCCGGGGATAATAGGACCCTAACTAATATTACGAGTACTTAATAATTAATATTACAAAAGGTATAGTCACCTGCCACGTGGTGCCTCGTGGTCATAGCGATACCTGCGAGGCGGTATCCGGGGATAATAGGACCCTAACTAATATTAGGAATACTTAATAATTAATATTACAAAAGGTATAGTCACCTGCCACGTGGTGCCGTCATAGCGATACCTGCGAGGCGGTATCCGGGGATAATAGGACCCTAACTAATATTAGGAATACTTAATAATTAATATTACAAAAGGTATAGTCACCTGCCACGTGGTGCCTGGTGGTCATAGTGATACCTGCGAGGTGGTATCCGGGGATAATAGGACCCTAACTAATATTAGGAATACTAAATAATTAATATTACAAAAGGTATAGTCACCTGCCACGTGGTGCCTGGTGGTCATAGTGATACCTGCGAGGTGGTATCCGGGGATAATAGGACCCAACCCCATGCGAGGCAGGTGCATAAGCGTAGTGACGGTAAGGATTTTCCTGCCGATAATAATAAATCTCGTTGCCGTTCCTGTCGTAAAACCTGCCAACTCCATCGCGCAGGTTACTTCTCCGGTGGTCATAATATCTATTGTCGTCGTATACCCCTTGACGGCCCCGATGGTCAGAGTACCTGAAGAGGCAGAACACATTATTGAACCAAAAAATAATAAAAAGGGAACGAAATTTACTTTCATAGGCACAAAATTCAAGACGTTAATTCCATTCCAAGTTAGCTTTCGATCTCGTAGCTGCGTTCTTTAAGGTGATGTGAAAGTGACGTCGAAGAGGTTTCGTTTATAAAACTTTTCTCCCAACTCGGTTTACCGAATAGTTCGAAACTTTACAACGTGAATAGGGAGACTACAAGGAAGGTCCTGAAACTCACGAGATTTCAATTCTTTTCAAATTTGTTTATAGGTATTTTAAAAACAGTTTATAAAAAATGAAATTCCGTGAGTTTCAGGACCTACCTTAGGGTCTCCAGATTCACGTTTTAAGGTGTGAAACGATTTGTGACACCCAGTTCGGGGAAAAGTTTTATGAACGAGTGAGCTTTCGGATGCCACTTTTACATCCTCTTAACGCGTGGCACCTCTACCGAGAAGAAGGGAATTCTTTCCATCGATATTTATTTATCAACGGCGAATAATGTATTACCCAGCGCCGTTGTCGCGGAGCGCATGTCGGGCCTTATCTCTCGCGATAAAGGCGCTATCATGCCTATCGTCCCTGAAATCGTCCTGGGCCCTATGGCCGTAATAGCCGGCTCTGTTATCGTGCCCACGATGGCCCTTCTCGTCTTCGCTGTCGTCGTAAAAGCTGACTTTGTTTTCAGACTCGTCCTTGTGATAGTTGTTGCTGAACCCGCTTTTATGGTAACCCTTTTTGTACTGGCCCTGTCCGTGACTTTCGTACGAGTTGCTCCCTTGGTCGGCCGACTGTCCGTGCGCTGCCGTTTGCTTGTCGGTCCGGATGCTCTTTTCAGATTTCTCCTTATCGTCGTATCGAGCCGCGTCCTTTTTCTCGCCGTGAGATTCGGATTCGGCCTTTTCGAATCCCGAGTTACCTTGCTTTCCGGCTTCGCCTCCTTTTAAGGCCACGTATTCGGCTCCGGTTTTTCTTTCGGTTACGTCCGATATCGAGACACCGGATTCCAAAGGTCTGCCATCCGCTGGGCCCTCCCGATCGCAGAGACAATGCTGAATCAGCAACAGCAGGAGACATTTCCCTCCGAATGACGGAAACATCCTGGTTGTCGTTTCTGAAATTAAATCTTGGTATCACTGATGAAAGGGAGAGAAAAAGTAAGAAATACCAGGAGTTAGAGAACTCCCACGGTCGCTTGCACCCGCACCGGCAAAACCGGCCTTGGTAATAATGTCAATAAGGGAGAGTAAATAAGTTACATTGTTTCTGGCAGAAAAGTAGGATTTTACCAGTGCGGGGGCAAACGGTGTAAAACTTTCAGCGTGCGATCCAATTAAGGTGGTATGGAAGGGTCATTCTATTGGGTTGGTGCATAAGTTCGTGCGTTTTTTTTTTTTGTAACTAGTTTTCCTAGTTCAGAAAGACGCACGAACCTATGCACCGACCCAATACGTACATGATACGTCAAAATATTGATGAAACTTTTCTCCAAACGCGATGCTCGTGGAATTTCATTTTTCGTATAATAGAAAAAGAACACGTGATCTTGGTTCCAGTCTAGGATAAATGAAAGGAACAAGTCTTTTTGAAAAATTAAATTTCACGAGCATCGCGTTCTTCCTTAGAGCGTCCATAATCACGTGTTAAAGTCTCCAACGATTCGGTGCACCCAGTTTTAAGAAAAGTTTTATAAACATTTTGACGCTTTGCATATATAGAATGACCCTTTCATATCACCTTAATATCGTAATTTTTTATTCTACGAATATTCACACGTTGAAAAATAAAATTTCACGAGCATCACGTTCTTGTTTAGAGCGTCCATAATCACGTGTTAAAGTTTCCAACGATTCGGTGCACCCAGTTTTAAGAAAAGTTTTATAAACATTTTGACGTTTTATATATATATAGAATGACCGTTTCATGTCACCTTAATATCGCAATTTTTAATTCCACGAATATTCACATTTACGAATTTACAAAAAAAAACTTGGCGCGATACGTATAAAACTTGTACAAAAATGGTACATGTTAAATTCATTACCTAAGTATGGCAACGCAAGGCGGATTGTCGCAAGTCACTCCACCTGGAGGACCCGCAAACTCTTATAGTCGAAGAAGAGGCCTCGATTGGGCCCTCGCGGAACGAAACGCGTCCTGCGACATGGAGGGAGTTCCGGAAGTCGACCTTGACATCTTGTTGATCCGCAAAGTGTGATTCCCACCCTGGGTGTCGTTCCCGATGTCAACGAGGATGACGACCTCGGAAAATCGCGGTCGGCGACCGCCATTTTTCTGCCATTTGATACATCGGTACGCGGCAAAGTGATTTCAATAATTCCCCGAAGTTAAGGTGAAGTGAAAGACCTTTCAAATCAGTCGATTCGAATACAACACTTTTTTTGAAGGGTATTAGACCAAACTGTCCGAAACTTTGACACATCACTCCTGATCATCTAAGAATTGTCCTGACGCATTCAAAATTTGGATTTTTGAAAAGAATTTTTTAACGCAGCTCAGACCAGAACCAAAATGGCGTCGATCTCTCATATTTCGATCAGTATATAATTATCGAAGGCTCTGATATGAGAATCGAAAGGGCCAGGACAATTTTACGACAATTTAGAACACTTTGATAGTCGATAAACTCACATTTGAACGGGATAAGGGCAAAAAAAAGTGTTGTATACGCTTCTATGCTAAAACGATGGTAATACGAGGTCTCGGAGTGAAAATGTAATTGACCTGGAAATCACAGATGGCGCAGAGGGTCCCTCTGCAGTCAATTAGGGCCCCAGAAAGCATGAATCAAGAGGATTTCTAGTTTTACTTCGATTTCTTGATATTTATTGTACGAAAACGACAAGTGGAGTATGCCATTTGGTACAATACCCAATATAATTCGGTATAGCTGTCGATATAAAAACGAACGTCGGCAACGTAGGCATTTAGAAAAATCTTCATTATCGACGTTGATCAAGTTAATCGACGTGTTTCACTTCACCTTAAGATGATACGAAAGGCGCCGAGAAATCTAATCGAGGTTGATAAATTATAATTCATCTGTACCCTTTTTGGCGGTAACGTCATTTTGAATACTCAAGTGATAACATAAGCTGGGGCGTCCCGTTACCGACATATATATTTATGTTGAAGTCTTTTGTAGTCCACGTTGATAATTATACGAACTGAAGCGTTCCATATGTCATTTCGGTAAGGTAACGACGAAGAGATCGACGTAAAGCTGTCGAAATTCCGGGAATTCATTATTCCAACGACTGTTTAGGACCAACGTCGCCATCTGTGATGTTTAGCTGCAACTAAACTTTTGCTCTAAAAATGTGTATTAGCCACGAGACAAGTCAGCATTCTCTCGCGATCGTTGGTGAAAGTATTTTCCATATTTTCCCATATGACTTTGTAATATTCCATTTCTACGGAGTTCCAAATTATTCGAGCTAGGTCCTTAAACTCTTGATTTTCAATTCTAAGCATCCAAGAAGCATAAAACGTCGAAAACGTACATGGGCCACGCCATGTTGGTTCCAGTCCTTACCTTACCTTAAATACATGAAATGGAGATAATAATAAATTGTGCCTTCTCCGCAAGACGCAAGAAAAAAAAAACAGAGAATCCACATTGGCCGCCATTTCGGTACCAATTCTGTGTGCAGTGTAACACGATTGATCTTACCTTCAATTTTGCAGCGGTTACTCAATTTCCAAGCAGTCACTGATTGTCACTCAATTCATGGGAGGTCGTTTGATTGAGATGACATTCGATGCCCAATTCTTACTTTGCATTTCATTTACGACAATCGAGGTTGCTGTCCACTCCTCGCCGGCAAGTAATTGTCGACCAAAATGTTCTTTACATAAACTTTTACCTATATAAGGTATCCGTCTCTAGTAATTTACCATCAGCGGTAGAAAGAAGTTGAAATTTTCAATTAAAAGTTCCTCTTTCACTTTTGGATGATTACTTACCGAATTATTAAAAAATTCAAATTGACCCATAAGACAGCGCGCGACCGGATCATCTTCAATGTTTAATAACTCGGTAAATAATGGTCTGAGCCAAGAGTGGAGGTGGGACTATTATTTCAAAATGCCATTTTTTATATCTCCCTGAGACAGATTGATCAATGTATACGGGGCACTCTGAATATTAGATGTTAGCATCTGTGAAGGAAATTCCATAGTAAAGAATTGAAAGGGAAGAGTGATAGGTCGCTTAATCGAAATAGGAAAAAGAAACGGACACAGTGTCGGTGTATTGTAAAAAATATTCAAAACTTATATTTTAAGTCGTCTCCGGTGAAACATTTTCGATGCGGAATTGTACAAGACGCAGTTTACCGTAGTTGTAACTAAGTTATGCTAAAACGTTCCGGATGGGGAGGCGAGGATACTTCCTATCGAGGTGCACTGCTGCACTGTGGTTGTGCGCGCTCCAAAAATATGTTCTAGCGTCTCTCTAAAGTTATTCTACCTGTCTTCCGCTCGCCCTCGCTTGTCGACTTGTTTGGATCGCTTAAAGAGATTCGTAAGTGACTCAAACGATACACGTTCAACCGAGTAAAGCAGTTCCCCCGTAATTTCGGAGCCGATTAAATGCAATCACGGAGATCCTTTACCAATCAGTCAAATATAATTAAACGACCAGGTAAGAGTAAAACAATAGTTGTAATAAAATTAAAACCTTACGAGGCTAGAAATTTTATAAAATTGAGCAATCTTCACCTTCAATCATGGAAGTATGTCGAGTTTGGCCCACGTTAAGGTGAAGTGAAATATCCTTCAAATCAGTCGATTCGAATACAACACTTTTTTTTAAGGGTATTAGACCAAACTGTCCCAAACCTTGACACATCACTCCTGATCATCTAAGAATTGTCCTGACACATTCAAAATTTGGATTTTTCAAACAAATTTTTTAACTCAGTCCACACCAGAACCAAAATGGCGTCGAGCTCTCATATTTCGATCGATATACAATTATCGAAGGCTCTGATATGAGAATCGAAAGGGTCAGGACAATTTTACGACAATTTAGAAGACTCTGGTAATCGATAAACTCGCATTTGAACGGGATAAGGGCAAAAAAAGTGTTGTATGCGCTTCTTTGCCAAAACGATGGTAATACGAGGTCTTGGAGTGAGAATTTAATTGACCTGGAAATCACAGATGGCGCAAGGGGTCCCTCCGCAGTCAATTAGGGCCCCAGAACACATGAATCCAGAGGATTTCTGGAGTTTTACTTCGATTTCTTTATAATTATTGTACGAAAACGACAGGTGGAATATGCCATTTGGTACAATATCCAACATAATGCGACCCAGCTGTCAATATAAAAACGAACGTCGGCAACATAGGCATTTAGAAAAATCTTCTTTATCGACATCGACCAAGTTTCTCGACGTGTTTCACTTCACCTTAAGGTGAAGTGAAACGACGTCGGTAAAGAACATCCTTCCAAATACCTACGTTGCTGACGTTCGTATTTTGTATCGAGAACCGTGTTGAATTATACTGGGTATTGTACTAAATGGCGTACTTCACGTATTGTTTCCATATAATAATTACAAAGAAATCAAAGTAGAACTCCAGAAATTCCCTGGATTCATGATTTCCGAGGTCCCAATTGACTGCAGAGGGACCCCCGCGCCATCTGTGGTTTCCATGTCAACTAAATTTTCGCGCCTAGACCGAATATTACCACCGTTTTAGCGTAAAAGTGCATAAGACATTTTTTCGCCTTAATCCCAATCAAATGCGAGTTTCTCGATTACCAGAGTGTTCTAAATTTTCGTGCAGTTGTCCTGCCCCTTTTATTTCTCATATTGGAGCCTTCAATGATTGAATATCGATCGAAATATAAGTGCTTGACGCCATTTTGGTTCTGGTCTGGGTAGTTAAAAAATGTTTCTTCAAAAATCCTCATTTTGAATGTGTCAGGATAATCCCTAGGTGTTCACGAGTCACGTGTCAAAGTTTCGGACAGTTCTATGCAATACCCTTTGAAAAAAAAAGTGTTTTATTAAAATCGACGGATTTTAATAAGTCACGGGCTTTCGCATCACCCTAACGTTTCGAACAGTTCCTTGGAGAGAATTCGAAAATTCGTGGAGAACCGCAGGATCGGTTAGTCGGCTCGGTAAAAGTCACGTACGAACCCCGTCGAGTTACTCGTGTAAGTCGTGTTAATTGCATAATCGCACGAATCGCGCAAATCATTCGGCGCCGTCCATGCCGTCGCGCTAATTCGCAAGCACATTCTCACAATCCCCCTTCTTCGCGAGCAAATCGCGCGCGACGTGAACACGCCCTGGCTCGCCCGCGAGCGCCGCCCGGAGGACCCGCCGGCACTTGCGGCTCTTCCGTGCCTGTTTCTCCGCAAGAGATAAGGCTAACAAACGCCGGAAGCATTGACTATGACCATCCCGGGTCTATCGGCGAGGTCGTCGACGTACATTGGGGCGTTCCAATGCAATAGAATGCTCAAAATGTTAAATTTAAAGAATTTTAGAAAAGCACATTAGGTGGTTAAGGTGAAGTGAAACACGTCGATTAACTTGATCAACGTCGATAAAGAAGATTTTTCTAAATGCCTACGTTGCCGACGTTCGTTTTTATATCGACAGCTATACCGAATTATATTGGGTATTGTACCAAATGGCATACTCCGCCTGTCGTTTTTGTACAATAAATATCAAGAGATCGAAGTAAAACTCTAGAAATCCTCTTGATTCATGCTTTCTGGGGCCCTAATTGACTGCAGAGGAACCCCCTGCGCCATCTGTGATTTCCAGGTGAATTAAATTTTCACTCCGAGACCTCGTATTACCATCGTTTTAGCATAGAAGCGTATACAATACTTTTTTTGCCCTTATCCCGTTCAAATGTGAGTTTATCGACTATCAAAGTGTTCTAAATTGTCGTAAAATTGTCCTGACCCTTTCGATTCTCATATCGGAGCCTTCGATAATTATATACTGATCGAAATATGAGAGATCGACGCCATTTTGGTTCTGGTCTGGGCTGAGTTAAAAAATTCTTTTCAAAAATTCAAATTATGAATGTGTCAGGACAATTCTTAGATGATCAGGAGTGATGTGCCAAAGTTTCGGACAGTTTGGTTTAATACCCTTAAAAAAAAGTGTTGTATTCGAATCGACTGATTTGAAGGGTGTTTCACTTCACCTTAAGTTAACGATACATTCGTACCAAAAATATTGACACCTTTTATATCCGTTGCTATAGCGAAGACACAAAGTCGTCAAAGTTAACTCTGATACCATTTTCAAGGTATGCCGTGTTGATTAAAAAAAAAAACAATTACAATTGTAATTAACATCATTGCGTCCGTCTCAAATAAAGGTATGCAGATCATATGTAAGATAAATTTGACTTTTCATGTATAGATAAATTTGACTTTTTAATGTATACCTTTCCCTTAATGGACAGATACACGCACACACAGTTATAATCTATTACAGCCAATTACTTCGGATACAATTTGCCATTATTCTGTGCAGAGACCCGCCACCTCTTTATTCCAGTTTAATGACGTCACCCGTGCGCGCGCCATGCACATGTTAAGGAGATACGAAAAAGTCTTGATGTCTTCGCAAAATAACGAGAGATTCATTAACACTAAGGTAAACATTAAACGGTAGAAATCTAAAGCGACGATATAATCTACGTGTCCTTACTTGAGACAGGCATAATGATATTAATTGCGAATTGGAATTAAAAGATGAACATAGCGTACGCGGAGAGCGGTGTCACGATCAACTAGACGGCTTTACATCTTAGCAACAGTGACACGTAAAGACGCGACATTTTTGGTACGAACGTATCAAATAGCCATTACCCTAACGTGACTTTTTTTTCTTCCTTTTTAATTCCTTCAAATTAAAATTCGTATTTTGAGCGTTCCCCTGCACTGGAGGGGCTCAGGGTGCGCGACGGCCGAGTGACCGACCCGACGATCGGCCTGGCAGTTCAAATAGGTTGCAGCAGCTTGCAGCAACCTGCAGCAGCTTGCAACATCTTGGAGCAACCTGCAGCAGATTTCAAATAGTTCCCAGTTATTCCGGAACGGCCCTCGCAATGGCTGCGACTTTGCGACGCGTACAAGCAATAGGAACGTCACTCCAGATTCACTCGCACCATGTACATAATACTCCCACATGGCAAGCTTCTAAAAACCATGGAATCACTCTAGCCAATAGATAAATAGAGAAATACCGAGTTCCAAGAATTTCCTGCGCACGCGTACCTCTTTATTAATAATTTATCATACAAACGCGTTGCGCCAAGTATGGCCTGCACAATTCGCCAGATTTCCGTCTCGTTACTTACGAACGCTGTAGAACTGTCGTTCGGTTATCTATATACAGTGTACGATTAACTCAACTGTGTGATGATTCCCTACATTGTATAAAATGGCGACAGCTATACATACGTAGAAACTGGTTGGAACACATCTCCATTGTAACGTTAAACTGCTCTAGGTTGGCTAGATATGTAGGAGGATTACATATACGGTTCGTTTTCGCGGTCATACAGGGTGGTCGGATATTTCTCTTTTAACGATGCCCTAAAGAAAGTCCCTCCCTAGTCGGGAGAGGGGATATAAACCTCGATTGAAAGTTCCCGGAATTAAGGTGAAGTGAAACACGTCGATTAACTTGATCAACGTCGATAAAGAAGATTTTTCTAAATGCCTACGTTGCCGACGTTCGTTTTTATATCGACAGCTATACCGAATTATATTGGGTATTGTACCAAATGGCATACTCCGCCTGTCGTTTTCGTACAATAAATATAAAGAAATCGAAGTAAAACTCCAGAAATCCTCTTGATTCATGCTTTCTGGGGTCCTAATTGACTGCAGAGGGACCCTCTGCGCCATCTGTGATTTCCAGGTCAATTACATTTTCACTCCGAGACCTCGTATTCCCATCGTTTTAGCATAGAAGCGTATACAACACTTTTTTGCCCTTATCCCGTTCAAATGTGAGTTTATCGACTATCAAAGTGTTCTAAATTCTCGTAAAATTGTCCTGACCCTTTCGATTCTCATATCAGAGCCTTCGATAATTATATACTGATCGAAATATGAGAGATCGACGCCATTTTGGTTCTGGTCTGGGCTGTTAAAAAATTCTTTTAAAAAATTCAAATTTTGAATGTGTCAAGACAATTCTTAAATGATCAGGAGTGATGTGCCAAAGTTTCGGACAATTTGGTCAAATACCCTTAAAAAAAAGTGTTGTATTCGAATCGACTGATTTGAAGGGTGTTTCACTTCACCTTAATAGGAAAAGGAGAAGGACCTACTCGTAACCCTCTGTCGTTTAAAATGTAAATCAATTTTTTTTCCTCTCTCTCTCTCTTGGAAACGTCTAACCGCATTAAAAGCGACGATCGACCCAATGGTCCCAATCTATCGCAATGTAAAATCGAAACGTCTTCTCGCCGCGAATGATCTTGTCGGACCACCCTCCACGCCGTCGATCGAGCACGTGAAATTTATTTACAATCCTTAACTCAAATTCGACCATACGTGCCTATAGATATATACTGATATATCTATAAACACATATATCTCATATTCTCATAATTTATATCTTACTGTACACGCACGAAGAATACTACAGTAAACAGATATAGATGTATATGTACATATTTTGGCGGCTTTAAAATACTTAGACACTTTATATGGTGACAAAGATGCGCGCCCTGCTACGAAAGGATATCGACTTTTGACTCTCCTCTTGAGAAGTTCTCGCGGAGAGGAGTTGGTACCATACACGCGCGCTTCGTGCCGACCAATGAATGGTGTATGACGTCATTACAAGATACGTACAATGGGCGCTTATTGGTCGACGCGAGGATTGCAAGAGTACCAACTCGAACGTTAGAACGGAAGAGCTCGGAGAGAATCAAGATCAGCTTTCGAGCACGACTCGAGAAGGTGCGCGCTAGATTGTTTTTTTATACTGGGCCTTCGCCAAGATGCCGACAAGACTTCCGTTGTTTCACTGCGATGTCTAGTTTCCTGACCTAGTCTAGTCTGAGTTCTGCCATCGGTTCCACGTGCGGAGTTCTATCATCGAAGACGTGTCGTTTCACCTTATCGATAGTTGCCAGTAGCCACATTATCAAACGTCACAGTGTATACAAGTTTTGTCACTTGGCGTGTACACGTCATACGCACTATAAGGAACATCCCTGACGATGTTCAGAGATGGGATAGAACGCAAGAGACCGAACGGAATAAATAATTTATGTTCCGTGAGATCTCAAGAAAAATGATAAGGATCATGCCTTAGTCCAATCAGTTTGTAATTTTCTAGCTGAAGGCGCGTTCAATTGCATTTTAATGGACCCTCACGAAAGTGATATCAGTTAAACTGTCCCATCCCCGAAGACGATACGAACGAACGGAAGATCCTTTCCTTCGGACGAAGGCAACGAGGATTTCTTTTGCGGCCACCTTGACGACTCGGGTCCCGGGAATTAGGGATCCATAAAGGCCAATTCAGACACAACCGTACCGTGTCCGTGACGGATCCGTGCCGTATTCGTGCATGTCCGTAAAAAGTATTCACCCATGCCGTGATCTCCGTTCAGTGCCATGAACCATCGAGACATTAATGAGAACGAATTTTTCAGTCGAGGAACCCGCAGTGATTGCACAAATTCTAGACAGAGAAAGTATTTTATACAAAAAAGAAAGCAAGCAGGATACATGAAATTAGAAAAAAGAAAAAGTGAAAGATCGGGGGCGAATTCGCAACGTTATATAAAGAACAATTAAGTGATGAAACTAAGTCCTATCAATACTTTCGAGGGTCTTTGCGGTTTTTTTCATGCACCATTACTATAAAAAGAGTACAATTTGAAATTAAAAACAAACGATATTTTGAACAGAACCGAGTCCAAGAAAGGACTTTCGTCACAGTGTCGGTACCATCCGTTCAAGGATACATATCGGTTCGGATCACTGCGGCTCACTGACTAACACGAACGGACGGATACGGAAATGTATGAATACTCCGATATAAATCTAATGCACGGTATAGATATGTCTGAATCAGCCTTAATTCTTGACCAAACAATCGGTCTCTTCGGATGAACCCGAAGCCACACCGTTGCCTACCATTGCGCGTCCTCCTTCTTAGGCAATCTGAGTTTATCGTCCTTTTTATGATAAAGTCGCTGATAGTCCTCCTGATAACCGACGTAGTGAACATTCGACTTGTTAGGTTTCTGACCAACGCCCACGGGCGAGTGGCTTGGCGAGTACTTCATCTCTTGGAGCTCCTGGAGCTCCTGAAGTTCCTTCAAGGACCGCATCACCATCTGCACGTCGTTCTCTTGCTCGGTGGTTTGAATGACGGCACCACCGGCATCCTCCATCAAGCTCGGTTCCTTCCTCTTTTCGGAAACAGGCCTGCTGGGATTATGGTCATCGTTGATGATCTGGCTAAGGAAATTGGTGGCGGCCATGGTCTCCTCGATCTGCCTCTGCTCCTGCTCCTCTTTCGAGAGCGGAGGCTGTGCAGCCACCGGGACGTCCTGTTTAACGGGGATCATCTGAACTTGGACGGAGTCGAGCTTGAGGTCCTTTTTCCTCTTTTTGCTATCGTGCGACTTATGCTTGCCGTCTGGGTACCGATCTCTCCTCTTGTCCCTCTTCTCAGTCTTGTGGGAATCGTACTCCTTCTCCTCCGTTCGCCTCTCCGTCTTCGGGTCCATGGTCTCCTGGAGGATTCTGTGCTTCAGGGGCACGGGCTTGCAGACGGAGGTCCGGTTAGGCACCGAGTAGCTGCTCGAATGCTGTAGCTGACCGCTGGGAAAGGACTCTTGCTGTCTGGAGGAATGGTGACCCGTTTGGGATATCGTCACGTCGTTCACGCCGGATGAGTGATTTGTCGACGACTCCGAGTAAGCCGTTATCGAGACCACGTCCTTCTTCGCCTCGGAGGTCTTCGTAGATTTCTGGTAATCGTTCACCGGGGTGATCGACAACGAGCTGCTGGTCAGGTCCATCGGGTTAAACTTGTCGGGCAGGGCTTTACTTTTCTGGGCCATCAGCTGGGACGTAGGCACGACGGATATTTTGGCGAGAGGCTGACTGCTGGAACCGACATTCGCGTTCTCGTACTGGCCACTGCTCGTCATAGGACTTTCCCGGCTCCTATCCTTGTGCTTACTGCTGTGCTTCCTCTCGGAACCGTGATCGTTTGACGTCGCTGCTTGTGACGTTATCACAAAATTCAGAGGGTTCTCGGACGAGCTCATGGTCTTGAACAGGCTTGTCGGAGTTTTTTCCCTTTCCTGGGTGGGTGCTGCACTGTTGCTCGAATTGGGCGGGTCCAGTCTTACGTTGGACGTGTATCCTGCGTTCCCAGTGGCATTCGCGTTACTCGAGTTGGACGCCGGAATCTCCTTGGGCCTCTTCGACTTTTTCTTCGCTCTAAAATCAAAGTCACGTTAAGTCGACTTGATACAATGTCATTTAAATCCACCCGTTCTCTAATTCGTTTCTAGGGTCGAAAAAGTGCACGAAACTCGGAAACGTATCTTGTCAATTAATTAATCTGCAACCGAACCAAAATTGACCCAGATTCGCTGACATAGATTGTTTCACAATTTCATTTTAGGAAATCACAAGAATGTTATATTTCAGCATAACGAAGGTTGAATAAGCAGAAAGCCATGGATATTATCGTTAGACGATAAAATATGGATTTTCCTTAATGATTAACTTAAACAGCATCAGACAGTGAATACAAATATCAATCAAATTCTCACCAAAGAATTTGACTCTTGAACGAAAGGCATTCGACAAGTACATGTTGGAAATTATGCTTCGAGTACCTGTGTACATTTTTAAAAGATCCTGCGTAGAGAGTCAAAGCAAATAATATCAAGGATAGGGGAAAATGGTCGTTGAAATGCAGAGAAAGAAAGTAAAATCAATTGACAACAGTTTAATTAGATAAAGTATCTGGTAAACACAGGCGTGTGCCTAATAGTACAAAACATCATTACACTCATGTATTAAAAAAAGGAAAATAAGGAGGAACAAGGACTCTATATATCCGTAACATGGATCACGGTACAAAATAAATAAATTTACACTAGCCTGATAAACGGTTTAACTAAGAAATGAATCCGTTAACGATAGCCCCGAAGGAATCGCGGTTTTTAATCCAATTCAATCACCTCCCTAAAACACACAATGACCAGATTCTATTGCAAATTGTAATCCAATCGTGCGCGAACAGTTTTCCTTCAACAAAGTAAAGGTAAACAAATCCTTGCCGGAGTAAAGTTCCTTACTCGTTTACAAACGTGCAGAGCATCATTTGTTTATTCCCGATTAACAGAAGAAATTCGAGAGACGTATAAGAATATAAGTTAGGATAAAAGAGAGATTGAAATAGAACGAAGCGAGAATATTAGGAGTCCTCTTGGGTTGTGTATACGATGTAAAAAATATTTATACTTACATGGGCTCAGCATTTGAATACTTTATCAAGGTTTGCAGCTGCACCCAACCCAGTGGCCACAGGGGCAGTACTTTCTTCTCCATAAAGGCAGCCACAAACGTTTCCATGCTTTCTTTTCTCGGCTTCAAAACCTCGAAGTACTGCCGCCTAGCATGCGCAATTTCATACACTAATTTTCTGTGAAAGAAGGATCCTCATAAATAAACTGAAGGGAAAAGAGTTGATAAAAAGAAAAAAAAAAACGAGATAACGATGGTTGAAATTTACTTCGTCTCTTCGGTCCAGGGAAACCGTCTCCGAGGGATTTTACTTTTGTCGGAAGTTCTGTTCCCGCTTTCATCTCCATCGCTGCTATCAACGTCCGTTGGCGAGCCCTCCAAGCCCCTGTAAATTAAATGCGTATAAGGCTTATGAATGATTACAAAAAGAAAAACAACGATAAAGAAGTAATGATGATCTGCATTTGCCGCGACAGAATTCATCGGTATTGATCCTAGTGCCTTGCAATAAATTAAATTATCAAATCGTCCCCAAATTCTCTCTCAAGGCAAATGCGAGCTGTATCTCAAATAAAAAATAGCGCTGGTGATGAACAAAAAAATTTGATACTGATGATAAAAAGCCCCGCACCTTTCCCTGCCATCTCAACGTTCACGAAAATAAAAGTACGCCTAGTTTCGGCATTCAGATTTCTTATCGAACGAACAGCAGCACGTATCTCATCGTAATACGCTCTGCGCAAAGTTAGTATACAATTGAGATAGCAGAAACGTACAAGCATGAGAAGGGGTGGAAAACCAAATAGAAAGCAGAGTGAAAGGAAAATAACTGAAGAATAGAAAGAGTAACCAGAAGGGTTACGAAGAGTGCTGGGCAAAATGCTACTCGAAATAGAGAATACTCTTGAAAAATAACTATTTCAATGAATCATTTCAAATCTCGAAATAGATATTTTTTAGTCCGACTCATTTCTCTCCTTCCTTCACGTTTTGGACAATGCCCAGCACTGTCTAAAAGTACAAAGGGATTTCTCTTAGGGGCACCTTACCAACAGTACCGATATATCTCCCAGTACAAATGTGGGCTGAGAAATAAACAAAAAAGATAGGATGAGTTCCAACGTAGGATCACTTTCGAGATCTAGCGAATTTAAAACTAGCCCAACGTGCGGCGCTCTGCCCATTCTCAAGCCTCGCCTCTCGCAATCTCTCGGTACTCGACTCTCGATACAATTTTATGCTCACGCCCTAAACGTCGAGTCTAGATTAGCTTCGAGGTCTTCGATCCAAAGCGGGCACTTACTTCTCCTCGGTGACCCTCTGGCACTCCTTGGTGTACTTATCCATGACGGACGGCATGACACTGTCAACGATGGCCTTTAACCTGCAGCATAAACGAGCTTTGCCATCATTGATAATCTCTGGTTCGTCAACGGGGCCCCGTTGGAACTGAAATCTACAATAGTCTCCCGACCAAACTGGAGAATCAAAATATTGTACCTTTGTATAGGATCCTTTACTTTGCCGTCGACGTCCTGTTGAAAAAGCTTCTTCGCTCGGTTCACCAGAGTGATCTTGCTGCAGGGCAAGAAGTGCGCTAAGTGGTCGTACGTCTGCGATTTCACACTCGGCATGTTGAGGGATCGCAATTTCTTCTCTAACCTGCGTTACAGATACGAAATTGTAAATACAATGGAATGAACATTCCGAGAACATTTAACGTAATAATTACGCAAACGATCGCAGTCACGGAAGAATGTTTGAAATCCCGGGAAAGTATTTCTACTTGTCAACAAAATGTCTCGCTTAATATCGATGACTAATTGCAACTCCAAAATTCACTTTCTAGAAAAACAACTTGCTTCCAACTTCCCATTGAACTTACTATCTATGCACAACCAATTTCGTAGGGAAAGGAAAGCTTTTTCCTTACCCAAAGAGTGCATTGTTAATGGCAGAGGTGAAAAATTTGCTTTTCCCTTCCTTGCTGGTCTCTGCCTGAACCTTGAGCGCATTCACGATTTCCTTGATGTCCTCGGGGAGGCACTCGGGCAATGGGGATTCCTCCTTGTCGAGGTCGTCGCACTCAGACTCGCTCCCCGGAATGCCTCGAGACTTTCCAGAATCCAGAGTGTCCCGGCTCGACTCATCCTCAACCCTCGCGGCGTTGACGACACTCTCAATGGCGTCGTCGATGTTGCTGTCCATCTCCCCGAACTTCTTTGAATCCACCTTCTTCCAGTCCAGCCCGTTACTCGACGCCTTCTTCTCGAACTTCTTACCATCGAACTTCTTCTCGGGGATCGACTTGACTCTTTGTAGATCCGGCTTCTCGATGCTCCGTTTTTCGTCCTGCTCCTCTGTGAATAAACCATTGACGAATGATCAAAGTTGCCCCAAACTTCTTACATGCACCGCTCATATTTGCAAGCTAATGTTCACCAGATGAGTACCCTCACCTTAGTTTTTATCACTATTCTTCAAATGTTAGACTCAAACTTTCTAAAACTTATAAATTGGGACGGATAACTAGATCCATAATGAATTGAAATAACCCTTTAAATATCAAGCCCGATAATTTGGATTTTACAGTTCCAGGATTCTAATCAGTCCGTTGTAATAACCTCGAAAAATCGTGACGTTCTAAAATGTGCGTAAGCTCATCTAGGACGGTCGTTGAGGTTTACAATATTTTTGGTATTAACTCGAATCACCTGCGTCTCCGTCGGTCTCGCGCTTTTCCTTCAAAGGGTCGCGCATAACCGTGTTCTTTCTTCTATTCAGACCATCAAAATCCTGCTGCGGCAGCTCGTGGTTATGATGGTGGGATTTCTTCTTTTTCTTCATTGTAGCCTCATGGTTGGTCTTTTTTTCCGGGTTGTCCTCGAGCTTCGGCTTCTGCAAGTACCACGGACATCTCGACGTTTTGCGAGAACTACTCAGGTTAAATGTTCACCGCTATGCTGACTTACTTTTCGTGGCGCCTCGCCGGAGATGTCCTCGGTGTCGTCGTCATCCGAGTAGCTGAGAGAACGTTTCTCCATACGCTTTGTGCTGTCGGCGTCGTCCTCCTCGCCACTGCTCTCGCTGCTCTCGTCATCGTTGTTGTTGTTATTGTTGTTATTGTTGTTGTGGACCAGCGAGTGCCCTTCGGTTATTTTGTACTCGAGAGCTCCGCAATTTATGTAGAAGCCCCCGTGCGCCGTGGTCACCTCTTTCGGCACGATCTCGTCATACTATTGAACAAGTGTCGCACAAAATGCTCAAGTAGGATCATTTCATATAAAATGTCAAATTATGAACTAAACGAAATCAATTTTGCTTCGAAAAACTTACGGCGTCGGTATTATCGATGAACGAGTCATTCTCATCGTATCCAGCTCCCAGATCGATACCATCGTTGGCCTTACAATGTCGACTCCTCCCACCTGCAGCTGTTCCCTGCGAAACGTAAAACATTCTGATTTCTGCAAACATACTATTTGGTTAATAATAAAGAACTATTTATAAGACATATCGCAAGAAACATAAAAACTCCTCCAGGGCATAAGAGTTTGTAAGAATTTTTCCGCCAGTAATCCGATCGAGCAGTTGCACTCACATATTTGGCTTCAAATCTCCGCGCCACTTCCCTAAGCTTCTCCTCGTCTTCGTCATCATCGAATGGATCCAGCCCATTGGTAGTATTTTCTTCTCCCCTCTTCTGTTCTTTTCTTCGTTTCTTCTGTAATTGAGAATAAAACCAAAATAAGTATACATTACTCCCTACTGCCCATTGACAAATTAATATACATTGGTAGTAGGTTTACCCTGAAAGAAATAAAAGTTCACGTGTTTATCAATTTTTGAGAGCACTCAATCGATAGCGACGATAAATATATTCTCTCTCGTTTCGGATTTAGAAATTATTGCAGGAAGTGCCATTCGAGGTTATGTTCAGCGGGTTCATTCACACGTGCGAGGAAAACGTCATTCTCCCTCCTGCCCTTCCCCATGGCTTACGCAACCGCGATACGGCAACCATTGAGCACGGCCGCGAAGACTGTCGTCATTTAGACGAGGTGGAAGGAGAGTTTAATTCAACGTACACTCCGGAGAAATAATCCCGCCCAATCGCGGAGTGTTTTAACCGCGGGGTCACGGGCCAATCAGCGCGTCGCTCGACGCGACTCGCGAGTCACGGGTGTACTCGGTCGGTAACCCGACCCCCACCTAGTGACCCATAAGAATAAACTAGAATCGGTTCGCAAGACATAGGGATATATTTGATATGCAAGCATCGATATACACAACGGCAGGGTTGGGTAATTTCGCGTTTTTCGAGGTTTGCGACGTATATATAGTTTACTGGAGAAAATTGTAGAAAACGAGTAAATTACGTTTCCAATATGGCGGATGCCGCAGATGCACGATATGTCTTCGCTAGGTCATAAACGTCGTTTAGCGTGCGTGTAAACATGTAAAAACTTCGAAGGAATAATTAATTAGGCGTTTGGGTTCGACATTCTTTCGACTTAATCCAGTTCAATATCGAATTTCTAATTGGATTTATTATTTCCTATTTAGAAATGGAAGGGTGTAATATACTTTGCGCTCACGTAGAAATCCACGTATATTACATGGCGTATTATACCTACCCAACCCTGCACGACGGTGTACCGTGCACCCAATAACCGAAACTTTCACGAGAAGTCCAGTCGACAACTTTCGCCAAAGAAGCATCGTCGACATCTTGATGGTGTTTCAAAGTGATTCCTTCCGCGAGAAGTTAGGTAGGTCGAATTGATTTCTTATAATTTTCCGACAGCACGAGAAACCGGCTTAATTTGTTCTTGCATTTATGGACAAAGAAGACAATGCTCTAGATGAAAGAAGAAATAATTCGACCAAGGGGGTGACATTTTTTAAGGATTCTTAGGTGAACGTCACGTGATAGGTCGAGCGGCCATCTTGTTTCTTTCCCGCGAGGAAGAACGAAAGGAAAAGTCACCTCTCTCACAAATTCCGTTCAACCTCCAGGAGCGGTAAGTAAGCAAAACGATCATTTATGTAATCCGAGATCATTTCAGTTCCGACTGCGAAATCCAAACCCGGATTTGCGGTACGACGATGCTGGTAACAACGGAGACTCGCGCTAATTGCGAGAGCCTAGAGCAACTACTTATCCAGGTATTTTCCTGGTATCAAGTAACGGATTTTCTCTTCCTAGATGTGGAACCCAAGGAAAATCGTGGACCATTTCTCGGAACGACGCATTTCCGTGTCTACCAACATACTACCCAGATGAAATCCTGCACATACAAGCGAGATTAACATTCCCCTTCATAACGCCATATGACTTCGAAGTCACATAACCATCTGCCATCACAATTCAACTCATCTGATTTTTCCAGTAAAATCCAATCCATGTGTCCGATTTTAATATGCGTGTATTCTCCGCATATATTACAACGTATAATACGTTCCTAGTTTTCTCCGTAAGCGCGAAGTATGTTACCCCCCTCCTAATTCCAAATAGAAAATAATAAATCCAACTAAAAATTTGACATTAAACATAGGTTAAGTCGCAAGAACTTTGAACACGAGCTGCAAGTTAATTATTCCTTCAAAGATTTTACATGTTAACACGTGCTCTAAAAGACGTCCATACAACCTAGCGGATACATATACCCTGGATCTGCGGCATCTGTCATATTGGAAACGTAAAATTCCAACCATTCCATAATAATATTTACGTGTTTCCATACGTGCTAAAAGACGTTTATAATCTGCTGGATGCCGGAAGGATGCGACATCTGTCGGCATCTGCGGCATCCGCCATATTGGAAACGTAATTTACTCGTTTTCTACGATTATCAACGGTAAACTACCTGTTTTACGTAATATGCGCGTGAAACCACGACAAAATACTAAATACTAAATTACCCAACCCTGCTCGACCCTGCCCTGTTTACAGGGTGCATTCGGGACCGACCGCGATCAGCCGGCGCGGCCCGCCAGGAGGGGGTAGGGCGTACTTGGCGGGGAGAGGGGAACGGGGCGAAACAAGGCGGGCCGAGCGTCGAAGGGCGCGCGAGGTGTCCGTCGGGGACGTCGATCCTCGCGACTGCCCCGGCGCTCGTACCCCTCCCTCCCACCCGCGCGAGCGACTCTCAGCCCTGCGATCGCGGCGCTCGGTGACCGAGTCCGAGAATAAAGAGAGACTGAGGTGCGAAGCCCCTCTCCGCCCCGTCCTCGACGGGAGAAAAATGGCGGAGTCCCTCGGCATGGTCATGGGAATCTGTCCTTCAAGTGGGAACATGTACCGACTTGTTCTACGTGCCGAAAAGAGGTGGCAGGGAAGATAAAAATATTAATAATAGAAAAAATAGAAATGTTGGGAGCATTTATAAGTTACTCGTTAATGAAATATGGTCGTACTCCTCGCGCGTGAGTTTTTTTCTTTTATTTTCAGACTATGTATCATCAGGGACTGTAGGAGGAGTCTCTAGGAGGAGTCTTTCTAACGGGTCGCCTTTTGTTTTACCGTATGTAATTAATTTCAAATCGATCTCCATCTTCTCTCGTTTGAAAAGCGGGCCCGCATGCGCGTGTTAATTCAATTGGCGATCCTACGCCAAACGAGAATTACAGGCTGCGGTGAGGTTAGGGGAATAAATGGACAGCCGAGCGGCAGGCGTGACGCGCGGTTGCGTCGAGAGACCGTGAAGCCGCGATTCTCAAAGAGAAGCCTTCGAAACCGTGCTCTTATCGACTCGAACGTCATTGTCGGGGATTTCGAGAAAGCAACAGGTACCGCGCGCGACGTACGATTAAAACTCGAAAATGGGAAATCGAGGAAATCCGCCATAGGAAAATCAATAGCTATAGGCAGATGAGGTGAGGTTGCAGGAGACGGACGCCCGAGCGTATCGAGAACGCGTTGCCGTTTCGCCCGCAGAGAGAGAGAGAGAAAGAGAGCGAGATGCGCGAGCCCGTGCGCGCAAGAGAGACAGCGAGAAGACAAGTAGAGGGAGTCGGGAGTGGGTGACGCGGGCGCGAGCGAGAGAAAGAGAGTGACCGCGCGACCCGCGGTAACAGGTGAGTGGGAAAGAGAAGGGGACACTGACACTCGACCGTAGGTCCATCTAGCGGGAAATCGGAGAATGATATCGTGGAACCACCCGGGGAGAAAGGAACCCCTGGACATGTAGAGTATAGACGGGGACAGGACCGATACGCACGTGCGTCGCCCTCGCCATGAGTAGCGTCGCGCGCAAGATAGTCAACATCCGGGTTGAATTACGTCCCCCTCCACTCTCGTCCAACTTCTTACCGATCCGAGAGAGAGACATCCTATGCGGTGCGCTGGAAGAGCGACGGAGAGCGAGTCGACGCGATCTTCAGACACGTATAATTGAAATAGATATAAATTATAGTCGTACTCCCAGTCATTTTTCCGAAATTCAAGGTCCTTTTTTAAAGCTCAATATCCTTTAAAATCCACGAAAAGGACAAGGGGCTGATTCCAGGGCTGAATTCAATGCCCCTTTCTTCTTTTTTTCCCCAACACTTAACCGGTGTTATCCATATCCAATTATCGAAGGCTCTAATATGAGAAAAGAGATGGTCAGGACGACTGTACGACAATTTACAACAGTCTGGTAATCGAGAAACTCGCATTTGAACGGGATAAAGGCAAAAAGTGTCTTATGCGCTTCTATGCTAAAACTATGGTAATATGAGGTCTCGGAGTGAAAATTTAGTCGACAGTTATGATTTATTGTACGAAAACGACAGGTGGAGTATGCCATTTAGTACAATACCCGATATAATTCGACGCAGCTGTCGATATAAAAACGAACGTCAGCAACGTAGGTATTTAGAAAGATCTTCTTTACCGACGTCGATCAAGTTCCTCGAAGTGTTTCACATCACCTTAAACGTGGCTACCTGCTTCTCACAGGTACGCACCGAAATGCAGGTACTCATCTATCCAGTATACGCATCGAACACTGATACAGTCTTACCTGGTGAATACAGGCTCCGTATACGTGTCCGAGGGCACGTAGGCGCGTCCACCAAGAACGCGAATCGTGTCCTGCATAGACCCACAAATTCGAATCCGAGTGATCGCGTAAAGCGCACTAGTGCGTTCAAATTAAAAAAAAAAAAAAAACCGAACCAACGCATTCAAATCAAAGAAATACGTCCCATGAACACGCGTCGCATCTCGAACCGAAAATCCAGGTAATATCTGTTTGACTAAAAAATACGTTCTCGGTTCTACATTAAATTTTCCGAGTTAAGAGCAAGAAAGTGGCATCTTAGGGGTCAATCGTTCATGAAACTTCTTCTCCGAATTGGGCGTACCTATTTGTTTCAAATTAAAAAAAAAAAACCCCGAAACAATGCATTCAAATAAAAGAAATACATCCTATGAACACGCGTCGCATCTCGAACCGAAAATCCAGGTAATATCTGTTTGACTAAAAAATACGTTCTCGGTTCTACATTAAATTTTCCGAGTTAAGAGCAAGAAAGTGGAATCTTAGGGGTCAATCGTTCATGAAACTTCTTCTCCGAATTGGGCGTACCTATTTGTTTCAAATTAAAAAAAAAAACCCGAAACAATGCATTCAAATAAAAGAAATACATCCCATGAACACGCGTCGCATCTCGAACCGAAAATCCAGGTAATATCTGTTTGACTAAAAAATACGTTCTCGGTTCTACATTAAATTTTCCGAGTTAAGAGCAAGAAAGTGGCATCTTAGGGGTCAATCGTTCATGAAACATCTCCGAATTGGGCGTACATATTTGTTTCAAATTTTCTCCACATGAATAAGGAGACCCTAAGGTAGGTCCCGATACTCGGGAAATTTCATTTTTAATTAAAATTCTTGAAAGTAGCTGTAAACAAATTGTCTTAAAATTGAAATTTCATGGGTTCCAGGACCTCCCTTATAGCCTCCATATTCACATTGTCAAGTTTGAGACGATTCGGTACACCCAGTTCGGAGAAAGGTTTCATGAACGATACCTCTTTGACGCCACTTTCACATCACCTTAAGGTGAAGTGAAACACGTCGAGGAACTTGATCGACGTCGATAAAGAAGATTTTTCTAAATGCCTACGTTGTCGACGTTGGTTTTTATATCGACAGCTGGGTCGAATTATATTGGATATTGTACCAAATGTCGTACATCATATGTCGTACAATAATTATAAAGAAATCAAAGTAAAACTCCAGAAATCCTCTGGATTCATGCTTTCTAGGGCTCTAATTGATTGCAGAGGGACACCCTGCGCCATCTGTGATTTCCAGGTTAATTAAATTTTCACTCCGAGACCTCGTATTCCCATCGTTTTAGCATAGAAGCGCATACAACACTTCTTTTGCCTTTATCCCGTTCAAATGCGAGTTTATCGATTACCAGAGTGTTCTAAATTGTCGCAAAATTGTCCTGACCCTTTCATTTCTCATATCAGAGCCTTCGATAATTCTATATTGATCGAAATATGAGAGCTCGACGCCATTTTGGTTCTGGTCTGAGCTAAGTTAAAAAAATCTTTCCAAAAATCCAAATTTTGAATGTGTCAGGACAATTCTTAGATGATCAGGAGTGGTGTGTCAAAGTTTCGGACAGTTTGGTCTAATGCCCTTAAAAAAAGTGTTGTATTCGAATCGACTGATTTGAAGGGGGTTTCACATCACCTTAACGTCTCCGCTTGGAAATAAAGTTTTACATGAACATATACAGGGTGTAATAGAATGCACGACCGGGATTTTGGTTAAAAACGGGGTTGAAAAATCCTGTACACCGCGTAGATATATAAATGCCTTTCCCACAAATGCGTCCACGTTGGACGGTTGGAACTGACCTACACAACGGAGTCCATAAAATGGTGACTTCCGTCGCACGTTTAGCTATCCCCCACCACCCATACATTCCCTCCTTTTAATATTATCTCGATAGTTTTATCACAGGAGCGCGTAAGACACCTTTTTTCCATCTATCCCGTTCAAATGCGAGTTTCTCGATTACCAGACTGTTCTAAACTGTCGGACAATTGTCTTAACCCTTTCGTTTCTTATATCAGAGCCTTCAATAATTGTATATCGATGAAAATACGAGAGCGCGACGTCATTTTGGTTCTGGTCCGGGCTGAGTTAAAACAATATGGCTTGAAAAATCATAATTTTGAAAGTGTCAGGATAATTATTAGGTGCTCGCGAGTCATGCGTCAAAGTTTCAAATGGTTTAATCCAATACCCTTATAAAAGAAGTATGTTAATTCGGATCAACTCGTTTGAGGGTTGTTTCGCATAACCTTAAAATAGCAAAATTATGGGTCGAAGAGAGATACCCCGAAGACGGTAAAAACGAAAAACGAAACCCCACCGAATTAAGAAACGAGAGTATAAACGCGATACAATCAAGAAACTCGTAGCGTTGAGTGACGCGAGACGCTACCGAGTTCTACACAGGTAAAGATCAAGATTTCAGGAGTGGGGGAAATACAAAGATAATTTCTTCATCGCTACGGATAAAGAAATAAATGTTTAACCGACTCGAAAAATCAAGAAAAAAAAAAAAAAGAAAAAAAATCACGAACATTTTTAAATTTACCCGACTCTGTACATACTAACACGTTGCAAGGCCCTGGCTTAAAGGGGAACCAACCCAATGCCAAAAAACGAAAGAAGAAGAAGAAGATACGTACACGCCGTTTGTGTATACTCGGGACAGGCGACCGTCCGCCGAAACGAAATCTAGGCCTCTGGCGAGTGCAATACCCCTCGTCCCTGTCAGGGTGAAGTGAAACACGTCGAGGAACTTGATCAACGTCGATAAAGACGATTTTTCTAAATGCCTACGTTGCCGACGTTCGTTTTTATATCGACAGCTGGGTCGAATTATATTCTGTATTGTACCAAATGGCATATTCCACCTGTCGTTTTCGTACAATAATTATGAAGAAATCGAAGTAAAACTCCAGAAATCCTCTGGATTCATGCCTTTTGGGCCCTAATTCACTGCGGAGGGACCCCCCTGCGCCATCTGTGATTTCCAGGTCAATTAAATTTTCACTCCGAGACCTCGTATTACCATCGTTTTAGCAAAGAAGCGCATACAACACTTTTTTTGCCATCTGTGATTTCCAGGTCAATTAAATTTTCACTCCGAGACCTCGTATTACCATCGTTTTAGCAAAGAAGCGCATACAACACTTTTTTTGCCTCTATCCCGTTCAAATGCGAGTTTATCGATTACCAGGGTGTTCTAAATTGTCGTAAAATTGTCCTGACCCTTTCGATTCTCATATCAGAGCCTTCGATAATCGTATATCGATCAAAATATGAGAACTCGACGCCATTTTGGTTCTGGTCTGGACTGAGTTAAAAAATGTTGTTGAAAGATCCAAATTTCTAATGTGTCAGGAGAATTCTTAGCTGATCAGGAGTGATGTGTCAAAGTTTTGGACAGTTTGGCCTAATACCCTTAAAAAAAAGTGTTGTATTCGAATCGACTGATTTGCAGGATGTTTCACTTCACCTTAGAGACCCTCTAGCTTCCGCGAGATGCCTCAACAGACCCCGGAGTACCCTCCACCCGTTCCCCGGGGTCCCCATGCGTCCCCACGGGGCTTGCGCCTCGTTCCTAAGGACGCGGCCGCGTGTACGCCCGCCCTCGACGTCGGCCGATCCGCTCTCGCGGTGCGCGGGGGGCCTGCGCAGAGGGGCCATAGCGCGCTTCCGAAGAGACCCGAAGATGGTCCCCGAGGACGGCCGAAGGTCTCCAGCGCGCGTCGGGAAGGGCCGCCTATCGGACCTACCGCAACGTGGGGCCCCTCTCTCGAGGCGGCGCTCGCCCGACGGCGTCGAGGATCGGCCGCGATCGATCGCCCTCTCGCCTCTCTCCGACGACGTCGCGCCAAACGGGGAGCGTAAATCTCCGAGGGCTTTCGCGCTCCCGGAGAGACGGGCAGATGTGGATACGCGAGGGGTAAACGTGTGTAGGTATACGTGTGTATGGGAAATATGTATGTATATAGGTATAGGTATTTTACATAGGATCCAAGAACTCCCACCTTGGAGGGCCGAGAGTCCTTTCCGAGACCGAGGGCGGCCACGCGTGAACGGTCGCCGGATGGACCTACCGCAACGTGGCGCGCCGAGGATCGATCGCATCCTCTCGACGGCGCGGTCGGAAGGAAGCGACTCGACGGCCCCGAGGCCTGCCGTGCGAGGGGGTCGGCACGCGCGCCGCGCGACGTGACAGCCGCTACGGCCGCTCTCCTGGAGACTCGGGGACGCCTCGCGTCCGGAGAGAGCGGGCGTGATGGAGCGAGGGGCAACGAGAGGGGAGAGAGAGAGGCGAATTTCGCTCGGCAACTGACCTCGGCCGCCTTGAGTAGCTGAGCGTAGTTGAACTCCGGGCATGTCTTCTCGTTCGACTCAGGCAGGGTGAGCTCGAAGCGGAAGGAGGGCGCGAGCTGCTTGCCCTTTTCTCCCTTTTTCGTGACGTGGCCCAGGGGATCCGAGAAGTCCAGGCTCTGCAGGGGCGGACGTTTCGCGTCTGACATTCTACATCGGCACGAGCTTCACAACGCGTTACTCGAGAAACCCCGCGGCCACGGCGACAACATGGTCACTTATCGCGAATTCGCTAAACGCCGCGCCGACACCACGGTTCGCACATCGCCATCTTCGGCCCGACTGTTTTTAGAGCGCGCTGCCGATGCCGGCCGCGCGACCGTAGCGCCGCCGCCGCGTCGGTGGCGCCATCTGGCGATGGATAGGCTATTCGGAGCGAGCGGGCCGCGCCAACGCGGGCTTTTTCAAATTCGGAAGGGCGTATCGAACCGCGTTTAGTCTACCATCGGGCGGAATCAACGGAAAATGCCAGCGCTTGGCATGGCCACGCACGAGGTCGAGGTCAGGAAAAAATTAAAGACTTCTCAGTGGAATGACAGGAAATGAAAATAACGATAATATATTTAAGAATACATTGAGTATATTGTTTCAGTCATTTTAGTATTTACTGTCGCTGGTATGGTTATGATAGGTGATTGTAAAAATGATAGGTGAACAGAGGTCAGGGGAAGTAGAATCGTGTGGAAAAGTCTACCGTTACTGTCTCTGTCTCGTCCGAGTTTTGTACGAACTAACGTGCATTCCAATGCCTGCAACGGAAAATTCATTATTTACGCTAATTCATGCTTATTCTCTAATATATGTATATACAGCGTCATACAAAATCTATGCGTAGGCAGTTTAAGAACACTTTGTCGACGAGAATCTGTTACAGTGGGCTGAAAATGTATGCCAGGCGAACAACTTTGTGGCTGTTAAGGGGATTCGTCGTTAACGTTTTCGTCTCGTTTTTTAATTTTAATAGCCGAAAATTGCTGACCTAGAATTTTCATTACTTCGCCGTGTTTCAAAGAGTGACGATCCTTCTTTACCGAGTGGTAATTCTCTTTCACGTACAGGGCAAATCCCGAGGGGCCTTTCGACGTCGGCGTTTGCATTTGCACAGTACCAGACTTAGTTGTTCGATTTATTAATAACTCGAATTTTCCATAACAGTGCCCACATCGTTTTCGTTCAATATCCAATGATTTGGAATGTCTTCCGACACTGAAACATATTTTTAATTATTACTTTCGCCGTTATGCATTCATTACTATTACAAATGATGCTTGTACCTAGTAGGCAGTAACGATGTTAAGGTCCACAATTATTTCTGACTATTTTATTTAATTATTTCATTTACGTTACCTGTAACCGCATTTTGTACATCTATATGTATACTTCGTCTTAATTTTATAATCGTGACAACGTTTTATGGTTGGTAATTCGGGAAACATTTTCATCGCTTTGTTGGCCCTGTAACAAAAAGATTATTAGCACTTTTATTATTAATTCTATTAACTATTGGAGCACACCTATGTTCTTTAAGCAAAAAATAAAATTCCGTTTTATAGATTACATAACTTATTAGATGTGTTGATTTGTATATGATTCAATGTGGCTAATATGTAAGTTGACATATTGCTTACCATCCTCGCCAAAATGGTCCGTGACCATCAGAGACGGCGTTAATTAACCAAGCTGCAGCATGACACATTTCATGCACTAACGTATCCCTTAATCTATCTGGACTATCTAAAATCTACGTACAAAAGAAACATTCCACAAATTAATACGTGCTGCTGTATGAATAAATTCTATACATTTATTAACAAACCTTGGTTGCTAACACTATTCTAGATGATCTTGTTACATTGCCGAGCGTTTTGATTGATTTTTTATTATAACAAAAGCCAGCAGTGCCACGCATTCGAACATTCCATTCAATGACCATATCTTTTGGTAACTTGTTATCAAAAATCTTTTCGTTGTATAATTTAAACAAATGTTTACATAACTCTTCCTTATTGTTTTTAAAATTAAGCCTATACGGCTTAGCATCAGAATGAGCGTTCTCCAATGGCACTGATGCAGATAAAGATTCTAAAAAGGTTTTCTTTTTTACATTGGATTTATATGTTGACGACGTGTACGTTGATGCCTTATGTAGTGGTATCCTGGTAGAGGCTGTAAATATATATTGAACATTTCTCCTTTAATTCTATATAATTTTGGTACTGAAGATTTTTCATACAGAGGAAAAAATTGAGTGTCTTACATTTTTTTACGGGTTCTTTCAGTGGTATTTCGTCACCTGGATCGTATTCGCTAGTACTGGAGTTACTTTCATCTTCACTGAAAAATAACTGTCTTCTATTGTCATAGTTCTTTTGGGAACCTGTATCTTCATCTTCTGTATCGGGATCGCAAATTGTTCTAGCTCTGAAGAGACAAACATATTCCTTTATAGATTATCATAAAAATGACCATTGCATTATAAATTGTACCTTATTGTTGAAGCTGATACTGGAGTAGATTTTGATAGCGATTTAACGTCTGATTCTCTAATATGAGTCAATGCGGTATAATAATTGGTGCCAGAAGTACTGTCACTCGAGGATTCATCATTAATGAAATTGTTTCTCCACCGAATAGAATTTCTATCTTGCTTTTTTGTAGAATTGAGTCCTGGTGTTACATTTTTAACAACTGAAATAAGAAATCATTTATGTAATATGTATGAAATCATTAAGTTCAACAATACATTTGATACATACATATGTCAAATTCATCCTCGCTATCACTCTCAATAACTTTTTTCTTGGGATTTTTTGATTTTGAAGTTATTCTCCTTTTGAAAAAAATAAGATCGGATTAAATAGTTTAATAATTGTTATTAAACGTATATAAATTTGCTTTCAAGATACTGTACTTTCTTACCTCTCCGTTTGAATTCCTTTGTCTCTTTTTAAAACTACTGACTTCTTAGGTTCTGTCATTGGAAGCATTTTATTAGCTTTCGCTCTCCACTCTCTGCCATATAACTTGTCCAATATATTGGCACACTTCATTAAATCAGCCTGTTCATTTACCTCAGGAGTACCTGAACTAGGAGTAACATCTTGATGATTTGAATTCGGAAGTCTAGATGGCTCAGATTTTTTTTCGGTATAATCTACTGGCGTTTGAAAACCCCGTTTAACATCAGTAGCCTTTGACCATATCTTGTCTAACGTAAGTTGGCGAACAGATGGCTGGAACAAATGATCTGGTCTTTCAAATCTTGAATCAATATTTACATTTGCAGTAGTAAATACCTTTGGCAATCGGTTCCTATTATTTGGTGTTTCATAATTCATTTCTAATCTCTCCAAACTACTATTTCCAGAGTTAGTGCTATTCTGATTGCTTTCAGAGATATGGCTCGTAGAGCTATCATTTTTTAATTCTGGACAGTTATTCAAAATCCAACGCGAAATTTCGTTTTTTTTGTGTTCAGATAAACTACTGTATCCTCGATCATGAGTCGGAGTTTCAAAAAATCGACTAATATGTGTTTTTAAAGGCTTCGATATTTCTATTTGTGACCCTCCGATTTCATTATCAGATCCTGTATCTGTTTCGTTGATTACTTTATGATATTTATTAACAATTTCATTTTTTTCTCTCTCATCAGAGGAATGAGTCGGATATAATCCTTCCTCGTCACTATATACAGATTCTACGGTATCACTCTCATCAATCTCTTTTGATACTGTTGGTGATGGGTAAACAGTTAGAGTAGGTTTGACAATTCTTTTAACTTTAAAATCTTTTTTTCTAGCAAATATTGAATTTGTCTGCTTTAATGATTTTTCATTTGTATTTTTATTGGAACTGGTTGAACTCGAAGTACGACTGTCACATGAACTTTCCAGAAGTGTTTCTTTACTTTTAGGTAATGCTTTTTTTATGACATAATTATTTTTCTCTGTGTGATGTGAAATAATAGGGATACTTTCAATCTCACTTTTCTTGCTAGTCCAATGTTCATTACTTCTATTAACATTAGTTTTGATATTACGAATGGTAATGTTTCTTTCTTGAGTTGGGCTAATATATGAACTTTCAATTGAATTTGATTTTTTAGATATGGAACATATATTTTGAAGATTTATGTCCGATTCAGAATCAATGTAATCATATACTGAAAGCTGTTTATTAGTTTTTGTAGCTTTATCTATTCCTGTGTACATGATTTCTTGACTTTCTGTTAAATTAGTTTTGCCTCCATTTTTTAGATCTGTCATAGATGACTTCTTATTATAATCTAAATCACTACTATCTGATGATTGTAAAATGTAAGCACTTGGTAACCTTTTCTTATTTTTATCAACATTTGTAGACACTGGTTGACTGTAACACCACTTCCGCCAGCCTGAATTATCAGAGGTATTCTCATCGCTGGAGTCACTAATTATAACAACACTATCATCTTGAGTCTGCCTATGATTCTTATAATCATTTTTATTATCACCATCATAGGTATCGTCAACAGTCATTAAACTATCGGACAATCTCAGTCTAAAACTTTGAGATTCAGTTAAATCTCTCTTAGGGATGCCATTTCTTTCAACCATATGACATGGGTCTCTTTCTAAATCGGCAACTGACTTTTCTTTCTCCATATCGTTCATAATTCTCAAAAGTGATTTATATCCTAAAAAACAATTGTTATAAAGTTGTAATTATACATGTCTTACCAAAACATCATAAAATTAATGAGTTTATACTTTACTTTTATCAAAAGTTCTTTTTCGTTCACATCAAATGAGGTTTCGTCTTGTTTAAAATTTGTTTGTTTCTCTGTTTATAATATCCCCTTTAACAATAATTCTTGCAAAGTGAATCAGCCTCGAATTTAATGCTGAAAACAATAAAAAATTGTACTCACTTATTCTAAAATGAGAATGAAAATACAGGAATATATTATCACAAGGAAAAAAGAAAAGAATTTACGACCGTTCGCCGAAGCATTGACCGCGTTTTGGCGAGACGTTAAATGTTAAAAAAATGATTCAACTTACGTAAACAAACAGAGCAAGGTGAAATTGAAATACGTTATTCTTAACAGAACACAAGTCAAATGTCTAAAAAAGTGCAGACGTGATAAAACCCCCGCGTGAACTTAAAATCTCTCATATTACCCATTCTCTTAAAAATAATAATTCTATTGCCTTAAAAAATTCAATATTATCATCAAAGAGTCTACGGAAGATACATCATATTCAAATATTTCAACCGCACTCTCTGTGCATAAACTGTCATCATGTCAGACAATTTGGCCAACCTATAAAAGTGTTGCCAACTTTGAGGTTAGAATTTAGTAGACAGCCGCCTATCGAAATATTTTGGAACACGGCGTGAAATCTGCTGCGAAATTTTACCAAACAGTCCATTCACTGTCTCCGCGATCTTCAATCCAATCGTGAGCGAGTAAATTGGCGCCAATTGTACACCAATCAATTGAAAATCATCTTTAAAAAACATTCTTCTATTGCTCCCATCCGAAATTTGTCTTTTCCAGTAAAACATGATATAACAAAAATATACAAAGAAACGTCCAATTGTCAAGTATGTACGTACATTCCTCGCAAATAAATGTTTCTAAACGCGACTCGTAAAGCCATTTGAAATTTCGAGAAAGATGGAGACGCGCACGCGTAAGTTCTCGACCAATTGCGACACTTTCCAGAATATTCCAGACAGGGGTCAAGACCAATGACATCTGCGTGTTCCGCCGCCATGATTGGCCAGTTCTCGGTAGGAGTTAGCAGAAAGCGGTCACGGCGCTTTTGCTTTGCTTCTTTCCTGTCTAGCGCGGACGAAGTCAGTGCTTGGCTGTCGAGTAAATAAGTAAGTGTGGTTCTGCTGGTGCGACTGCCCGAAAAGCCATTCGAGAAACTTCGACCAAGAGTAGACTTCGCCCTCGGAGTGAGCAGCTCGTAATTGAACGTTATCCTAACGTTGCGAAAGAAACTCAAGATCCGAAACATCGACCATGGCCGCGATGTCCGTCATCGGAATGGACTTCGGGAATGAGAGCTGCTACATTGCCGTCGCTCGCGCGGGTGGTATAGAAACCATCGCCAACGATTACAGCCTCCGAAACACACCGTGAGTATTAAAAAAAGGATCCTCAGCTAACGCCCTCGCAAAAGATCGGCACGATCGGCCAACCGGCTCGCGCACCGGCGATCGCGATCGCGATCGCCAATTATTCCTGCCTATTCCGATGTACTTATTTATTACAAGTGTAAGGACGTTCATGGAGATGAGTGCGTACAGGTCGGGGACGTCCTCTCGAAGCTGGTCTTGCCTTATTCGTCCTGGCGATGACTGAAATCAATTTAAGGAACATGGAATTTTTAGGCTAGGTAGAAAGCTCTAAAAAATCATTAACTACCTTTTATTTGTACCGTATTCGATCGTATTTCGATCTGATTATTTATTACAAATTTAAGAATGTTCATGGTGATGAGTGCGTACAGGTCGGGGACGTCCTCTCGAAGCTGGTCTTGCCTTATTCGTCCTGGCGATGACTGAAATCAATTTAAGGAACATGGAATTTTTAGGCTAGGTAGAAAGCTCTAAAAAATTATTAATTACCACTGATTTGTACCGTATTCGATCGTATTTCGATCTGCTTATTTATAACAAATTTAAAGACGTTCATGGAGATGAGTGCGTACAGGTCGGGGACGTCCTCTCGAAGCTGGTCTTGCCTTATTCATCTTGGCGATGACTGAAATCAATTCAAGGAACATGGAATTTTTAAGCTAGATAGAAAGCTCTAAAAAATCATTAACTACCACTGATTCGTACCGTATTCGATTGTATTTCGATCTACTTATTTATTACAAGTTTAAGGATGTTCATGGAGATGAGAAAGGAGGCTAAAAGATTGATATTATGCTAATCCTAACTCTATTACACCATAGCTATTAGATTATTAAACTACTTCATATTTGGGACCTTATTTTGATGATTCATCGTTGGTATCGGTAGTATTCTTTAGCCTTGTGACACCCACGCAAGGTCATTGGCTTCCAATTGTCTCACTGGTACCTTAAATGAACATCTTCAATTTTATGTAAAATTGCTCATGTTGAAGAAAGCATCACAGTTAATAAAACATCTGAATTTTGTTCAGTGATTAAGTAATATAAATATAAAAATTATTGTATAACCCAAACTTGCTGAAACAATGTATATTTACTAACAATTAGAGTTATGTAGTAATATATATTCAACATGCAATAGCAAAACTCATTGCTGTTAATAGAATGAAGAAGGGACAGGATGTGCTTCTCTTCTATTATGTAATTGACAAAAGGTTTATCAAGGAAGTTCAGAATTTTCTGGGCAGTAATTGTATGTGATGTCTGTATAGTCAATTGATTGCTAAAGTAGGTATTTGTTCAGGGTCTATTGATTCCACATAGGATCAGATGTTCCAATTGACAAACTATATACGCAAAACCGCAGCCCTGAAAAGACGCGGATTCACTGAGCTTATTAATTTACTTTCAGTATGTTAGGGACAATTTTGATCTTATGTTTCTATTTTCAGATCATTTGTAGCGTTTTGTGAGAAAAATAGAATCCTTGGAGTAGCGGCAAAGAATCAGATGGTAACCAATATGAAAAATACCGTTTACGGATTCAAACGGTTGCTGGGAAGGAAATACAACGATCCACAAGCTCAGCAAGAACTCAAATCTCTGCCCTATAAAACTTCACAGCAGGCTGATGGAAGCATAGGAATACATGTAAGCTTTCCAATCCTTGAAAATTTAATTTAATGAATGTGGTTCGATGGAAATCAGTAGTATGTCTGTATTGAATATTAGTTATTATGTACTAATTTACAAGTACAATAATACATGATTTAACTTTTTATTGTCTTGTGGTAATATGATATTAGATTGGCACTTTAATTTTTATGTGGAACTGAAACATAATCTTTAAACTTGCAATGTAAATTGTAATAAATTATGTTATTTTGGCAATAGAATTGATTTTACAATTTTTGATGCATTTGGAAAACATAATAATTCGGTTTTTCCAGGAATCATATTGTAAAGTGGGCACTGTGCCAAACAGCTTACATGGTCAGAGTTACCAATTTTATTTATATCTCATTAGAATACTTTGTACATGATGTGGGTTATTCTTGCAAGAAAGTTGGCGTTAGGAAGAAATTACAATAAAAAAATGAAAATCAGATAAACATGAATGAATTTTTAATTTAAGTCTTTATTCATTTACTTTGTTTATATAGGTTCATTACCTGGGGAGGGAGCAAGTTTTTTCACCTGAGCAGATTACCGCCATGCTATTTACCAAATTAAAGGAAATATCCGAAACTGCCCTCCAAACTGCTGTAAATGACTGTGTCATTTCTGTTCCTTCATACTTCACTCAGTCAGAGCGGCAAGCACTTCTGGATGCTGCTCGTATAGCAGGGTTAAACGTTCTACGGTTACTTAATGAGACAACAGCTACTGCGCTATGTTATGGAATTTATAAACAGGATTTACCTGCACCTGAAGCAGCGCCACGTCATGTAGTTTTCGTTGATTGTGGTTATGCTGCTTTACAAGTTAGCGTATGTGCATTTCACAAGGGAAAACTGAAGGTTAGTGATAGACGCTTTTAATTGCATTCCTATCTATTGAAAATTCTAATTAAAATTTTATCAAATTATATGTGATATTAGTAAGATTAATGTTCTATTTTTATTACAGATGATATCCAGTGCCTCCGACTGTCATTTAGGAGGAAGGGATATAGATGAGATTCTAGCGCAGTATTTCTGCCTTGACTTCCAGTCACGTTATAAAATTGACGTGCATAGCAATCCTCGTGCGTACCAGAGATTGCTTGCCGAAGTTGAAAAACTAAAAAAACAAATGTCCGCTAATTCAACGACTCTACCTCTAAACATTGAGTGCTTCATGGATGAAAAGGATGTTCATGGAACTATGAAGCGTGCTGACATGGAGGTTAGGTGCGCGTCTATTTTTGAACGCGTAGAAAAAACTATTAGACAATGCCTTGCAGACTCCAGTGAGTATTTTGGGAATTATGATCTTTAATAAGTTGTTTTTCACTTTATATGATGTAACTAAAATTTAATCATTGATTTTTGGAATTTGTAGAATTGAAGCCTGAAGATATCCATTCAGTCGAAATAGCAGGAGGTTCCAGTCGAGTGCCAGCTATAAAACGTGTCGTTGAGGAAGTTGTAGGTCGACCAATATCCACGACACTAAATCAGGATGAATCGGTGGCTCGAGGCTGTGCTTTGCAGTGTGCTATGCTTAGTCCTGCTGTACGTGTGCGAGAGTTCTCAGTCACTGACATTCAACCGTATCCTGTAAAACTCACTTGGAATCCAATTCAAGGCGAGGACGGGTAAGTAACAATGTACAAGCAATTAACAGAAGTGAAGCTAACTTACTTAGGCTAAAAGAAATTCATTTCAGAAAAATTAGCTAAATTAACATTACAAGATCCTTTTACACAGTTTAATTTTAGCTCTCTTATATTTATGTTGCGTGTTAACATTTTAGAGAAATGGAGATCTTTGGGCACAATCACCCAGTGCCGTTTTCAAAAATGCTTACCTTCTATCGTTCCGAACCATTTACTTTGGCAGCCAGTTACATTACGCCACCGTCACACTGTCCTACATCACATATCGGTAAGTCATTTTCGTTTTTACACAGGAAATTTATTCTACTAGTACCCTATGGAGAAGAAAGAAAGTTCATGGGTGACCTGTCATGTTTTTCAGGCACGTTTGTTATAAAGAATGTAAAGTCAACGCCAGAGGGCGAGGCATCTAAAGTGAAGGTAAAAGTTCGGGTTAATCTCAACGGAATTCTGACGGTGGCCTCCGCATCGCTGGTCGAAAAACGGGAACCTATTCAGCAGGAGAAAGAGGAGGAAGAGAAGGCTCAGCAGCAACAGAAAGAAAATAATATGGATATCGAGCATCAGCAGGAAGTGGACAAACCGGATCAAGAGGCCCAAGCTAATGAACCACCAGCTCCTGAGGTACGTATTAAATATTACGAAATACGACTTAATTCGTACGATCTCCTCAGTTTGTCCACTGTCTTATCGAATCATGTCGACGGGGTGTAATGATAACTAAAAGAAATTGACCAAGTGGAGCTGGCACTATGGGCACTCCATGAAAAAGAGAAATGAGAAAGAAAAACTAATTTAACTGCAGATCGTTAATTCAACTGCATAACTATGTGAGTTTGTTATGGTTTAGGTGAGCATGGATAAGAGGCGGCGGAACTCAGATGCTGACAATGGCGGCAGTGGCTCGAGGGGATCTGCCCCCTCCTGTTCCTTCAGGATTCTCTCTTGGTTCAACTCGGTACGCGGCACACTATCTTTACTTGGACCCATACGCATAAAGTCTGACAGGCTCACATTTAATTTCTTTTTTTTTTATCACTTTGTTTTAGATTTACTGTATATGTTGGTTCTTTCAATTACTGTCTGCGTATCAGTGCGTTTCGTTATATCATCAGATGAAGTCCTGTAAGAAGTAGGTAGTCTTGTCATCGGTCTTTGAGATTTACATCAGGGGACGAACTCATTTGAATTTTAGGTGTCATCCAGGACGTGTATCAGAGTTTCAGTTTCGTTTTATTTGGCTCTTATATGACGTAGTTGCATTATCGCTACAGCATGTGTGGAGCTCGGTTATATATATAAAAAAAAGTTATGAAAGGATCCGAGTGCTGCTATTGAAGGGGTTAGGGAATCGAAAGTACGGAATCCCTAGGTTTTACTTTCTTACCGAGGAATGTAAGATAATTTCAGGGACATTTTCGAGGAATTCTTAAACTCTTCAATGTTTGTTTATTGCTATTTCGTACGTAGCTGCCTCTCAATCTGGCGATTTAATTTAAACGTTAAATCCATATTTCCTGGAACTTCCGAAGATTGCGTTTAATAAAATATTATGTTTTGTAATCAAGGACATTTTCGGGTATTCGGATATACTTTCCTACAAACAAACCTAACCTAGCATCTTTAGCAAGTGTAATCGAATGAATGCTGTTGCAAACGTATTTGAAAAAAGAAAGTTGATCTTACGTTTACAGTTACTTTATTGCATATTATACTCGCCAATTGAGGTCCACAAAGTTACATAAACTGATAGAGCTTACAAATGCATGCATATAAGGTTGCACTGCTATATGGACTAGTTATCGCTTTTTAAATGACAACTTGTGGATAATATGAGTCGCATAAAGTGTTAGTACTCTAACCTTACACAGTGTGCCTTCTGTATCCTCGGGACTCAATGTAAAAAAAAAAAATGGTAGAAATATATCTTAGAAAGCGAAAGTGGGTGAACGTATTGCTATTTGTGTACGATCAATGATAGGTTGGTGCATATGGGTCCAAGATACAGTTGTGTCATGCCGTGTTGTCTGTCTTTGCATCATCTCTCTTTTTCTTTTTTCATGTACAATTTTTAGGGAATTAATCCGATGTAAAACCTTGTCGAAGTGCTGGATACACTACAAGAGCAAAGGCAGACAATGCGGTCCGGTTTCTATCAGCACCGATTCTTTTTCTCTTCATTATTCTGTCCGCTTGATACTGACAGTCTTAATACCGATAACAAGCCTGTCGTAAGAAGGTACTGAGAAAAATCGGTGGTTGTATATAGAAAATTGCACACATTAAAAAGACGGTGTGCCTCCCTCCGTCCTGTATCATGTCTGTTCTTATCTGGTTTCCAGCTTGGCTCCTCTTATCCCCTGCCCAGTGTTTCAGTTACGTTTGCAACTATCTTGAGTTACATTCACAAGATCACGAGAACAATTTAAAAACAGAGTAAACCAAAGACAAAGTATCGTTCTAAGAAAGTTACTTTTTCGGTGACATTAATTCTAACCTCTGAGGTAAGTTGACAGATTTGTAATGGGAGGAAACAGAAATTGATTTACATCTTCTACATACAACATTTGCTGCTTCTTTATTATTTTTTGTTCGTTCCTCTTATTCCTTTTTGTTTCGTTTCGTTTCCTAGTTCTCTTGAGTGATGGAATATAGTTTACACACTTTCTTAGAACGTGCGGGTCCTTTGGTTTAACTTCAAGGTTAACTTAACGACTCATTGGACTAATGTTGCATTAACTAGAATTTTGTTTGTTTTAGGGAGATGAAAAAGGCGACGATGGGAAAGGCAAAAAGAAGGTATCCATCCACATGGTGGATCTTCCTGTGGAAGCCCAAGTTTATGGCCTCTCTCACAGAGACTTAGAAAATGCGATGGAAAGGGAGGTAAATAAAAAGTATAATAATATGGGAATGCTTTAAAAGCAGAATCCTTTCCCTTTTTTCTTGATTTGAGGCAACTATTTTGAATATTGATTTTAACTCTTAATGGGAATTATGCTTGTTCCTATGATAAATTGACTGAAGCAATACGATTCCAAATCTAACATTTTGTTCAATGCTTTATGAAACTTTTTTTTTTTTAATTTCAAATTTTACTTTGTGCAGTGCAAAATGATAGAAGAAGATAGGCAAGAGAAGGAAAGAGTAGATGCCCGAAATGCTCTAGAGGAATATGTGTATGATCTGAGAGCAAAACTGTCGGCGAAGGATCAGTTGGCTACATTTGTCACGGAAGCAGACAGAGAAAATCTGTTTCGTATTCTAGATGAAACTGAAACCTGGTTGTACGAGGAAGGTGAGGAATGCCAGCGCAATGTGTACACAGAACGGTTATCACATTTGAAGGTGGGTAACGTTTTTATTTTAGATTTTTTTTCAACATTATTTCATTAGTAAAGTAGTGATTAGTAACGTTACTAAAATTTCACAGGCGCAAGGAGAACCAATAAAAGAGAGGAAGATAGAATTTGAAGGCAGAAATCAAGCATTGGAAGAGTTAGCCAGCTCATTGCAACTCGCTAAGAAAGGATTGGACCAAGTTAAAGCATCGAGGGGAAAAGATGACAAGTATTCTCACTTGACGGATGAAGAATTGAAGACAGTTGAAAAAGCGATACAAGAGAAGTGGACGTGGCTTGAAGAGAAACGAATACTCTTTGCTAGAGTTTCTCGTACCGAACAACCTCCTGAAACTGTAGCTCAAATTCGATCGGAAAAGAACGTGAGTTTTTGTTTTTTTACGCAAACATAGAAAAATTTTACGTCAATTTTTAACCTGTTTCTCTGCAACAATTTTTTTTAACGTTGAGATGTATCTTTTCAGTCACTAAACAATATTGTTCTACCGATACTGAACAAGCCGAAGCCTAAACCTGAACCCCCAAAGGAAGATAAACCTAAAGATAAAGCTAACGAGGATCAAAAGTGCAACCAAAACAATCAGGGCGATGGACACAACCTAAATAGCCAGCAACACCAGGCGAATGATGAAAAGATGGACGTTGAGTAATGATCAACCGTTGTGTGAGCAATGCTGTTTTCATAATAATTAATCTGCCGAGATTAAAATGGTGAATATTTAAATACACATCATCTTCATTGTGTCACAGAAGCGCCTGTTGTCATAGTAGAGAGCCCACTGCTGGATTTTTCTTTTCTCAATCGTTGTTTTTGTTTAAACAAACAAATTAATGTACCGTCGAGTTGTCATTATGGAGTTTTCATGCGATATAAAACGTAAAGTCGTATGTACAGTGTTGTACGCTTGCAAGAAGCACCTTGCGGCAGGTTGTAATCGAGGTGCAAGCATTAACGACATTGTGCACAACTGTGTCTTAAACTCACTGGCTTGTGTCCTTTTCTCTCATGAAATTTTATAAACTATAAAATTTTCAAGAATGCCCAATGTCGCCACATAAGGGGTGGTTGTTCTCTTATGTACCTATTGCACGGTGTAATGATGGAAAAAGAAACAAATGTCATAATTAGAGAACTACGCAGAGTCCCTGTAAAGTGCCCAAGGGAAATTGATGTGGGGTGCTTTGCTAATAGGGGAGATTCTATGCGTTGCAACATTGTAACGTACAAAGCGACAGCTAGACCTAAACTAGACCTAGTAACTAAATTAAAAGTATAAAGTAGGTGATATCGCTGGCGATTTTATGTATTTAACAGTACATTGAGTATTCATTCCATCGATTGTTGGCTGATAGCCAAACAGCCTGTCGCATCAACATGTGTTGCATTTATGATACTTGAATAAATTAATATTTCACTAATACGTTTTGTCGCAAGTATGCTCCGATGTGTTGCACCTTGTTACAAGTACTTAGGTAAAAGCGAAAATCACTATAAGCAATCAATATCCTTTTTTTTTTCTTTCGTAAAGTACCTACATGTTGATTAGGTACTCCAAATGGTATTCTTAAAAAAATGTTCATTAAACATTGTTCGACTCTGCAATGTACGTTGATCAGAATTCGAGCACTCTTAGTTATGTCAAGTGTTTGTGGTATCATTCATTCAGCTTATATGTACAATTTAAAGAAACATCATAGTCAAGAAAATAATGTTTTAATTTCATAATTCGAGTACGAGCTGTTCCAATGAATCCTGTAAGTAATTAACCTGCATCCCTAGTATTCTTATACAAAGATCTAAGGACACATAGAATAACAGATTTCCCTGAGAGGCCTATAAATGGGCATTGTTACTAGAAAGAAGGTAATGTTATGGTTACATTATCCGAGCGCTCTAAAAAGGCGCTAGTAAATACAGGAACATTTGTGAGAGCGAAACAGTATAGTACTTAAAGTGTGCAAATATGTCATGAGTATTTGCACGATTGAAACTACTTTTTGTTCCTTCTGTTCACTCGTCACAGGTGTAGGAGTAAAGAAAAGTTAAAATTGGATTTTAATGGTTTACTATTATAGCGCAGTATAAACCTCATACATACAAAACTGTATCATTTGTACACATGTACTTTACAATAATAGCGAAATGACACAAGATACTCGTATTAAGATGTGCCGCTTTAAGATGCTACAGGCTAGGAATGTTTACATGATTTACCTGCCTTCCGTACTTTGCAATTAATAACTTCAATGACAGCCATTAGGATTGGCCAGTCTTTCATTCGACGGTTGGATGTATATATTGTTGTTAGTTGTATTTACGTTCTAACGTTCAAATGAAACACTGGGCCTTGTTTTTATTTACCGAACAAATCGCAATTGAATAGTGTCTCACGTCTGCGTTACTGTAGATCTTTTTTTATGCATTATTATGAACGCACTGTAACTTTTCCAAGTAAATAGAAAGAATTGTAAAACCACTAGGCGAGTCTCTAACGTGCATATCTTTACACATCTCATTCCTCCACTGAATAACGTCCCTCATTTACATGACTGTATTCGTTGCATTTTCAGACGTAGATTTAATTAAGGAATTAAAACTCGATCCAATGTTCCTGGTGACTTGTATGCTAGTTGCATTCAATATGTGAAGCTTGGGAATATTCAATAATATCGGTAAATGATACTACTACTGACATTATTTTGCCAACATTAACGACGTAACGAATATTTAGTTGCATTTTTTATATTTTCGTTGAGATATGGATGTTAAAATGATTAGCGAGTATGTAAAATATGTTAGTCCATTTGTATTTATGACATGCTGATTACCAGATTATTATTACTTTATAATTGTAAGTCTGTCCCTCACTCCGATAGGCTAATAACACTGTTATCTCATTTTTGTTTTGCATAATCAAATTAACTGGCTTGGAATAGCTGATACATTCCATGAAAATCAAATTTCGCGACCTGGCCTTTATTGGCACATGTCACAGATTTTGCAAAATAGCCGTCAGAAATCTCATGCAATTTGTTTGCCTTCATGTTACGAGTCAATATGGCTAACTTATCTTTAGCCTTAAATATCAGAAAAGTTAATCCGATTTAGAAGAAATTTTTGGTTGGGTATCAAAGTATGCTTTATATATAAAAGCTCCCAAAGCAGCATGTAACACTATCACGGCTATTCCTGCTGCATAGACATTACTCGGTATGGTGTCCAATCCCAGTAATCCTGTAAAAAATGTGCAAATAGAGTATCTGCCGTTTACACAACTATGCTTCATGAACGAAATAAAGTACCACAGATCTATTAACTAAGTCGTAAATTGATTGGAAATTCTTTAAACCCATCGATTAAATTTTAAAAACATTCAGTCGATTCATTTTAGACAGAGACTTACCATCGAATAAGAAAATCTTGCTGGTAAAGAATGAAAGTACTGGTAAGGTAATTATAACGAGGCAATGAAAGAAGACTATCCTAAATGCACGTAGTTCAGGAAGTTCCTGAAACAAAGAGACGTTCCTGAAATAATGACGACGGTATGTTTGATCAGACATAAGTGAAGTTAACGATTCAGCCCATTAAAAATAATACAGTAAATCGTTTAAAGAAGTATACAAACTCTAACGTCAGCCATAGCAGAAAGTAGTATCAAACTTCTTCACTGAAATAGAGTTGATACAACAGCAGATTTGTCTTGATAATAATCAGCCTTTAATTTTGTATGACACAATTGCATTGCATCCTATTGGTTATGTAGATTAATTTGCATAATGTGCCATACGATCTTACGATATTGTTCATTAACTTGTGCAGTTTGTCAATGACAATCTGTACAAATGACAGAAAATTAGACGTGGTAATTAACGCGTCTGTTAACGTTTCAATTCGAAGCAACCTATCATCACTGGTCATTACCGATCACAGCCGATTGCACTAAAATTGTTCAAGTTAGGCATGAACTAAAGACTGCTAAAGGCTAATTCCAGAGATGAATTGGGAGACAGAGATGAGTTGGGAGATTGCTCACGGGCAGGGTCGTGAAATTGTGGCGGGCCCGGGACGAAGTCCGGCCATCGACCACCAGGGGCGTAGCGCGCGTCGAGCGCGATGCGATCAGGACGAGGTAAACTGCGTTACCCCGCGTGCACAATAGTTTACTTACCTCGAACCAAAAGACGACTACGTCGGAAAATGTTTACAAAACAGTTGTAAATCGATGAGAAGACTTTGTGACCAATTCTAGAGCGCACGTGGAAATCCTCTCCTTTTGCTATGTTAATAAAGCAATAACTATAAATAAAGTGGTGAAATATATTTGACAATCCCCACAAAATCGCATCCTGTGCTGCCCTCTGGTTTCGTACGTTAGCTTTCACCGTTTTTTGCCCCCAAGGGCGGCGCAACGAATTTCTGGTAGGGGCTCGCGCACTCGCGATGGCGATACCATCTACCAGTATCCCATGACGGCTCACGTACATACTCGTGATGGTAGTACCTTGCGGCTGTTGACGGTGGTGGCTTGCCAACGCTTACCGACACTGCTCGCTTTTGATGGTAAGGAAAGAACATTCGTGGCACCCGCTTTGACTTTACTCTTCACTTACTTTATTTATTTTACAACAAAGTGAAATTTTACCTTAATTAAATTCTACTTCACAGTTAGTTCGCGGATCGGTGTCATCCCATAAGGATGTTACCGATCCCCCAGGTCCCGCCACGAGGAGGCCGCTGCGATCGGGACCCGCCTAAGCATAGGCACCTGGTTCCGTTGAGTTCCCGGCGTCCCAGGAACTCACAGAGCCAGGATTTCATCACCCATACAGCACACCACTCGCATACCATACAACACACCACTCGCATACCATACGCATCCGTCCATACAACGCTCGCCGCAGAGTACAGGGTAAGTCACCGAGTACATTGCCAGTTGGCATAGAATTACGGATATAATTTGCCGGAAGGGCATACTACTTCTAACGCGAACAATCCAGCAGCTTCCACCGTCACCGACGACTAACCCAGCTCGGCTGTCGGCCCGCGAATACGAGTTTCAGTCGACGGGCTTGTCCCGGCTTACAGCAGGCAGAGCCCCCGCGGGATGCCGCCAGAGCGAAACAACGTATCGCGCAACCGACAACCTGAGCCAGGTAGCCTTGCACGCCGTAGCTTAGCTACGACATACTAAGTGCCGACGGAAGCTGCCGAATACACTAAAGGTACGGCAATGCCGTACCTGCAAAAATCTACTTCGGTTAGCACGCATATCCGAAATTACTACCTGCATGGAAAGGTACTCGACAACGTCCTGACCGCAATTTACAATTACGCACGCACGCAATGAGTGTTTCCACTTTTAACTACGTTAAGCTACGGTCATACAAAAAAAAAAAAAAACGCTAAGTGGAACCACTCGCGCAGCTATTTGCGAATCGGTGGTTTCGAACAATAGTTGGAAACCACCGATTCCCCAGGCTCACCACGTGGAGGTTGCTGCGCACCGAAGCCCTTTACAAACGTAATAAATTAAGTTAAATATATTAAGAAAGGAAACGGAAGGGAGGGGGGATGTCTCCCATAAGGCCCGGTTTCACAACCCAAGTTAACCGAAGTTTGATTTTTAACCGTTAGGTTAAACCATAGGTTAAAACTTGGATTAACCGTTTGATTTAACCGTAGGTTAAAACTGGGGTTGACCGTTAGGTTCAACCGTAGGTTAAAACTTGGATTAACCGTAGGTTAAAACTGGGGTTGACCGTTAGGTTTAACCGTCGGTTAAAACTGCGGTTAACCGTTAAGTTTAATCGTAGGTTAAAACTGGGGTTAAACCAGTTACGGTACAAGCAGGTAACCCGATGTTTACCCTTCGGATGACCAAAGGGTAATGATGCTCCGAGCGCGCACTCGGCCTTATATAGGGTCCCCGACCCCGTCATGCGCATGCGCAGTTCCTTATCACACCTTTGTATATTCTAATTTTGGAATTTTTTTATAATAACGGAATTTCATGGCTACGGAACCCTTTTTTAGGGTCTTCATACTCACGTTATAAAATTTTAAACGATTAGGTACACCTAGTTTGTGAAAAATTTCCTTATCAACCAACCCCTCGGTTGCCTCTTTCTCGTCACCTTAACGGAAAATCCGTAATTATAAGATAATGCACTTGAAGGGTACCTTTCTCAGGTATCTGCGATCAGGTGTCGACCGGGAGAAGCGACGGTACGGTAATTAAGGACTCCCGATTATCACAAAATCCTAATCATCATAAAATCCCCAAATTCTAATAATCAATTTTGAAATATATTAATCAACCGTATTAGACATTTTTTACGATCATACGTCTCTACTAATTCTCTTTGATATGGACGGAGTACAAATTCATGGAAAAGAGATGGAGAAGCTTGCATTATCTGTGTACTAGATGGCACTACTTGCAATTACGGTTTCACCTTGCCCTGATCCAAAAATGTTATGAGAAACTCTAAAATCATCGACTTACCACTTGTCAGCATTTCGTTTTCATATCAGAGTGAGATTAATTGATACTTATTGTATTTTTCTCAGGACAATTGAATAAACGATACCGAGTTTTACAAATGGCGTAAGTGTATATGCCTCTTATCGTTATTTGAACATGTTTTTAGTGCTTTCGTTGTAGGTTATATTTCGGTTAAAATGTGCACAGCTTTGACAGCAACTTCTTCCATATGGTGCATAACAAGATACGATTGTATTTAACGTTTATGATTGTTCGTAAAAAAATTCAAAGATGTGTTTAACGTTAGAACGTACTTCATGATTTAATAATAAATTAATCGTTGTCAATAATGAGTTTATACTCCTTAGGTCCAAAGTTACATTCAAGATTACTTTGACGTCAGATCCGAAGCTGCCCTTTAAAGTGTAAGTTCAGTGATTTTTTAATATTTGTTGAAAGTAAATTATTCACGTTACGTATAGTTCATTGGTCTCTTGTTTAAAACTGTGAAATTTTTTTTTATAATTTGAAAGTTATTCTTTTGGGCAGATGACCAGTCCATTGAAGGGATCATCGTTGGGTTAATATCATTTGTGGACCAAATTTGTATAAATACACATTGCAGTGTTATCATGTGCGATGCAGAGTTCTCGGAGGTAGTGAAAGTTTTTGACACTTATCTAACGTTTCTGGAACATCCAAACATTGGCGAATACATAAACACTGAGAATGTCTCGCACGTGTTTCAATGTTGTCAATTTATTGAGACCACGATCGCAAGAGTGCAACAAAAGGGAAAGGTGGAAATTTTTGAGAGTCTCATGAATGACTGGTGGTCGGAGAACAAACGATCAAGAACGTTCAAATGTATCGACTTTGCGACAGCTTGTGACAAAATACTTGAGATTTATTTGAAAGATTCAGCCGTTTCGATCTCGGTTGTTGATAAACTATTAACTCAGTATGTTCAGCATTGTGGAAAAGACAGATTGAACGTATTCCTCAACACCGTGCTGATCATTTCATTGTGTAGTAGAACAATTCTACAGTCTCTGATAGAATTGGGAGTATCTAGCAAACAGATAGAAGACGAAGCATTAATAATGGTTTGGGAGGCTGAAGCTAACAGCGGTAGACAGGATGAAGTTTATAAATGCATAAACAAAATGCTGGAAGATGGTCTTATATTAAAGTTAGTTCGCCTGGCTACGGAACAAGATAATGCATGTCACGTTAAAAAACTTGTCATAGATAATTTCACTAAACGGGCCATTGCAAACGATCCTTCTCTTTTCGTAGCTTTTTCAAAGATTGGTCCAAAATTGCTTCTGAAGCTTCTTAGGAGCAACTTCGAATTTTATACCAGTTTTGTCGACACCTTATTTTACTTTGGTCGTAAGATGAACAAATCTGGAAATGTTTGGACTTCTTCTCACCAGTTCAAATATGACCATCTTGTTAGATTAATTACAATTCTTATGGAAGGTCCTCGTGAGATGTACAATGAAGTAACGGATAGATTAAACGTTGCAAAAAGCCAGCCTGGAGGTTCTATCTGGTACGATGTCGAGAAAGATTGGTTGTGGTAGTAGGAATAGTATTTTACAACGTTTAAGAAATTCTATAATCATCATGAAATATTTGACCAGTTATTGTACAATACAAAATAAATTCTTTTTTTATACGAAAGCAAATTATTTTGACTGACCCAATGCACTTATTACGAGCCAGATTTTTTTAGTAACAATCTGACCAAAGTTATTAACATCTCGGAAATAAAAGTGTCTTTATAATCGCAACAAACTAAAATAAAATTTAAATTTAATATGTTCATACATCAAAGAATTCTTTTTATGAAAATCAGTTTAAGCCTTTATCAGTAAAATTGCGTACAATAAATGCTATCAATGTTCCATTGTAGACTCAGTGTACCAGAAAATACACCATTCACTGCTGTGCTTAAGTTTGCTGCCGAAGAATTCAAGGTTGCAGCAGAGACATCTGCAATCATAACCGATGATGGTATTGGCATCAATCCTCAACAAACAGCGGGTACATACACAGTTATTCCTTTTACAAGTTAAAATAAATTATAATTATACATTCAATGGCTCTAAATCAAGGCTCCTCCTATACTTTAGAGTGTTAAAATTAATAGCAGTTATTATAATTTAGGGTATTTAATTAACTCATTTTATCTGTCATAGGCAACATATTCCTTAAACATGGTTCAGAGCTGAGGTTGATCCCCAGAGATCGAGTTGGAGACCACAGTTGACTCGGACTGCATTGTCAGTTATTCAAAGCCTATTTCAATATATAAATAAATTCCCTTTTATCAGCTTTATTATTACGCCCCGTGTAAAATGCGTCTATCGAAGTTTCCATGTGCATGGATAGCGTATATGTAAGTTTCCCTCGAGAGTCATCGAGGAATAACTTACAATTCTGTTATCGGTAACATGTTGCTAATTTCATAAGCATGTAAATACTTTATGGAACAATTATTTCCCAAACTATCACTGTACACTGACGTTCAGAGACGCGGGAACAACAATAAAGTATTTAAATTATTTTATAACTTTGAAATGATTATAAACGTTTTTAATAAAATACAGAAATGTTTGTACTTGTACCAGTAGTGTTGATTTATATTTGGATGTGTGGCTGTTTACTTGATTCAATTACCAGTATTTTAGTTGTCACCGAGGTCAATCAAAAACTTGTATGCGAGTTTGTTCTTTTCCAGTTCGGCTCAATTTAGTGGAATACCTCTCATCAGGTAGAGGATTAGGAATGATTATCTTTGGCATCACTAACCTAGAATTATTGGTTCTATAAAGGAAAACTTTCCACTCGGTTCCATAGAAATATTTTATAGATGAAATACACGTACGATACAAGACCGATACAAAGAGACGTTACTACATGACACGATTACTAGCTAGACGATCGTTCTAAGCCAATGGCGATTTTCGACATGGGACTAAACTTCGATCCGGAGGAGGTCGTTTGAGCTTTGTGGAGAACCGAGTCCTTGCCTCTGTTTCCCTCCACTCGGCTCGACTTTATTCTTATTTAAAACGACATTAGTGATAGCGAATCGAGGCTGAACTTACAAAGATACGGGGACTGCATGAAAATCAGGAATCTCACAACAGAACGTAATACGTTACAATGTCTTGGAATATCACTTGATGCAAACTCATCGTCGGTCCTGTGGCTAAACATCTCACAGAGTAAAGTTGGTTCCTCTAGCAAGAATCTGGCCAGTTTAATATTCCTTGTTTGAACTTAGTAGTCCACGGTCATATTCCATCCATTGATGCTGATCGAGGACTCCGAAGAGCTGTCGACGGGCAGTTAACCTCACATTAGTCGGTTGCTACAAATGATATCTTAACCCTCCAAATGCTTGCTAGGATCGCTACAATTAAGGATGAAAGCGAACCCTACGAGTGGACGGCGCGGGAAACCTCGGGAATCCGTGATGAGCCGCGTCTCGCGTTTATAACCTGTAAATTACAAGTTACCGCCCTCAGGTCCCCCGAACGTGCAGGGTGGTCTCGTGTGATTCTGGACGTTCCGGTTTTTCAGACTCGACAAAATTCTAAAAAATATACACGTTCGTTCACGCTCGTGAAGTATACGCTAAAGGGTCTCGCTTAAGTAAGGGGGGCGACCGTGGACCTATAATACATGGACTGCACATAACCTGCACAGGAATAAAATACCTAGTAATTTACTATAAAACAGAAAACTAATAAACTACCCGAGGACGTTTTGAATTTTTCATTCCTTGACGTTCTGTCTTGAGTACACGGTCGGATATTAATGTTTCCTCTTTGTGAACTGACATATTCGTCGAGAAGGCATTAATGTCCACCCATGTACAGAAACTCTTAGGCCATAAATATCTAGACCTCGCAGTGGAAGAGGTAAACGAATCTACCACGTGTCCCGACGATTCACCCACAGTTAAAGCCATTCTATTTACTGAAAATCAGATTGGGAAGTCCAATGCGGGGTCTAGATATATATGGTCTAAGCAGAAACTAGAGATGTACAGTAGCGGCCATTAATGACTTCCGCTCGTGCAGTGGCGCCACCGTGTTCGCAGAAAAGGCACTCATGGCCGACAATGTACAGTCCGAGTATTATTCGTCCACAGGAGCAACGCATGCCGGAATAATGGTCAAGCCGCGATGTTTCGTCGTAGTTTTAGATTAGAAGAAATCACCAATACAGTCTAGTTCGTTCTCCCTTCTCCCTGTCGAATATCATAACGTTTTGGCACCTGATTTCTCTTACGACTCGATGACTTGACTTGCGTGCTAGCATTGAACATTAAGGCGACTCGCAAGCAAGACCTCTTCTCGTTACACTTTTCATCCTAACCTTAAATTTGGTCCTGACCTCAGTTACAAATATTTCCTAAATCCCTTTCTATTTTCTTTTGGAGGACTTGCTTGCCATTCGTCCGTGTTATTTCATTTGAATTTTCAATGCTTACTCTTGTTCCCTCGCGAGGGGACGTAGCACCAGAAAAACTATGGTCGTTACTCGCACCTAACCTTTATGATTAACTCATTTACTGGCAAAATGGTTTACGTTGCATTTTCGAAACGCCATGAATGTGATACAAGAAGTTTGTTACTTGTTATAAGGTATGAATATGGTTTCTTAACAGCCGTCTCGTCATCTTTAAGGGAATGTGAAAGTGACATGCGAGGGGTGAATCGTTCATGAAACATTCCTCTAAACAGGGTGTACCGAATCGTTTCAAACTTTACAACGTAAACATGGAGTCTATAAAGAAGGTCCTGACCGTCGTGAAAGTTCATTCCTTATAAAAAATATAAAAAAAATGTCAAAAACGCCTATAAACAAATTAAAAACAAAAATTGAAATTTCACGGGGTTGAGGACCTTCTTTAAAGCTTCCATATTCATATTGTAAAATTTAAACCGACTCGGTGCACCCACTTAGATGAAAAGTTTCATAAACGAGACCCCTTTGACGTCACGTTCACATTACCTTAACCCTTTAATTACGAAACGCCACTATAGTGACTTCCACATGATCGACGTTTTTTACGAAGCATCACCATAGTGGCCCCCTTCATTCCCTTATATTCAAAGTGACAAATACACATCGTATTCATATAAAATATTACCCACGAAGCAGTATAAGGAGATACAACTCCGTATATTGAAATCGTTCCCACTCTAGGTGTCCAAGATCTTCAGATTTTTTCCGATCCAGTGCCGAGAGCGCCTTCTGGATGAAATTTCGATGTTAAAAATGTTCGTTTATTAGCGGGTCCGCTAGTCTTTATCACGTTAAAAACATCACATTCTATCATGCGCGGATTATCGATAAGCTTTGTGTACCTTAATAGCAAAATTAAAAGCATTTCAGGTGATTTACGTCGATAGGAGATGTTTCGGTGACGTAGATTGGAGTTCCCTCATTTACCGCGAGTAGCGCTCGCATCGTTAGATCAGCGAAATTCTGAGATCCTAGGTCCCGATTCTAGGGTCACTTTCTGCGGAACCGACCATTGACGTTATGTCTCCTTATACTAGTTCATGGTGGTACACCTCCACGTCCAACTCCGCCGTAATTAAAGGGTTAAAACAGAAATTCTGAGCATGAGAATTAGCAAAGATAGGTCGCAAAGCGAGAACTGTCTGTTCTCCGGCCTGTGAGAACGCCCCGTACTAAAAATATCTCTTAATCAAACTAGTCTACTAGTGTCTTAGAAACTCGAGCAGCGCCAGTACCGAGTATAGGTACGGGTGTTCCGGTAGGAATGAGAAAGGTGTAAAAGTGTAAAATCGGTTACATCGGCGGCCGCTAGATGGCCGCTCGAGCGTAAGAAATGCTTCTCTTCTCTCGCCTACCTCTTCCATGCTTATCGATAGTGCACAAATGCGCAAGTATGCTTAATTCTAGCTCTTACTTTCTAACGTGTTTAGCGTGTTCGCTCGGTACCTAATTAGTATAATTATACTAACGACTTTCACACTCAACGCACATTTCAATCTAAGGTGTCATGTATATATGTGTTACAGTGAAACACCGAAATCTGGAGAATGTCGACTTTCACCGGTGAATGTCAACATTCACATAGTCGCTTAGTGTATGTGCGAAATATTTGCTAAATACCCTTATTTCTGACTTACACCGGTAAATGTTGACATTCATCATGCACTAATATCTGTGATTGTCGACACACACTGGAGAGGGTCCGAATGTACAACAATGTAATGAAATATTCGATCTTTCACCGACGTATTTGGTATCTGTTGACATTCACCGGTGAAAGTCGACATTCTCCAATTTCGGTCATTCACGGTAACATATGTATATCAAAAAGTCAATATTTTTATAAAACTTTTCTCCAAACTGGGTGCACCGAATAATTTGAAACTTTAACACGTGATCATCGAGGTCCTAAATTCAGATTCCTAGTTTCAGATTATTCGGTATACTCGGTTTGGAAAAAAGTTTTATAAATATTTTGACGTTTTCATATATATATATGGAATGACCCTTTCATGTCACCTTAACGTGGTTCGAAACTAACCTTTCCGTCATACGGCAATTCACGTTTAAATTTCAAGATGGCGTCGCTTTTTCATCGAAAATTTCTCACGGACGCCGATTTCTCAGTTAATGAATTTCTGTAATTTCTAATCGATAAGATGTTAAGTTTTCGTTTCAATAGTGATGGTCATCGTTTATTGTTAACGGCAACTTCAATCTGACGAATGCAAAAGGTTATTTTCGAGCCCCTTAATGTCCCTAAATGCACACCGCAGACCGTTCTCTGCCATAACCTTACTTTCCCTCAACCACGCCACTCGATCCTTCAGTTTCACTCGCGGAACAAACGCTTCGTTCTAACTAAATGCTAGATACTCGAGAGCCGCCTGAATCCTCAATGATTCGATCGAATTAAATTCTAATTTGAAAGCGATTACATTATTCTCGCCCGCGCGCACCTATAAGCCATTTTACGCAGTCTTTTCGTAAGTCGGAAATGGACTTTTCAGGGAAATTAAGATAGAAATTTCGCGGGAGGGGAAGGAGAAAGAGAAAATTGCAAAAAGCATCTCGAGGACCAAAGCTTGCTAACGTTTCGAGCCGCGCTTAAATGCATTTGGCGCGAAACTCATCCCGAGTTTCTTTACGTGCCTCGCCTCCTTACACACGTCATACACAGTTCCTCGACATGAAATGACTTCAGCGTAATGATCTAGAATCTATGACCACCCATGCAGTACATTCTAAAATTATCCAGTAATATAAACCCATCGTTAAGGTGATGTGAAAGTGACGTCAGAGAGGTCTCGTTTTTGAAACTTTTCTCCGAACTGGATGTACCGCATCATTTCAAACTTGACAATGTAAATATGGAGGCTATAAAGAAGGTACTAACACTCATAAAATTTCAATTTTTTTTTTAATTTGTTTATAGATATTTTCAAAATTTTTTATAACAAATTAAATTTTATGGGTGCCAGACCTACGTCATCGCCTCCATGTTTATGTAGTAAAGTTTAAAACGATCCGGTACACCTAGTTCGTAGAAAAGTTTCATAAACGATTGATCTTTCGGATACCACTTTCGCATCTCCTTAAAGGATTAAAAACGTTGATAGATAAGTAAAAAAGGCAGCTTTCTAGGCTCAAAGTAAAACAGTCCCGATCACTTTGTTATTTAGTTGCGATAACTCTGTCAAATATATCGTACAGAAAAATTCATTAAGTAACGATTAATATTCTCCCAAGAATCAAGAACATGATACAAGTACGTGTTTAATACATCGACGGAAAGCGTTGATCATTTCAATTGGAAGATTTCCTGAAAACTAGTCGATGGTTTGCAGGGAATATTTAGATCTTGTCCATCCCTTCGATATTAATTATAAACCCCTTAATCTCAGGAAATTACTACTCCGCAGTATCAGCAAAAAAGGACCACCACTCATCGACTCATCGAAACTTAACTCCTAACCTACAAAATTTGGGTATCGGGTTACCCATAACCTTTCAAAGTACTTTTCAAGGATACGGAGCGTGAATTTAACGAGACTTACTGAAACACCCACTCGAGACCCTAACGCGCAATAAGCAATCGGTTGAATAAATAATTTCACCGCCTCCTCTAAGATCGATATCAAAATTTAAACTCTATCGATAAGGTCCGACAGAAAAATAGGCATCCGATGACCTAGATATTATTTACAAAATTCTAACTGATTAAACTTATCTCTCTTTGGGACTTCCTCTCCGAAGGCAGCACTTTGGAATGAGAAATAATATCCCGCAATAAGTGTTACTACGATCCATAATTACTAAAAAGAAAGAAATCCGTGAATAATTAAATTCGAGTCTCGCCGTGGCTCGAAAATTTGTAGAAAATTCTACCTGCAAACTAACGAGTACCACTTAAATATAAAGCAGAGCTGATTAACGAGCTTTTCTATGGCCACTGGTACGATTTCTCGTCTCCCTTACGCTCTTATTAATTACACAAGACTCGAGGAATGTATTGATTTACATGATATATAAAGCAACTCAGCGAAAAGCTTTCTTCGGGCAATGATTAGGCTTCTAATGTATAATGACGTGATAAGACGGAAAAACTAATAGAAATAAAAGTCAAGCATATGTCTGGCATTTACGAATATACGGTATACAACATGCTGACGTTTATTCGACGAGGATGTTAATCTTATTGTTAGTTGGAAAATATTTAAACGCCATGTAAGAATACGCTCGATCTGATTAAAGGAAAGATCACCCATTAATGGAGTATTATATAAAATTCAGTACGTGACCGAAGGAATTGTCCTAAATACGGGGAGTATTACAAAAATTGCAGTCGCTTCGACTTCTCTCGCGATTTCGGCTAATTGATTAATTCATTTCCACGCTTTTGAGCATTTTATATACCAAAGAGCCGATCAATAGGCGATAAATATCCCATACTGATTGCTTGGAACGAAAACCACGCTAGATCGTTCGTCCTAATACTGCCAATTTCATTTCTAATACTTCATTTAGAGAACAGTCCTCGAGAATGGGATCGCCACGAGAATTCCTTGCGTTTATTATATATCTATCAAGGCAGTAACTAAAGAAGCATCATTCAACTAGAAAGGAAGCTAAGAGAATCGAGAGACTGTCCGATAACTTATCGTAACATAATGCATGCGTATAATTTTATAATCTACATTGTTCTCATAATAGTATAAACTGCAATACTAGTTTTGAGACGTTCACATCCTAACTCGATTTAATTTGCACGAAACTTCCGCTTCCTGCAAAATTCGAATGGGCCGTGATAGAAAAATGTTCTTTAAAAATTAGGTTATTACAACGCAAATTCATGTAGCGACACCATTATTGCAATACTTTTAATACGATTAAACTCAATGAAATCTAATCTGCCAAGGATGCTTGGCAAAACAGTCAGCTGCCTTGGAATGACGGTTAAGTCTAACAGTAACGTAACATCGAAGAACGTATAAGATGACGGAAAGTCTAAGAGAATTTACGGACTCCTCATCTGGCAAATTTAATATCCAGTTTTTCCTTTTCCGTTGACAGACAAAGACGTAAATATTAAATTCGGTTGAATCATGGATTCCTGTGAACCAAGTGACAGGATTCACAGATGGAGGGAGTCCTCATCTAACTTTTGATCAGGTTAGGTCACCAGTATTTAGATGCACGGCAAGGTGAAGAAATTATAAAAAGGAACAAAGTTTCGAGCCTAATATCGAGCAGAATATGGAAATTAATCATGCGGAACCTCATTTATGGCTCGGCCGATGAAAATAAGAGATCGGCCTTGAATACCTTCCTACGAACACATTTGCACGCGTACATACGTACATACGCCTAAATCGAGATGTTAAAGCCTCCCGTTCAAAAACTCGCACCGCGAACACGCACTTATACGTATCATCTATATAATTATAAATAATTCTTAGCCCCAGCGGAGCCGACGCCGTTGTGCGTCTTCATGGTGGATCACTTACCGAATACATATCACGATCTCACTACTATGACTCGCTTTGCCTTACACTTAAATTACCCACTGCACGCTCAGCTCACTCGTCCTGTAATATCAAACCAGACAAGATTTATTCCTGGTGATTTGCAGGAAAATTTAAGAAAAAAGAACGAAGCGAGTTATTTAATATGAAGATTTTAGCAAGACAACGACCTACCCATTCGTGCTCATCCACACCATCCATGTGGTCTTGTTCCAATGTGCAGCAAATAACATCCCCCACAATGTTGCTCATCGACTTTTGGATCTACCACACAGCACATAATACACACAATACAATAATCGAGTGTAAGCGTTCTGGTGACCAAGAAACTTAGTTCTTCCGATACAAATGAAATCCATTTGCGGAACAAATTAAAAGTACTTTTCATTTACCGGTTACAACTGACACTGTGCTTCAATAGCAATTATTTTCAGATCGGTCCTTCATATCGATCAAGTAAAACTTACGAAGCTTGAATTCCAATTTATCCTCTAATTATATTCAGTAATATCTGTATTGGTTTTATTATTACGATGAACTACCCAAAGGCAAAACGTTTTCCTTTCTTTTTTTTTCAGGGTTTAAAGTAAAGAATGAGAATGTTTTGAATATTTCATGAAAGGAAGGAATTTTACTGTGAAACGTGCAAAGAACAATAGTGTTCCTGACTCACCTCTTCCAGCCTCGATTTTACTTGCACCGCTGTGTCTGGATTCCAGCCTACTCTACTGGAAAGTTGCGATGCACCACTTGCACCTGTGGACTGCTTCGCTGCTACCGGGGCAGTTGCTACCCCTTGACCTTGGTTCTCGGTAACTGAAGAAGCCAATCATAAAAATAAAATCTAAATATTTCTTAAAAGTACCTTACTAATGCACATCTAACTTTCATTTCAAATCAGAATAAAGAGAGAATAAAAACTTACGACAATCCATGCCTGGCGGCTTGAGGCTAATTCTTGGAGCTTGCTTATTGGCTCCACTGAACCATTCTGTCGATGTCATAGTTGGTTTCCACATCACCTTGGTAGGTGGAAACAAGTCATCTTGGAAGAGCTCACTCTGTAAATAACCATTAGCGGTAAGAGTTTCATTTTCCATAGATTGATAATTTTTTAACATATATTTAACGAGTCCCCAGTCATACCTTAATACGCGGCACAGTGAAGCTCAACGGCTCTATCGTGTTATTCGTTAATCTCAATGCTGAAGCGAATTCAACACCAGCGACATCGCACTTATTTTTCGGCAGAAAAGACAATCCTTGATGCAAGCTCGCACAGCGATGGTGACTGAGTGGACAAATATATGGAGCTTCTTCCGTAACCTCAAAAGCATAGATCGTCGAATCACCCTGAAGAGCACCATCAAGGTTATCGGAGGATCTAAAGAAATTAATTGAACAATGTTTCTATACTCACTCGACCTGTGAGGAACAGAGTTGAGCTATCCTCGTCATAATACGGCATCAATATCGCTGGCGAGACATCTAACCCAACTGTGTTCAAAGGAGTGTTAAGATTGTCCGCCTTGAAAACAAGAATCTGCCTCTCCGAGACTCTAAAAAAATAATGGGGATCACTCGTTAGTTCACTGTCCTTGTATAAAGTATGTAGCATCATTTTATCACCACCATTGTCTTTGTAAAACCAGTAGAATATAATTTTAATTTTTATATAGAGTGATAATTACTTGTCGAAGCCCATCACCACGACGTATCTTCCATCGAGAGCCCACACAACTCTGGCTCCCCTCGTCCCAACTGGTCCTTTTCCTTCTTTGATGGGCACATCGCTACTTCTAGGTTTATACAACCGAAGTTTACCGTCTTTGCAAGCGCTGACAAGATATTGACCACAAGGTGACCACGCCAAGCTGAAAATCTGGTCCGTGTGGCCATTTAGGGTTATATTTGCAACAGCGGAACCGGAAGCCGTCAATGGAGAGAGGTCCCAGATTTTAATCGTCATGTCATAAGAAGCCGACGCCAACACGTCTGTTGCCATTGGATGGAACTTGATCAGATAGATTTTATCCGTGTGTGCTTCGATCGTGAATCGAGGTTCATTAGTGGGCTCCGTTAAGCCATTGTCAGGGATCTCCCACAGTCGAATCATGCCATCGTCACAAGCTTTCGTGGATAAAAATTCATTAGTTTCATTAGTAAGAACGCCTTTTACATGTAAAACTAATATACAAGATATTACCAACTGCTAAACGTTGATTGTCAAAGGGGTCCCATTGAAAGTCCATAACAGTGGCCCCGTGAACTAACGCTGGCATTACGCCATCAGGCAATCTTCCAGTTTTCTTTAATTCTAGCACCGCAATCTTGCCTCCAGGTCCACTTAAAGGTACAGCCACACGGTCAGAATTAGCTGAAATGGAATAATCACTTAACATAATAATTACATAATTTATAATAAATTAAAACACAAAGTGCATGCATCAACACCTTTCCCTCACATACAGTGTTCAACATAAAATCGACAACGTACACAACCATCGGTCAACCTAATTAATTATTACCCCGACATAAACATTCCAACGCACTCACCATGAAAACCATCACATTCTCCAGATATCTGTCTACTTATATTTCTGATATTTTCGATATGCGTTGATTTATGTCCAGGAGTTCCCTTGAGATGTCTGAATTTTGAGACTCTGCCTGCAAAAATACACACCGGAGAAATTATTCACCTAGGAGTGTTCAAAGCCCATTTCAAGAATTGAGAATATTTTCAATAATAATCAAGAGTTAATTTAGAGCATTCAAATTTTTACCAAAGACGGTTGACGTCCTTTTCGGTGTCGGTGTCATGGTAGGCTCCGGCTTCTCCAATCTTGGGTCCATACTTTGCTGACGCAGCACAGGAGAAGGCTTCTTCGGTTCATCTTCTTTGATGATTTCGTTTCTCGCCTTGAAAGAGTCTCTTCTTCTGATCGCTGTGGGCGAGCCCATGGTCTTTTCAGCTAAATTACCATCGGTCACCGAGACCGAACGACTCTCATAAAGTCGTCTCCTTTCAGCAATGGAGTTTCTGTTCGAAATACCGCGCTCAAAGCTTCCCGGCTCTTCCGCTTCCGGTGACTCGTCCTTAACTTTAGTCTCGAACATCTTTCGCCTCTCCGCAGTGCTCGGTGTCTTCGGTTTGTACCCTGAATCGCTCGAATTAGCGTCCTCTTCTATGGAACTGGAATCGCTCTTTCCGTTCTCGGCTTCCTTAATTCGTTCGTGATCAAATGTCGGAGACTTGTCCGTATCTTGATTTTCTGGTGGTCCAGAGTTATCGTTGGCATACCCATTGCTCTCGCTGTTAGGAGCAACTGGTACGGAGAAAACCTTGTCGAATGAGAATTCCTGTACCCCCGACACTGCTTGGAAGGGTTTCGGACCAAGGCGAGGCTGCGACAGAAAAATGCATTCGATTAAACATCTATATAAATACTGTGGTTAAAAAAAATAACATTGCTTCAGTAAGTCATATGAAATGTTTAACACTTGTACGAATAGTTATAAAACTGATCGCTATGATAAAATACTGCTAGTAAGACTACATTAGTGTTATACTTATACGACTCATGTTCCTGATACCTATCTAACGTACTTATTTCAACATTACTAATATCTTATTCTATCATAGCATCCCATAAGAGGTATATGCATATCAACTACCTCGAAACACAACATTTCGATATATCCGATACTCCTAATCTTATCTTAACTATTATCATATATCATTATATAAAGAAACTAGATTACTAAACTATAAAATAAAATGCAATCGGGTTAAGATATGTACACAAAAGTACACACAACATACGAATGAGGTAGGGTCACAGAGTTCTGTACAGCGATGTTCGATATACTAATCTGATAAATACTAGTATCTCAATTTTGACAGTTCAACATAATTCGAACCTTGTATCCTCCGAGTGAATTTGGAACGACAGATGTAACGACGGTTCCAGGACTGGGTGACGTGCGAGGTCTAGCCACTGGCTTGGGCTCATCATCGGAAAGACTATTGGCTCTCGAAGCCCTGGGCAGTGGTTTCGGAGGCACGGTTTGACCATTTTGCACTTTTGCTTTCTCGTCATCCGTCTCGACTCTTCTAGAATCTTCGCACTTCTCAGTCTCGAGTATCTCTGGCTTTTTCTCTTTTTCTTGAACGATTGGTGGAGCCTTAGTGAAGCCTTTCGGAGCAACGATTATGTGCGACTTAGACTCTTTCGCAGGTTCCACCTTAACCTCTTTATGACTCTCTTTCAATGCTGATAAATTCCCTCTGTGCACCTGGAGGTACGGGAAACTGCTTAATGAAACGTCCTTGTCGATCACGTTGCAATGTAATTGTCTATCCACTGGCATTACTCGAATCATCTACTACTACGCACATGTAGCTACAAATGGTTACGTTAGAAAAAGCAGAGCTCCAAATTGAGATAGCGAAGAACTTGGAAGAGTTTCGCGCCAATGCATTTTAGCCGCGAGCTCGACAAAAGTCCGACTTATATCACTTTTGTATTCTTCGCATGTTTATAATGCAGGCTCGCAGCAAACTTCTACATTACCTCTAAGTCACACACGGCGAAACTTAATGTTACTTACACGGAATAAACTACTGAACATCGATCATCAGCTAAATTACACGTGCCAGGAATAACGCGCAGAACAGTGCTAACGCATAAACTATTAAATACATTAGGAGGATCTGAAATGTGAAAAGAAAATATATACAAAAGGCGTGAGCAACGGAACTGTCATGAACGTATAAAAGATTATGACTAAGCACAGCTAGAATAAGCACTTACAGCTCACTGCAAAGTGCACGATGTACTTTGGGATTTGGAAATAACTTTCTTTTACATTATTTACAACATCAGGTTTCCATTAATCTAAACTGTATGACTGTATCTAGTAGCAGTGATCGTTATTTCCAACTCTCGGAGTACATTAAGGAGCAGCACATTTATACGAGAAAACACTAGAAAACGTAAATAATACTATGAACGTCACAATATTTGTTTCAGTTGATGGTACGTCATTGCAGTTTTCAATGGGTCTCATGGAATCTCTAAATTGATAATGGTAAATAGGTGGTCGCAAATCTATGACATTGTTTTAACGTATATAAATCTGATCGTTAACAGCATTGTGTTAAGAACATGTTAGGTCTATTTGTAGGCTATCCATGAATGTTTATATAACAGAATTAAAGTACGACTTACAACCATAAATTTCATTTAACTATTTAAAGGCTTAAAATTTTACCTCTACTGAATAAGTAACGGTATCGATGACGTAATCCATTGAAATAAACTATGTATTACTTAGTGCAAATGCCAGATATAGGAATTACAAAACACTAATGTTGGCTTTATAAATCATTTGCATTCGACATGAATAAATGGAAAATGCACAGCATGCATTTACATAATTTCACACCACAGAAATTCGTGTATATAAAAATAAAACATTACTTACCGTGATCGGTTCTTCTCCTTTTGTTCTTTTAGCAGGGTCAAGGGATATTTTGGGTACTGGAACATTGTTACCCTTAATCCAAGCCACTGCAGTATTACGCGAAACACAACCTGACGTTTCTGGATATATATCTGCATGAAAATCTCGATAAGTCTGAAAAATCAGATTGCAATTTACATACAGCAGTAATCAGAAAAATGTAAAAAACAAGATGGCAAAAGTAAAAAAAATTAAAATACATTTCAGTTTCAAGCAAGACGCGACAATTACCTTTCTTGGGACCTGATACGTAATAGGAATAACCATGCTAGAGGTGAGTTGTAATAATCTGTTAACTTCAGCTTGCATAACGTTGAGGGCTCTCTTCGGAACTAAACAAACTCCTTTTGTTTGTTCTCCGCTATGTCGAATACCTTCCACAAGGTATGGATCTTTCTCGGTTACTTCCATATATACAATTGTCGTGTCACCCTTGCCAGCTAGGAACAGCATGTTGGTGTCAGGATCGAACAGCGGCATCAAAATTCTGCCATGAAACGTTTTGAGTTCATATTTGAATTAAGAAATGGCCGAGACAATGAAACTACTCTCATACTTCTAGATTAATTCGTAATATTTTTCTGCAACCTAGATATTGTTTCTGTATACTGGATTTCTTAAACTTGTCTACGATATTTACCCTGTACTGCAATCTAACTCCAACGTCTTAATGGGTTCTCCAAAGTTTCTTATATCTCTGATGAAAACTTGACGAAGTCTAGCGGCATCAAAGCCTGTGGTGAGTATTCGTTCACTGTTGCCAAGCCAAACGATTCTGGAATCCTTTATGTTCTGATGACTCTGTGCAGTGTTGATTACACACTCAGATGCTCTAGGGTCGATGATTCTGACTTGTTTGTCTTTGCAAGAGGTCGCCAAGACCGTACCGTCTTGCTTCCAACTCAGCGACTGAATCACCTCTGCATGGACATTAGTAGCTTAATGGAAAAAATAAAAGAATTAACTTCACAACACTCATCCTTTTCTTAAATAATCACAATAAATGTGCCAGTTTTAACACTTGTATCGATATCGCCTGTATACAAATTTTGTCACAGAACTGTCACAAAGATGCAAATGCTTACAAAATAGTTCTTGCTGCGACAGTACATCCCATAAGGATAAATTAGTGTACGATGCAGTTGTAAGAAGGTGTTCAGCAGTTGGATGCCAATGCACCGTTTCCACTCGTCTTTGTCTATGTGAAAACGTACATTCAGGATTGCACAAAGATTCCTCTAAGCCTGTTTCTGGAATGTGCCATAATTTGACCTACAATTCAACATTATTAGAATAGATAATAAATTCTCTACAATTAAATAAATAGAGCAAATTAAAATGTCATAAACTTACAAGACAGTCCAGCGATCCAGTGGCGAGTAGTCCATCGTGGAATGGGGAAAAATCCATATCCGTTACGGTATCTGCATGAGCATGAAGCAACGGCATGGTTTTGCTTTTTCTGCCACAGTCATCGAGCGGAAGTACAGCCAAACTAGATCCTGAGAGAAGAATATTAATAATATATATAAAAAGAAAAAAAAACCATTATTTCCAATACAGAAAACATTAATTTCACGTTTTATTCAATATTCCTGTGGCATAAATGCAAAAATTATTTTCAGCATCTATGTAATTTCATATTTAATTTAAATTAACAATTAGCACATATATTTTCTAATTTCAATGAAGAACACAATCTGTTTCTTGTCACTGTATACTTTCTGCACACCCAGTACATTACCCGTATATACCTCCCTAGCTTTATTGAATTAACATTATTGGATATCCCTAAAAATAACCGACCCTGAAGCGAAGTATAAAGTCAAGGCCAGCCTCGGTCCTTACCGTTATGATCTACATTAAATGCCATAAATGCAGCGGAAGCAGTAATATTGTTCCCATATGTTTGGTACGATCCAACGGAGATGTCTCGAATGCAGGCTTCAGGTTTAGGCACGATTGGTGCCGCATTCTTGTATTTTGATGCTTTGAACCGCCACGCCATTTTGATGCTTCTCTTGGCTCCGTCAAAACTTCGTTTTAAATCATGTAACCTGTAGATTACGGTAATAGAAAATCAATCTCACCGGTTACAAATAATATTAAGAAGTGTATCCCGTGACATATCGCAAGAATAGTACCAAAGTGCTACTCGGCCAAAGCATCTGTCAATCAAAGTGGCAACTTGGAGAGGAACTTGCTAGGATACAATAAAAGGCATCACCAAGAGCCGATTATCCAGTGAATGCTCTTTTTATGTTGTATACGTGTTGCGGAGAGCAAAGCTGTGCATGACTAATATTTTTTGGGGGGTGAGGTTCACCCCACCCTTAACCACTGTACGTGCCGTGGAAAAAATTGATTACACTCCGCTCAAGCGATATTTATCGTCAAATACGGCGTCAGCAGGAATACAGGGATGCTCACCGAGTGCTGGGAGGCTTGACGTTCGCAGTGACTCTCGAATTCGTCAGGAGTCGGCAGGAAATCGCGCTAAAAAAGCGATATAAACAGCAGACGGTAGTAGGCGTCTCGTCCTCGTCTGTCCTCGTCGGCCGTCGGCAAGCCGTCGCAAGTCGTCGCAGACGATCGGGCACCGTCGGCTTGACAGACGGAACGACCCGGAAACGCACGAGAACGGGAAGACTAGGGGAAACTAGGGGAAACCTGCCCACCAATGGGAACGCCCAGGGTTGGGTAAGTATAATACATCGTGCAATACGCAGTTTTCTACATGTATAATATTTGCACATAATATTATTTTATCTCGACTGTGATTTTTCTTTTTTCTTTATCAATTATATATTTATTATTATTCTAGCGGTCTTATACCCCGAATCAAAATATTATTTCGGTTATTGGATCTCACGCCTAAAGTCGGACGCATCCAAAACATGTTCTAAGGATATAGTTGAAATTGTTAAATTGTAAGGGAAAAATTGGCAATAATTAGAACATCATTCTTTAAACAATATTTACTTTTTCCTCTGCTCAAGAATTCGACAAGTTCACACCTAATGTCAAATAATACATTAACATTGGGAGGTCGAGTAATTTAGATTATTAGAAAAGATGAAGGAATTACAATCAGTTGGAGGACTTTGATTCTTTAGCATTTTGAAGACATTGAGTAATATATAATTTTGCCAAACTCTGAGAGCAAAATTGGGAAATGTGCTGACTGTATGTGCTGATTTGTCCCGCAACGATCATAGGGTTTAACCTTGGAGGAACAGGCAACGGTCTGATCAATTTGTTAATATCATCATCTGGAAGCGGTGGTTCGTCTTTCGCAGCCCTAGCAGCATTTTCTTGAGCTCTCTTTAATAGCAGTCTGTTCTTATCTTGCTGTTGACGTATAACCAAATGTTGATAACGATTGAATTTCATAGCTTCTTGATTAAGTTCGTCCACTCGGTCCATTAAACAGCGCAATTGGGTTTCCAAGACCGTCGCAGTACCAAGGTCCAAATATTTTGAACCTTCTTCCTCTGGAACCATTTCTTCAAGCTCCGACATCATAATATTAGTTAAATTGCTGTTCTTTATGACAATGGGAACTTCGACGAACAGCGTTTCATATCCAATCTTGAGTGTACGTAGAGCTTCTGGTGTGAACTCCCCCTCTTTGTACATCTGAATTGCTTGAGGAGTCAAACGATACGCCTTCAATGTTAAGAAGCCTCTAGCCGATTTTGCAGTATCATAAATTACAACAACCGATTCCTCAATAGAAGTCTGGTAGTTATACTGCGATTCCAACAGTGGCAAATTCAAGAAATTACCAACATCGGCGCTCTGATACCACCCGACGTGAAAGTGATCTACGTTAACTCTGAAAGAAGGTTGGTTTGATGCATTTAAATTGGTTAAAATATGAGAAAACGCTCAACGGCTATACGATATAAACATAAGTACAGTAATCGTTTCGAAACAATCCATACCTGCGCAGCCTCCGCATCATGGCGCACTGATACTCATCCTCATCCGTAATATCATCGTGTTTGGGGAAAGGGAAGCAATTAGTAATTTCCAAACGATTCTGCACAACTAAACCCAGCAGGGCCCCTTGTACAACGTCCATGTTACTCATTGACTCTTCGTGGCAATGCTTAACCATTTTCATTACCGTCAAACCTTCGCATTGTACGTAGTCGACGCGTGGTTCCGTCTCTTGTATTCTTCTAGTTTGTCCTCTCGTACCCATTTTTACGTTAACGATATTTCCTTCAAGATACGTTCAACACTTTTATCAATTATACCATCTGCTTTCAATAGACGACGCGTCAGGGTTGGGTCAAACGTTGAGGTTAGAAAGAACGTTTCACAGACAGTGCTGCTCAAAGCGGTGAATTAACCACAGAGTAGTAAAACACCTGAAAGGTGCCTATGATTCACATTATACAGCTATAACGAATCTCTTCCACCTGGTAGTCACCCACCGAAACTAGTTTACATTTAGCATGGACATTTTCTTTGTCATATGGAAGTTTGAACCGACATAACGTTCTAATAAAATTTTAGACTCGTACATTTGTAGCATTAAAAAATTGTCTTCTGGCCATTTAAATATTACAAAGATGTGAGTACGGAATTTACGATACTATTCTATCTACACAGCAAACATTATTTCCGAATCATGCTTTTGTTAAGAGGATGTGAAACCTGCATCCGAGGAGCCAATCGTTCATGAAACTTTTTTCTGAACTGGATCTACCTAATCGTTTCAAACTTTACAACTTAAATATGGAGGCTATAAGGGAGGTCCTGACACCCATGAAATCTCTTTTTTTTTTAAATGTATAAAATAGCTGTAAACAAATTTAAAACAATTGAAATTTCATGGATGCAGGACTAGGGCTTCTATGTCCACGTGGTACGATTTGAAACGATTCGATACATCCAATTTGGGGAAATGTTTCATAAACGAAACCTATTTGACGCCACTTTTACATTACCTTAAAAACAGAATGCCGAGCTTGAGGAAGGTTCTTATAGAAAATTGAGTATTTTATTCGAAATTGAACAATCCATTTTGCTGGTACATTCGCTTAATGACATTCACTTTTAGAGTTTTCATGTACGTATAAACGAACGTTGACAGTGTTAGATCTCTTGCAGAGCTGGAAGTTAATAAAGTATATTTCCTATGAAAGCAAGATTTCGGCTTGCTGAACTCACATCAAGATTGGCACTTTGCTGTACAGTTCCACTTGTAAGTCGCTGTAGTTTTTACGGTAACACAGTAGTTTTAAATATTGCAATGATTATTGACTGTCCTATGACGATAGTTAAATTACGCGAAAGTGACGTCACATCTCGACATTAATCGCGTTTAATGCGGTTAGAGTATAAATTGGAGTAAAATTCAAAAGACGATACTTATTTTGCAATTGAAATCAAGAAGCGAAACTTTACTAATCCGTTAATGCTCCTCCTTTGCAAGAAAATTGGCTGAGAATAACCCAATGCGAAGAATGGATGCTGAGAGTCTTGATAACCGTGGAAGTGAAAGTTTCCTTGCTCAAGTCCTACGTTGATGGCATTCGGTGAGGTCAGTCTTCAATAGAATTATGACATCAGCTACGAGGAATTCCCTCAAAACCTCAAATCTTTCGCTAAGTTATTTCTAATTTGTTAATTTATATTGGGTTAATCTGAGTATGCGTTTGCGCAGAACCATTTCCTCGTTGAGCTGGTGGTTGGTATATTGGTTGAGTACTTCGTTGCTGACCTCTTCTTTTATTGTACCCCTTAGCTCCATTTCCTCCGCTACCTCCACCTCTTCGAAACTCCATACCTGTTGTGTTAACAATGAATTACAAGTTGTAAAATAAACCTGCTGCATGTTATTCCTTCGTAGATCTATTAAAAGGAGGTCTATGAATATTCCACCCTAATCGACGTACCATTTACATGATTGTGACCTTGATCGTAACGTGACTGTTGACGGTTACCTAATCTTTGATCTTGCCTTTTTGAGTCTCGCACATGCCCCTGTCCCCCTTGTCGATCCTATAATTTGATTAATATATTAAAGCATTAAACAGTTCCAATATATCGGATACTGTCAGTAATTCCACACTTACATCATCAGTTATAGGTATGCAATCAATTTGTAACACTTCCTCAAAATTATGGAAATTTTGAAACTGTACCACACACGTCCTGTCAGAAACTGCTGTCACGATAGCATTATAATACTGAAAGATTTACACAAAAATAAACAAATAAGTTATTTGAAGCATATTCTTAAAATTGCACGATAGAAGAATATAAAGAACAACGATTCAAAGTATTTTAAGCACTGAAAAGGTGTAATGTAAGAAAGTTCGTACTCTATTATCTTCCCAATATTTAGCCTTGCATCTGTCACCTGGTCGCCATATCCATGGCATACCATCAGAATTATTAGCTGAGCGACTGGCATTATAATTCATCTCTCTTCGGTCTCCATTTGTCGTGTTTTCCTTTTTACTGTCATTGTTATCTTCAACCGGTGTATTCTGATATTTAATCTGTGGGTTTTTATCTATGGGAATTTTATGAATCGCCTCCGAATGAATTAAACCTTGACTTCCATCATGATACACACGATTATGCCTGCCAGTTGCATCATAATATTGCTTGTTTCGGGAATCAGGTTCAACCTAAAAAGAAATTTTATTACGGTTCATGTTTATTTTTTGTATATTTTCACTGACGTTTAATCCATTTGTATGACTTCGATTGTATATGTTCCAATTAATTACCTGATGATCTCTGGGAGTATAACTAGTTTTATATCCACCATCCTGCTGCAAATAGTTATGGGTTTCCTGGTTCCTTTGAAATCTTGGTGGTTTGTTTGAATGCGAGGTGTTACTGACACTATGTGGTGGATACTGCGATGAACTATGACCTGTACTATCCATTCGTTTGTTGGACTTAAACTCTTCTACATGCCTTGGCGCTGTTTGGTAACTTCGACTTCCTCTTTGATTTCTGTGCAAAATGAACAATTTGTAAACTTTCTGTTTACTTAATACTATAAATAATAACTAAAAATTTTAATGACGAAGATTTGGTACCTTGCAGCTTTTGGACCTTGTACGTAATCAGTGGTTTTTAATTCGTACTGATCACAGTTGCTGTCTTTATCCCTACTTTGAACTGTGCTGCTTCGCTGTGAGTTGTCATCTTGCATCTCTAATTGTGCAGGCAATTTATTTTCGAGAAAGTCAAACAATGAAACTTTTCCACTACTTGGTTTTCCCGTACCCTCTTCTACTTTCTTCTCGTACCTTTTACCCCTTGGTTCTCGCGTTTCACGTGTATTACTGTAACGAGTCATAGTTTAAATTTATTAACATGAAAATTAAATAAGTCAAATAAAAATTTTTTAACGATTTATGAATTCAATACCTGTTTTGTTTACTATCGGTTCTTTGTAACGACCTCAATGCTTTATCGACATTGTTTCGATTTACTCGCAATGCATACTCAGCCTGTTCTATAGAAAAGCCTTGATCCACTATCCTCTGTACGCCATGGTCTAGCAGCTTTAAAAAATAGAATATGTAAAGAATTCTAAACACAATAATGTAAACATATCTTGCGTTTCATTGCATACCTGCCTGTTTCCTCCACCGAATACTTTCTTGCTGCCTTGTTTAGCTGCTTCAGCGATTGCATCTTTTCTTTGTGCCTCAAATTCTGCATTTTCCTTACTCACCTTCTCCTTTTCAGCTAACGCTTTAAAATTTTTGTCTTGATCCGAGACTTTCACAATTTTTTTCCCAAATGGAATCCATGGTGGCGGACCTCCTTCTTCCATTGATCTCACTCTTGAGTGTAATGCCAGTTTCTGAAAAATGTTGGTTGTAATATTTGTTGCAGACATGAAAAATGTAAAAGTGTTAAGAAATCAGAACACACTTTGTTCAATTCCCATTTTTCTACAAGATTAGAAACTTTTCCTCCTAGAATGCTAACTATATGGGAAGATTTCAATAATATAATACCATGTAATGCCGGCAGATCTCCAGCTTTTATTAATAGCTTTGTACCCGGAGGTGTGTTCAGACTGTAAAGAAGAAAGTACATACAATCTCTCAATAATTACGACCACTAACATGAATGGCAATGCCTCATTTAATTTATACATTACCTCAAACAGGAAATGGGTTCTATTTCTATAGCTTGGAAATTATTCCGTCCATCGGTTAATGACAATTTAAGCATACGTGGTGCTGCACGAGACTCTTCATTATTCTTTGGTGCCGCCACATTACGTAACTTTTGTATTTGCAAGACTATATTACTAGATTTCAGGTCTCCTTCTCCGCTGCTAATCTCTCGTAAATCATACTACAAAGCACTTTTTATAAGTACTAAATAAATGAATAAAAATATAAAAATCATACAATTTGAATAAAGTTAATACATACATCGGTAGCACGTTTTATTATCTTTTGTACATCGGTTATGTTACCGGAATCGCTCACTGCATCGTAACCCTGCTCCGTCAGATACCTATAAATATTAATAAAACGACTTTGGGTAATATAATAAAAATGTAACATAGCATTTATTTTGTCTATTCGCTACAGACTGATATTAAAGATCGACATCTCTTTGCATATCGCAAACATTGTACTCACCAGCCTTGTTCCGTCAATTTCTGCATAGTGACAACTGTCATGTTCCTGGCATCCGCGGATCAACGACTAGCAACCACTTGATCGTCTCCTTCACCTGATAGTTGGAGCAACCGATTTTAACATTCCTATCTGTATTACACTTACCTGTATATAAACATTCACCAATTTGGACATACGTCAAGATTGTCTTTCGACGTAACTGATCCTCTATCCATACCTCTAAGATATCATTGAAGGACAGTGTGCTTGATCGTTAATCATTACTTCTATTGTCAATTTTTGAAAGAACTATGAATAAAAGCACAACGAACCGCACCTTGCCTATCGAACAAGTCGCCATCTTGAGCGGCCATTTTGGAAGAACGGCGCGCGCCTGGAGTAGAGTGACCTTAGACCATATATATCCAGACCTCGCATTGAACCTCCCACTCTCAGATTTTCAGTAAGCAGAATGGTTTTAACTGTGTGGGTGAGTCGTCGGGACACGTGGTGTATTCGTTACCCCTTCCACTGTAAGGCTGTCTGCATAAATATGTGTCTAAAATCTGATTGGGTCCGAATGCCGTCGGCACACGTGGTCCATGTGGTATTCGAGTTTACCCCTTCCACTGCTATGCGAGATCTAGATACTTATGGTTTAAGAGAGTGACGGGTGTAAAGTTTGTTTACAATAAGCGATAGCGATAAATTAGGGAATTGGAATTATATATGGGTCAGTTTGCATGATCGCGGTCCTGCCCAGGGTTGTGCAGCAACACCTTTACCAAGTTAAACTACAAATGAAATACCTAATAAAATACACGACCAAGATGGCGCTACTGTAACCTCACTTTTTCAAAGTGGTCAAAGTATACATCACTTGTGAATAAACATTTTAGTCAAAGAAAGGGGTAAAGAATACTGGTAAGTAGGAGCAAACCATTAAAAAGATCTAAGCTTTGACATTCCAATTTTCCGTACATTCCATAGAAAATTTTGAATTTTAAGCGTATCAGGAATAGGAACTGCAGAAACATAAAGTTCTATATTCATGTAATTTACATCACGTATGAAACTTGTTAAGTTAAATATCTAGTAATTTACTGTAAAAGAACTACGTAAATTAGCTACGGTATTTTATTTACTCAACTCTGGGCGTTTATTACGTATTTTTGACGAGAGCGCTCACTTCTCGCACTTTCATCTCACATGAGTTTATGCGCCGAATTACGTATTCGCTATATGAAAGAACGAGATCACTAGCACTTCCGGCCTAGTAATATTTTAAATAAAGGTACATACCTTTCAAATCGAAAATTGTTGAGAGGTTATAAGAACTTAATTAAATTTTACTTCACAGCTAGTTTGCGGATCGGTGTCATCCCCTAAGGAACCCCTCGGTTGCCCCGTTCATGTTACCTTATTGTCCCTTCTTCCGACCGATACCTGACCGCAGATACCTGAAAAAGGTACACTTGTACTCCCATTGCATCATCTTAAAATTACGGATTTTCCGTTAAGGTCCGTTTCCGTCACAAATTAAAGAGATTCGGCTAGAGAGTACCTTGATTTTATGAATATTATTTATTAAAAGTATTAAATTATTTTGAAAAGTTAGTTTAAAAGTTAAAAGTTAATACATATTTTCAGAGGGGTCATTTCATATCCGCTTTTCAATGGAAACTGTTCGATGGAAAGTGGATATCGTGAGGGGACATCGAAGTTTCACCTCTTTCACGGTTGTTCCTCCCAGACCCAAAAGTCCGGGAAATTCAAAACTGGGTCATTCCTTATGATCCTAAAATTATCAAAGAGCGACCTGAAGTGCGCTAAACCCTCGCGGTACACTATTTTAGATTGCCCGTACATTTTCACAATCACCGTACGTGCTTCGAAAGTAGGTCACATTCCTTACCAAAACGAAAAGAAGAAACGCGCAAGGTGCGTCTGTGTGTCTCGGCACTCCATTTTGAGGAACGAATTACGTCACCCTTATTCTCTGCATACTAAAAAATATGACGCCCATACTCCCACCTCGGTCAAGGACAAAGTAACGTTCGCAATGTAGGCGTTAAAATAAAAAACTTCGAAAATACTTTGGTTATTCTCTTATTTTTTTTTCTTTCCATCGAAATCGCATTAACCAAGATGGACTCGACTGAGTCAAAGCGATGTTTATCCGTTGAGTGTAGAGCAACCCTCGTTAGATCAGAGATGGTTATGTAGACATTTTCTGAAGTATCCACCTACATTCGTCACTACGTTTAATTCGGGTTGTAGCTCCGCATCACACTCAGTAGACATTTCCCAGATATATCGCCATTTTCCAAGAACACCAGTATTTCCTCTAACACCAGACACGTAGGATGAATCATCCTGTAGGTAACATACATTCAAACGAATCTCGTTGGAATCACTTTAGTGACTACTAGCGTGTTTTCGTTATAAGATAAAGAGTGATAAGCCCTCGGGGCGATAAAAAATGTGCAAGTCCAGGAAGATGTGTACAAAAGATTAAACATAAGTGTCGATACATGTCCAGCAATTATCTTTATTTCTGCACAATTTATGATTGATTCTCCCTGTTTTCCACGGCATTATTAATACAAATATGTGGAGAGTAGGCAAATTTCAGGATAGAATATAAATGTCAATTCTCGTTTACATGTATATAATATAATACTAGTATGCAGTATGTAATGTGATACGTTAAATACCTTTAGGAATTTAACAAAGAATGTTAATAAGACTAATTGTACTGCCTCTTGCTGTAATGGCGACTGTGGTGTTGAAAAGTCGAAGAATCGGTTCCTTGGGAATTCTTACCGCGCATGCGCAGAGGGGGCCGCGCGCATTTCGACATATACCCCATGGCGCGTTCTCCGATATTTCCAGCTGTGCATATAGTCGCATACGTATGTGCAACCAATCTCTACTTACCTTGCCACGGACCGTAGAACCGTCGAATGAACTACAGTCCGATAACGTCGGCACAAAATACCGATTTCCATATCCACAGAGAGCCTACTATTGTGCAGTGAAGCTCGCCAACATTATTCGAAGCTCTGGAAAAAAAACCCTTCAAACTCTATCAATTAGGATTTTGAATATGAAAAATCATATACGTATTTGGCGCGAAACTGTCGAGTCAGAAAACTCGAAAGAGTTTCACGCCAAATATGTTAATTAAAGTTCGACGTCACCTTCGACGCAAAATAACAACTTTTACGTAGTAGTAACAATTATCTAGTAATTGATATCATTGTGCCATTTTCGTACAGATTAGCGGAATTTCTTTTTAATCCCACCGATATCATTTACGTCTGTCACGCGATCTTTAATTTATAAATCAGTCGCTTAAGAGTACGTTTTATGGAGAAACGATTTTGAAGGTGAGTATATTTGGCGCAAGGTCTTTTAACGCCGAAGGCGTTGATTTTTGGAGGATTCAAATATCCCCGTGAAACGGTTCCTGATGTCAGTTAACCTATATAATGTACAAACAAGCCCGAAAGAGTATTTAAAAATTGCAGAAAACCTCCAGTCTGCTCCGATCTCAACTGTTTCGTGTTTTTCTTCGTTCAGCGTAACATCCAGCGCTGGGCGAGCAAACGTTTCCGGCATCGAGGCTTGCAGAGAAATCGAAAGGACGCGAGACCCGCGCTGGGGCGCCGCCATGTTGCCTCGCTCTCGAACGTTGTGTACTCGCCGCGCGAGAGAGACACGCGATGCCGCGGGAGAGGGAGCGAGCGGGACAGAGAGAGGGACGCGGCGCAGGCTCGCACACGTTGCCGGAGTAAGCGATGACTTAAGCCAAGCGAGAGGTGAAGCTGTTTTCCGTTTCAGTTTCAGTTGGACAGTCTCCGGCGGAGCTAGACGGGAAATTTGCTCCGAGGTGGAACTCGGGTGTGAACGTTAGGTGTCGCGTGTCCACGCAGGTTGTTCTGGAAAAAAGTAAGTGCATGGGTGAGGATTGTTCGTCTTCACAGGAGAGTCTCTTGGGGTTTTCCCGCGCTGGTGCGAGCATTTGTTTATACCTGTTGATGCCGCGAGTGAAAGGTGTGCCACCACGCGGCAGGGATGTGTGTCGAGGTTTATCACCGTCTCGATCGCTTCGCCCAGGATCACGAAGGGCAAAGATACGAATCCCTACGCCCCCTTTCGACGAACAAAGATGGTTTTCCTCGACGAGTCGCGAATCCATTTTTCTATTGACATTCCTGCCCTCGCTTTCTCGTAGACTTTTCAGCGCGTTGTATTACTCGCATAATATAACCGATGATTAAGTTCTTCGCACATTTATGGGAATTTAATTCTCTCCTTTTTAAATAACAGTTAAGGTATTTTCATTAATTTTAAGAAACATAGGATTATTGTGCGGCGTGAAGATTTTAGTTTTTGAAACTTCCTATGATTCGGCAACCCGTAATCAGGAAAGTTTCTAGAGTTTCGCGCCAAATATACAATTTGCATACGTATATATGTACGTACGCGCGAAGTCATGATTGAGCGTGTTAAATTAAATTTAATTAATATTTCTGTATCTATGAATTTCTCGTGGATCAAGACTGAGGTACATAAATACAAATGGTTTTCGCAGTTAACCTTACTTACCGAAATACAATGGTAGTGAGATAATAGGAAAAAAAAATGGTCGTTCGTCTTAGCCACCACATGACGTCCATTTGTTATTCCCGATGTTTTTCTGCACTCCGGTTGCTTACCTATGAACTAACGGCGTCATCGGGATACGTACATCAAGATAACGAGTACTTGACGATTTAATTAGCGGAGCACGTTTACTTCGCGATATACTCTACTAACTTCGAAATAAGGCCTCCATTACCACGGCAAGGTTTATATCGAATTCCAGTGACGTTTCCCGTTTCTTTTTTTCCCTCTCACAGATGCATAGAACTGTGAATCATCTCGACTTACGGATTACTCCTGCGATTACGCACTACGATTATGCGTGCGTAAAATGGAAAGTAGGTTCTCCGATATCGTCGACACTCTGATTGAATTTTAATCACGGGACTGGGGCTTCTTCTCGGGTTAATGTTTCCAAATGAATGATTAACAGGTTTGACTATTAATTTCGACATTTTGTCAGTTTACTTCTGGCTTAAGGTGATGTGAAACACGCCGATTAACTTGATCAACGTCGATAAAGAAGATTTTCCTAAATGCCTACGTTGCCGACGTTCGTTTTTATATCAACAGCTATACCGAATTATATTGGGTATTGTACTAAATGGCATACTCCGCCTGTCGTTTTCGTACAATAATATCAAGAAATCGAAGTAAAACTCTAGAAATCCTCTGGATTCATGCTTTCTGAGGCCCTAATTGACTGCAGAGGGACCCCCTGCGCCATCTGTGATTTCCAGGTCAATTAAATGTTCACTCCGAGACCTCGTATTCCCATCGTTTTGGCATAGAAGCGTATACAACACTTTTTTTGCCCTTATCCCGTTCAAATGTGAGTTTATCGACTATCAAAGTGTTCTAAATTGTCGTAAAATTGTCCTGACCCTTTCGATTCTCATATCAGAGCCTTCGATAATTATATACTGATCGAAATATGAGAGATCGACGCCATTTTGGTTCTGGTCTGGGCTGAGTTAAAAAATTCTTTTGAAAAATCCAAACTTTCAATGTGTCAGGACAATTCTTAGATGATCAGGAGTGATGTGTCAAAGTTTCGGACAGTTTGGTCTAATACCCTTAAAATAAAGTGTTGTATTCGAATCGACTGATTTGAAGGATGTTTCACTTCATCTTAAGATGATGTGAAAGTGGCGTCAAAGAGGTCCGACTTTATGGAATTTTTTTCCGAACTGGCTTCTCCAAATCGTTTCAGACTTTACAACGTGAATATGGAAACTCTAAGGAAGGTCATGGTACCCATGGAATTACATTTTTATACAAAATTTAAAAAAATATAAACAAAAATGGCGGCCGTCTTCGGGGATGAAATTCTTCTCTCGAATGCGAATTCCAGGGGGAAGTGAGAAATCTTTATTTATTTATTGTCTGTTTGGTGTAGGAATTATGTCAGGCTCGATAAGAGAACAGAGTAGCCTTCTTATAGAATTTAATTCCATCGCTAAGTGCCTAATTCTCTTCGGTGTCCCCTGTACATTGAGGGACATAAATGCATTCTCTACGGTATGGTCTTGTCAGTATATGATGGAAAGGTATCCATGTATTTTACTGTACTGATGCGTGTTCCATGTTGCGTCAAGAGATGAGTAAAACTCGATGGCCTCGACTCGCCTAACTTTCGTATTTTATCCGTCGAAAATATCCCGTCTCTTTCTTTCGCCACGAATATTTCTATTTTTTTTCTATCATTGCTGATAAGAGACCTTAAGGTGTTATGGAAGTGGTATATATATTTTTTTTTCTTCAAAAAGCTTTATATATATCTTCTCGTTTTGATATGTATATAGAATGACACTTTCATATCACCTTAAGATTTCTGGAACAAAGCCTTGATTCATTCTGGTCGAAAATTTAAATTCCGCTCTAAATGCACGTTGAAGACTAACCAGAGATTAACAGCTTTGGAAGAATTTAAGTGTTAATAATAATTGACCGAAAATGATACCACGCGAAAGATGTTATCATAGGACTAGTCGATATCTATAAGCGCCAATATTCGATCCCTTTGATTTATCGGTAATTATCTATATATATATATATCTATCGAAGCTCGGATTTCTTTCTTCTATGGTACTTAACGAGGTATCTGTTCGTGAAAAATGAAAAAATATCAGCATGTAATAACGTTTTGAAAATTATCAGGAAAAGTCAGAGGAATGGTGAAAGAAAGTGTACTTAAAAAATTTGGCAAAGTTCGTTGAACAGATTTTCCGTTGGATTGAAGATTAGAAATAAAACGAGTTACGGTTTATCGAGTTTTGGCCTTTTTCTTTTTTAAGATCATTTTTATGTATTCGTCGGTATTTGGAACACCTCTACGTTATCATTACTTAATCGGACCGTGAGCAGTCTCACTTTCTTCAACCTCGTTTACCTCTGGCCACTTCCCGTCGTTATATAGGATCCCAGTTCGAATCGAAAGAAAAAGAAAGCGACATTCAACCCAGCTGGGTGTGGCCAGCTCTATGGGTTCCTTTCGTCATGGTGTGCCATGAAATGGTAGAGATGTGAATTTCCCCTAACTCGGGACTCCCCGGAATCTAATCATGCTACGGGATATTTAATTAATTAATTGATTAATTTTTTCATTTATGTAAACCCACTTCGCACGACTCCACGGAGCGACTTTTCAACTCACGTGTATATTGCGGCGATTTTTCTCCTCGTTCGCCGCACAGGAAAATAAAACGAATCCGCGACATAACCTCTAAGTCACGTGGCCACATATCTGCGGAGACGCGAAAACAAAGAGAATTGCTACGAGGAAAAGAATCCGACATTAGTCACCATTTCGTTGAGTTGGCGTGCATAAATGTATATTGCATTTTGCTATCACATATTTACTATCGAACGTAGTTCCGTAACAAGAATATATTCGTTAGAAATATCTTGGCATGGTATTTATAAAAATGATATGAAGAAAAATGTCAATGAAAGAAAGGAGAACATTTTTAAACATTTTGCGCATTTTATGGTTATGTAAATATGATACGTTTCATGGGAATTGTGGACATGCCTAATATTTCTAAAGAAAGATACGCTGAATGTATCTGTAAAGAATTCCGGTAATAGCAGGTCCTTTTGTCGATTCCGGGTAATCTTAGTACGCTTTTAATGACGCACTGTAACTGTCATCACAAAAGGAATTTATGTAACGACTCTTTTGCGTCGTTAAGTTCCTTTTCATGGTTTCGAGGTGAACCGAGTACGTCATCTTTTTACAAACGACTTTCGGCAGGGTGTCATCTCCACGTCTGTTTCATTATATAACGTTGAGCAGAATTTAAATAATTTGATTAAAATCATAACAGAATTATCGAGATTTCGTTCTTCATGAAATTTTCTCTCAGCGCAGGATCGCGGCTCGTACGTTAACGAATCGTGGAATAAATTATGACAATTTTTTAGTAATATCAATTCAATCTAATTTCACTTAATTAAATAATTAAGATATTTAGAGAAAACCTGATTTTTATCTACTCGGTTCTTTTATCAATGAAATTCCGTTATATAAACGATGATTAAATTCCCTGCCAATTTATGCGAATTTAATGTTTTTCTTAATAACATTAAAGTTATTTTCAATAACTTTGGCAGACTATCAGCGATTATTACGCTGCGTGGACATTTTAATCGCTTTTCTGAGGATTTTAGCATTAAAATCTTGCAATACCGGAATCGATCAGGTCGTCAGCGATTTTTCATTTTTTAAAAGAAATCTCGATTTTCACATACCTTGCGCTTTTATCAGTGATAAGAATAAACGCTTTGTTCATGACGTACATATTCGAGTATCTCCAATTTGAGGTCGCAATGTGCCATGAGGCGTGTAACCGTGTTAAATTCGTTTGTTTTTTTCCTTTTTATCACGTTTCAAGGACTCGAGCGATTCGCGATCTGGTTAGGCCTTGCGTCGCGCCATTGCTCGGGGAATATTTATTTAATATGCGGGCGATTTTCGAAACGCGGATTACCTTCAATAACGCCGACGAGTGACATCCTTGTAAACGGCACTTTTTAAAGTGGCTCAGAGGGGTCTAATTGTGCGGCCGCGTTTACTTTCGAGTCAAGGCGAGATCTGCGCTTTCAGGGTTTAGAACTCCTCGTTAATGGCCGACCTGGTGAAGAAGTAGGTCGGGCATAATTTTGTCGAGGGACAAGTGGGTTTATACCTTGTTTGTCGTCAGCCGAAGATCCGTTAAGATCCTCGTGATAAATCAGTGTAAAAAGAAAACATCGCGTAAAAGAATGCACGTGGGAGAGTTACCCCGTTTGGGCAAAAGGGGAGAAAATTATTTAGGTCTCACGTTATGCTTCTATGTACAAAAAGTACTGAAATTAGATTATAGAGTATGTAAGACGGATATCTTGTATGTTGTAGCGATAGTTTATCATTTCGTTTCTATTTGCAGATTTTTATTCTGCTGTACTTTAAACGTTTCAGTACCAGAGGTTTAAGGTGAAGTGAAACCCCCTTCAAATCAGTCGATTCGAATACAACACTTTTTTTAAGGGTAAAAGACCAAACTGTCCGAAACCTTGACACATCACTCCTGATCATCTAAGAATTGTCCCGACACATTGAAAATTTGGATTTTTCAACCAAATTTTTTCACTCAGTCCAGATAAGAACCAAAATGGCGTCTATCTCTCATATTTCGATCAGTATATAATTATCGAAGGCTCTGATATGAGAATCGAAAGGGTCAGGACAATATTACGACAATTTAGAACACTTTGATAGTCGATAAACTCACATTTGAACGGGATAAGGGCAAAAAAAGTGTTCAAAGTTTCGGACAGTTCGGTCTAATACCCTTAAAAAAAAGTGTTGTATTCGAATCGACTGATTTGAAGGGGGTTTCACTTCACCTTAAAATTATCAGCGATAACCTTGCTTGTCTTAATGGCGGCTCAATTCCGTGTAAATCCTGTTGACATATCGCCGTGAAGTGTACCGATATTCTTGTCACTCGGATTCATGGTACTCTTTCGGCAGGATGTTTTAACTGGTGATATCAATAGCGACGTGACGTTTACTGCGTACGTGACGCATGCGTAATGGCGATTACGTTACTTGGCAAAGAGCGTGAGTGGCAGTATCGATCTTTCCTCGATCATCGCGAAGAAGCGCGGCGATAATCGGAGTACTCTTAGAAAAGTATCGAGAATCGATGACGTCATGACCCACGTGACGTTCCCTGCGCGCCGTACATGCGCAATGGCCATTACGTCAGACGATCAACGGGCGTGAGTAACACTATCGATCCTTTTTTAATTAACTCCGTCTCGTAGTACTCACTGGCAGACTCGACTCGACATTGAATTCGTGCCAGAGTCAATGAGGGAATCGGGAGCGAGTACTTCCCGCGAGAATCGTCAGAAGCGAGATATCGATTATCGATTTCAACTGGGAGCGGTGTTCAGGTGCGAAGGAGTCATCGACAGATATCCTCGTTGATGAGAAGCTCGTTAAGTTATTGGAATAATCCCTGGTCGTAGATACTGAGGCCAATTGGAGGAAAAAAACCTTCAGACCTTGATTCCATTTCAGGATTCCATTTTTTTGCGATAATGTCTCAGAAATAGAAATTTTATCGCCAAGGCGGAGGGGCCGATTTTCAAGCGGCTCCTTCTTATTTATCCTTCATCCGTCTTATTAATATCTGTAAATCGGACCTAAGAGAAATACCGCAAATAGAGCTGCTTATTTTCATTAGGTGTGTACTTTTATTAAGCTCACATTTATAAAGGTATAAAATTTCTATACAATGTTTTTTTATTTATTTATACAAGGAGGAACATGCGTCAATCGAATTATCGCGTATTTTCATCGTGGGGAAGTTGATTGGCTTATAAGTTATTGCAATCGTTTAATAAAAGGAGCGAATTTTACTCTACTCCGAAATTTAGATAATTTATCTCGTAGATCTCTCAAGTTTTTGCGCGGTATTGTCGAATCGATTTTAATAATTAGCAAATTATTTATGTACAGGTCTTTCTATTCCGAAAAATGGGGTACGGAACGGAAATGGACGGCTGCGGGAACTTCATGAAGTACTGCCTGTTCTTCATGAACTTCATAATTTTTGTAAGTGTTAACTTCTAATTGTTGATCCGTAAATAGGTATTTTCCCACCCGATAAACATCTCTCGAAGTTCCAGAACCGTGAAATGTTATTAACTCAAGGCGAGCAGTCGATGAACAATTCTTTTTTTTTTTTCATGAGTAATTAACCAGATAGGGAACTGCGTTTACCTTCGCGTTAACTATTCGTCTACACTGATAGAAATCTATGGGAATTTACGTACATGTTTACATAACTGAAGTTTCACGTAGGAAAATGTAAACTGAAATAATTAGAAATTAGAAAATTTTGATATACCCGTAATATTCTATACTTACCGTATTAGTGCAGTTTTACTTGAATTAAATATAATATTACATTGTAATTTTCATTAATTTAGATGTCGAATGCGATATTACAGAGACAATGTAATTTTATTGCAATCTATCGTGGCGTCAAAATAACACGGTCGAGTATGCAAATTTGCATGTACATTATTATCTGTTTACGTGCGAAAAAGATCAAAAAGGAAATAAAGTGAGAAATTTTAGCGAAGGTATATCAAATTTCACATAGCATGCACATTGGTGAATGCCTATCTTGTGGATATCATGTCTTGAAAATAAAAAGGGAAGGCATTCTTCTCCGCCATTGTACATGGAGAGAAATGGATGCCGAGAAAAATATCCCCCTCAGAAATGCGAATTTTAACACCAGTGTCCTGCATGAATTATTTTGTACAACTCGTTTTTCTAAGATAAATGTAATATTTGTTAATGCACACATATGATAATAAGAATAAGTAAGCGGATAAATATTTGTCCGTGACCAGCTGGCCAGAAAATTCGGCCGAGGTCGTCGAGGTGCATCGAGATATTCTCCTTGCATAATTTAATCGGAATGTTCCACTTTACAGATCGGAGGTTCGGTCGTCGCAGGATTGGCGATTTGGGCTTTGGTCGATAACGTACCATGGATTGGAGAACTCATCGGCAGTAACTTACTTACCGGTGCAGTTTACATCCTACTTATCGGAGGGATCGTCGTCGCTTTCATAGCTTTTTGCGGATGCGTCGGTGCATCCCGAGAAATAAAATGCATGCTACTCACGGTAAGTTGTCGACGTCGAAGCCGGTAAATCGAGAAAAATCTGCGAGACAAAGTTTCTACCAGGGGTTAAGGTGAAGTGAAACACGTCGAGGAACTTGATCAACGTCGATAAAGAAGATTTTCCTAAATGCCTACGCTGCCGACGTTGGTTTTTACATTGACAGCTGTATCGAATTATATTGGGTATTGTACCAAATGGCATACTCCACCTGTCGTTTTCGTATAATAATTATATAGAAATCGAAGTAAAACTCCAGAAATCCTCTGGATTCATGCTTTCTGGGGCCCCAATTGACTGCAGTGGTACCCCCTGCGCCATCTGTGATTTCCAGGTCAATTAAATTTTCACTCCGAGACCTCGTATTACCATCGTTTTGGCATAGAAGCGCATACAACACTTTTTTTCGCCTTTATCCCGTTCAAATGCGAGTTTATCGATTACCAGAGTGTTCTAAATTGTCGTAAAATTGTCCTGACCCTTTCGATTCTCATATCAGAGCCTTTGATAATTGTGTATTGATCGAAATATGAGAGCTCGACGCCATTTTGGTTCTGGTCTGGGCTGAGTACAAAAATTTTGTTAAAAAATCCAAATTTTCAATGTGTCAGGACAATTCTTAGATGATCAGGAGTGATGTGTCAAAGTTTCGGACAGTACCGTCTAATACCCTTTAAAAAAAGTGTTGTATTCGAATCGATTGATTTGAAGGGGGTTTCACTTCACCTTAAGATGATATGAAAGGCGCTGAGAAATTTAATCGACGTCGATTAATTAAAATAACGTCTCGCTCGAGCTCAAGCGCGCGTTTCTCTCAGCACACTACACTGGGAGTTTCTCGTTCAAAAATGTATTTGGCTCGAAACTCTACAGAGTTTCTTGATTCATCTATACCGTTTTTGGTGGTAACGACATTTTGAATACTCAGGTGGGAACATAAGCTGGCACGTCCCGTTACCGACATTTATATTTATTTTATAGTCCACGTTTATAATTATAAGCGTTCCATGTGTCATTTCGGTAAAGTAATGGTGAAGAAATTTACGTATACTTTCCCCAACGATTTGACTTATCAGGTATACATAGGCTGACTCATTCATATCACCTTAAGTTGATTTAAGGTGATATGAAAAAGTCATTCTATATATATATATATATATGATATCTTGTATATTGATATATATCAAAACGTGAAAATATACAATTTTTCTCTAAACTGGGTACTCCAAATAATCTGAAAATTGAACACGTGATTGGGATGGTTCTAATGATGGTTTTGAAACTCGTGAAATTTCATTTTACGAAAAAAATTTCGTCTTTTGGTTCTTGCCCAAAATAAATACATTTTTTTTTCCCGAAAAATGAAATTTGGCAAATGAATACATTTTTTTTTCGAAGAATGAAATTTCGCAAATTTCAAGACCTTCATTAGGACTTCCATAATCCCATGTTCCAGTTTCAATAGCATTCGGTACAACCAGTTTGGAGAAAAGAAAAAAAAAAACCTGACTTTAATCGTGATTTAAAGAAAATCTGCGATTTTTTATTCTTTCAAAGAAATCCTGATTTTTATCAACCCTGATTTCTACAAAAGCTTTTCCTCGAGTGAAAACGTGAGAAAATGATTCGCAGATCTACCTTACTTTTTTGTTTGCAACTTTTATCCTAAGAGGACCTTTCTTTCGCAGTACCTCATCATCGTGTTCTTCCTGTTCGTAACGATGCTCGTTGGTGGAACCTTGGGCTACGTTTACCGTGAGAAAGTAACCGACTCTGTGGAAAAAGAGATGAAAGGTTCTTTAAGACTGTACGATCACCAGAAGTCTGTCAGGGAGGCATGGGACATTACGCAAACCACTGTGCGTAGTCAATTTATTCATTATAAATTTTACCAAATGTGTTAGTAATTTATGCAATGTTTAATTGAACATTTCATTGGTACAGCTTCATTGCTGCGGTGTCCATGGATGGGCAGATTGGGGCACGAATGGGCTTCGGATACCTCAGAGCTGCTGTCGTCCGATCCAACCTGGCCAGGTAAATTGATTATTCTATAGATCAATTAATCTCTTTAACTGAACACTTAATTCGTCTATCATCAATATTTACTTAGGTGAATTTTATTTAATGAAAATGTTGGAATTGATGATTACTAAGATTAATATTGCAGATCCCTGCAATACGCATCATCGGTAATGTCGACGCGCGGTTGGAAAACCGCGCCTTGGCAATCTACAGATGATAAATTGTTAAAGATCTCAAATTTGTTTAAGCGTTTACCTTTGACGACTGCATTACGTCTATCTCAATTTTTAAAATTTATTACCATGGTTTTGTTTTTTTTTTTTTCATTGGAACGCTTGAATTTTAGGATGTCCATGTTTATTCAAATGTCATATTTCTTTTAGTATTACAGCTGCAATTCCGGAGTAGACGTTAATCCAACCACGATATACACGGACGGCTGCTTAACTAAAACTCAAAACTTTATGCAGAAACACGCCGCCATTTTGGGAGGTGCTGGTATAGCCGTTGCGTGCTTTATGGTAATATTTAATAATCCTCGATATCTCTCACCATAAAACTCTTCTTTTACTCGATCAATGGCTATCGATGTACCCATTCTCCACGTTTACACAGACTGTTAAAATTAATCACCTGTGGAATATCGTTGTTGCACTCATCGATAACTATTTCCTACAATTGCAGTTCTTCGGCATGGTGTTCTCCTGCGCTCTGTTCAAGATGATAGAATGAAAGGATAGATGATATAGACGTGTCACCGTGATTTGTCGACATTTTGCGAACGAGATCAAGAAGGAAGAAGAAAAAGTGGCAATGCACTTTGCGACGCGCTGCAGTATTTCGCACAACTTTCGATCGCCATTGTTGATCATCATTTGTTCATGAGAGTGCGCTCATAGTCTCGACTAGATCGGTCAATAATCAAGTCGGGTGTTTCATTTTGGACGTTTGGTTGAACAATTTATATTTAATACTTCGCGTCATGCCGAGCCAACGAATGTTAACGTCAAGACATTCTAAGTTAATTTAAGAGACATCGTAACGTCATTGTTATCGGAATAATACTTACGTGGTCTATGATTTACACTAAAGATATGTCTGTACATTATTACAACCTGTAAGTCAGAGGTTTCTTTATTATTTATATTCTCATATTCTGATACAATCTGTCAAGTACGTACTGATAATCAGAATTGGGTAAAATGGTTCTCGATGTATACTTAAAATAGAACAAGCTAAATAGATTTGTACAATCCATTTAAAAGTGGAATATATATGTATATTTGAGGTAGGTTAGTGAAAAAAAATACAAAATGAACTTTTCACATTTTCTCGAGGACCTGTATTTAAAAATGCAAGGAAAAAATTAAATATGAGTTTCTGCGAAAGCTATTTCGTGTTATGTGTGTTGTTTGACTATTTCGAGAGTTAGTTGTTGATAGATGTGACTTTCTAATTGGTTCTTTTTTAATATACTAATTTGCGTACACGCCACGTTGATGTGCACAAATATGTATGCATAATTCAGCGTTATTTGTACTTTCTCTAGGTGTATTTACTGTTAATTGGAGATAGACTCGAGATGTATGTAACACGAGCTACCAAGCTCAGTCAAAACGACTGGTTATAGATGGCCAAAACAACCAAAAGAAACCGCAGAAAGACAATCCGCCGGTAGTTCTAGGGTTAAAATAGGAAATGCAAAGTAGTTTTCTTTATTCTCATGTACAATACAAAATGGAAAGAGGACATTTTGCATTTCAGATACCTATTCCAAATGAATTCAATTGAAATGGTTGCCCAGCTCTGCTGCCGATACAATGAGTTAGGGAAATTCGGGGAGGTGAACCTAGCTGAAGACATTCTTCGGTTTCTTAGCTTGTCGATAAGCCGAGGTTCCTTTAATTTTGCAAATGTACTCGATGTATATCCAGTGCCCTATTGTGCACCCTATAGAAATCCCTTGCCAGAAATTCCATTGGGGCTCTCCTGTACCGAGCGCACACAGTCGCGTATGCATTTTCCAAGCCTAGGGCAGGACGCGTGTACAAGTGTCAGTGACAAATACCAACACCTAAGTACACTTACGTACACGGCCATTGCGCACTGTTGGGGCTGTGGTCCAAGTCGATATTGCGGGCAGGGGCTCGCAGTACAGTAGTCGACATAAGTTCCTCCTGGCATTTGAGATTATCCCTGATATGGTAAAAGATCGGATTAACGAGTACTCATCGACTAACAGGTGAATTCGGTACCTTAAATTCTACGAGCATTTAAATGAAGGAATTATTAAAAGTACTCCTTCGTGGAATCTCCTCAATATTTACCGAGTTTTACCATTTCTTCCATTGATTATTCGCGAGCGAATGGAATGACGCAGGGGGGGGGGCGTAATCGCCATTTTGTCATCCCGCAGTTACGACGATATTAAATACAATACCTCCAATTTTTCTGATTTCCAAGAACTCCCTGTCGATAAATCAAATGATCTCTTTTTGAAATGATCGAGGTTTATAATTCCTTCCATTGATTCTTTTTTTTTTGCGAGCGAATGAAATAATGTTGGGGGAGATTTTATCGCCATTTTGTCAACTACAGGTAGGACGCCATGATATTAAATACAATACCTGCAATTTCTCCGATTTTCAAGAGTTCGGTGTCGATAAATTAATCCAAAGATTCAATATCCCTTGAAGATCCCTTTTAAGGTTACTAAGTTTCATAATATCTTACATTGATTTTTCGCGAGCAAATTAACTAATCTAGGGAAGGATGTCATCGCCATTTTGTCATCCCACAATTACGATACCGATTGCAATACTTGCAATTTCTTTAATTTCCAAAAGTCCGCTGTTACAAAATTACACCAAAGAATTAACATCCCTTGATGGAACCTTCTCGCGATCCGTTTTTGATATCAGTAAGTTTTATAATTTCTTCCATTGATTTTTCGTGAGCGAATCATCTAATGTAGGGAAGCATCGCCATTTTGTCCTTCCGCGGTTAGGACGCCATTTTGAATACTCGCAGTTCCCGGGAAAACCGAAGAGATTGTGGAAAAAAAAGTCGTCAAAGAAGGGACTTTTAAGCTCCGGTGCTTGTTGGGAGAGGAGGTTGTTTTTCCAGCAATTATGCGGCCCCTGTACAGTGTGTGTCACCCTCGGCCACTTCTTGCTTCAAAGTGTCACATGTTGCTACGTCGCAGGCGCGATATGAGTGAAGCCTCTCGTAACGAACTCTATACATGCTGTGTACACTTTCAGTTTTTCCATACACGTATAATGTACGCGACTTGGAGGTCGAACTTACTCCTTTCATACATGCTCGTGTCGTTTATGAATAGAATTCGTCGTCGAGAGCGACCCTGTACCTAACCTCGAAAACGCCACTCATGTCGAGCCGAACTCCGACAAACCCTACATTAACAATTGCCCTTTACGTCAATTATTAGTCCCCATAATTTCATCGAAGTCACTCCTGAGGAATTAACGATTACATAAAATTTCAAGGAAACCATTCCCATTAAATGACGTTTTTCAAAACACAGACAATTTATCTGACTAACATTTAATGGCACCACTAAATAGAACTACGTTACTACGAACATACTACAAGTAATATTTTATGTATCGGAATCGCAAAGAGTTTCAAACTTTACAAGGTGAATGTGGAGGCTATAAGGAAGGTCCCGACGCCCATGAAATTTCATTTTTTTTATAAATAATGTTTAAAATATCTATTAACGAATTTTTGTTTCAAATTGAAATTTTGTGGGAGTAAAGATTTTCCTTATAGCCTCCGTATTCACGTTGTAAAGTTTAAAACGATTCGGGACACCCAGTTCGGGGAAAAGTTTCATAAACGAGAGTTCTTTGACGCCACTTTCACATCGGTTTAAGAGGAAGCTTAATCGCCTCGAAAATTGTTTTACTATTTTTCATCTGTTTCAGATTTCATAAATATAAACGTCGTGGCATTTCCTGCAATATTCCGAATCAATTCGTGTAGAATCCCAGCGTCAGCGCAATTATTTAGCGAACACTTATGTAGTAAAGCGATACTACATATTTGCGAAACGCCAATAAACGCACTCGTAACGTCTGTATAATGGTAGCATAACCGTTATATAAATTCAGAATGTTATTTGTAATTATATAACCAGGAGGGATGCTGCAAGTGCACGAGCCTGGCATCCTCAGGACTGGTTTTTCGTTCTAAACATCCTACGCGGTTTCACTTCAAACGTGTAATCATTGAGTGGAGGGTCTTTTCCAGCAATATATTTATTACGCGTGCAGTAAACCAAGGTGTAAGTCCAGCGAAAGGTTAGCGTAAAAAAGTCGAGCCATATGCAGAGCTGGGTAACTCTAATTTAATCGAATTCATTTGAAATAGGTGTCTAAAATGTAAAATGCCATTTTCTATGAGAACAATTCCAAGTAATCGCTTTTTTGTTGTCAATATAAGAAAAATGTTTCTGGACAACAATGTTGCCGGCACATTTTCAAGTGTTCGCTTTTGTTGCAGTAAGTAAAGTTTCTTGTCATTACTGAATTCTTCTTCTGCGTGTGGCCATATGTCGAGTTCTCCTTATGGAGGGGAACCCATCATTTTCCGCCGACTTCCTTCCAGGGTGAGCTCTTCGATCGTTTTCTTCAGTCGGAACCTTCTGGAGGCATCTCGATATTTTCTTCAGGAGGAAGAAACGTCGTTGAGCAGAAAGTGGAGCAGCCGACTGTACGAAGCTCTCTAAGGTTCCGGTCTCCGTAGCCAGTCGGTGAGAGAGAGACGCCGCGATCCGCGATTGGCGAGCAAGAGAGAGAGAGCCTTATGTGTGCGGATGCTCAGCAAGAGCAGAGAAAAAGAGATCGATCCGCGTGCCCGGCCTTAAATTTTCCAATTCCAGGAGGGACTAGAAAACCGAGCCAAACGACCCGTTCTCGCGATTACGAGAAAACACCTTGCGATCCGTAATTCATCCGACGAGTCTCTTCAATAACCCGCCGAGGAGCATATATCTTAGCAGGGGAAAAAAATACCCGAGCCTTTATCATGCATCGGATAGAGACGAGTTACGTACATACGCCATTGTGTCCAGTAGAACTACACATTCACCCTAAGATTCCGGTGAAACCATAATAACATCATCCTGAGATGAAAGTCCACCGGAGAAAGTCCAGGCAAACTCGGAACCGATTTTAGAGTAGGTTAAAAAAAAACTACCAGGGTAACAATTTGCTAATTTGTTTACTCGACGAGGGATTCACAAATATCTCACGATCCCCCTGTAATTTCCAAGTACAATATACAATCTTCGGTGAAGCGTAGTCAAAGCTTCTCTCTGTAATGGAAGTATAACGTTAATATAATGCATAAGATTATTGTCAGCTCGTTGCAGTAATGGAATGCAATTATTTTCGAGCACGCTCGAGCGCCCGAGCCTTCGGCCGAGAAACGCGTAAGTCATTCCTCGACGCAGCCTGCGGCCGGTAATCAGCGATCTAAAACACAGAGTAATTGAATAATTGAATTAGGAACGAAGTAGGAGAGCGAGGACGGCATCCATGTCGCGCCGATAGCGCTGCGAGCGGTCCTTGCCCGCGGCGCGTCCTATACCGGCGCAGGTCGAGCGCGGAGAGGAGCCCAAGTTCCGGCCTTCGTTGTGGAGGTTATGGCGGCACAGGTGAACAGCCAGGGGAAAGGGCGGCGGACATTATTATACCTTGTAGCGCGGATGACGGTCCTACCGGCCGAGAAAGGGCGACGCGGAGTACTTACCTAACCTGCGGGCGGACCCGCGACCGCCGCGTCCGCTCCGGCCCGCGCGCGCTGCCGTTGTGGTGGTGAGCCGGCGAGCGCCGCCTTATATACCCGCGCGCCACACCAACGCGCCGCCACTCCCCACTACTCTGTTACCGAGCACGCCACGGGAACGGTCGAACGTGCATTCAGATCTCGCCTCAGTCTTGCCGACGCCTCCGAGCTGACGACATCGACGTCGCGTCGAAATTTGGGTAATCTCGGATTTGCTGAGCCCGGAAACCGGTGAGGGCGCTCACCCCCCGGCGACGTGGATTATAGTGCGACGAGCGACGAGGTGGTCGACCCACCTTTATGGGACCCCATGGATAGTAACGTGTCCACTGCGGCCTACATGCACCGGTGAGCACCCGAACTCGCTTCGATTACTGCTTCTTCTTTTTTTTTTTCACTCTTTGGCTTTTGTTTCGCCTTTATCGGTGCCCGGGACGCCAGGGAGGAATTCGGGCGTGGAGGCGAGGGGCGCGCCAGACCCGGCGAGACTCCCCCTAGGTGGAGGTGGAGGTGGAGGTACAGGGTGTTCCCGTCTCTTCGGGACACCGGCAGGGTACTATTCGATAATCGCATCGCCGCTACCAGGATACCTACGAGAAATTACGTTTTTCCTTTGATCGTATAGAAAAAATCAGTTACACGTGTTAACGCTGTACTATGATCTACTATGAATTTCAACGTTTCTTCGATATTTTTTATTTATACATGAACCTTATATATCATTTGCAATTTTTCTTTAAATACATGAACATTGTATACTATTTGCAATACATTTTAAATACATGAATCTTACATATTATTTGCAATATCTTTGTAAATACGCGTATTTCGTTTGCGGCATTTTCCATGTCTTAGTCGTGATGTGAACATTTTTAGGAACGCTTAGATCGATTTTCATTCACTTGTAATGTTTCATTCTGAGAAGGTTTCAGGCATCGATTATCAATATTAGAAACGAAAATAAAGAAAGTATTGTTAGCGTTGGAATAGAAATATTTGTAGAGGAAAAAGTCAGTCTGGGTGAGACAATAGTTGAATCTGAAATAATGAGAAAAGCTATATTGGAAGCATTAAATTGGCCCCCGACTGTGCTATAGAATTTACATTATACAGAATTAATCGAAAATGTTCGAAGTTAAGGTAGGCTGATTTAATTCCAATTTTACCCAGATTCAATTAATTCATCTTTTGGTTTTATTACCCCCTATTACGTCATCTACTCGTTAACTGGTGCATAAATGTTTGGGCACGCGCGAATATTGAATTTTAGAGAGAGAGAGTGGAGAAGTGAAAAATTCGAGAAAAAAAAAATATGTAACGCGAGCGGTTGCATACAAATATTTCCACATTTGGAGGTAATTAACCTTATCACTTCTGCATCCAGCTCGTCGAGATTTTATCATTGAGCGTCATTTAAATAGAATTTCGTGACTGCTCGAATTCAGTTGCGCTTTTTTTTACTTTTTCACTGACGGAAATGTAATCGTTCCGAGTCTGTTTATCGGGTTAACATTTATCGATTTAAACATACGCTTATTACATATTTTATTAAATTCATCTCGAATTTAATTAATTCATTTAGAAGTTATATTACATTTCTTCTTTTTTTTCCCATTTTAATTTATTAGTTAACTGTCTAATTGCTGAAATAAAACTGCTATTATCGTAACTGAAAATAATCGGGCGTGCCATCTTCGTACCTGATGCATTGTTGCGCCGTTAGGATCTTGCGATTACACGATAAACGCAATTAAAATAGTTGTGCGTTTTTATAGTAATACATGGAACCGGTTTAGGTGGTCTTTCTTCTCCCAAGGTCAACTAAAATTTATGCCAACACTCCATGGATGTCGTTGACCCCTAAAATGTGTTTAAATGAACATCATCTGTTTAATGAATTAATTAATGTACGAATTCGTATATTAAATAAATTAAAAAAAATGACGATGAGATTTGAAGAAGTTAGTTGCGTCCCGCCCCGAGGTAAAAAAAAAATAAAATCACGCGTGTTTTAGTTTCCTCGCAGACAATATATACTGCGGAGTTAATCTCAATTAGCAGGAGGAAGTTCCCCGAAGATGACGATGACGTCATAACCTAAGAAACATTTAATGGAATAAAATATATCGTTAAAAAAAAATTGGCCATTACGTTTCAAAATAAAATCTTATTTGGACTTAATTCACCAGTGAAATTTAGTTTATTACAGTGTTGCGATAGTATGGACAAATGTTAGGATAAAGTCGATATTTTCGATGATATACTGTTGGAGCTCAAGTTAGATTTCTGCTTCGGGCGTTGTTCTCGAGAGAAAATGGGATCCCTGGTCGTGCTCTTCTAGGCAATCGACGAATTTCCTTTCGTTACGGATGCTCGATGAAGCGTTCGGCACAGCCTAGAAAGCGCGATGCGAAAACCGGCTTCGTTATCTTCAGAGCGAGACACGAGCTCGCCAAGTAGTTTCGGCAAGTCACGAGACCGGCGACCGAAGAAGTCGGATCCGTCATGGTAATGGACGATCGAGTAATATAAGACGATATAAGACTATATGAGACGATATAAGACGATATAAGACGGTATAAGACGAACAAGACCATATAAGATGATATAAGACGATATAAGACGGTTTCGGCAAGTCACGAGACCGGCGACCGAAGAAGTCGGATCCGTCATGGTAATGGACGATCGAGTAATATAAGACGATATAAGACTATATGAGATGATATAAGACGATATAAGACGGTATAAGACGAACAAGACCATATAAGATGATATAAGACGATATAAGACGATATAAGACGGTTTCGGCAAGTCACGAGACCGGCGACCGAAGAAGTCGGATCCGTCATGGTAATGGCCGATCGAGTAATATAAGACGATATAAGACTATATGGGATGATATAAGACGATATAAGACGATATAAGACGGTATAAGACGATACAAGACCATATAAGATGATATAAGACGATATAAGACGGTTTCGGCAAGTCACGAGATCGCCGACCGAAGAAGTCGGATCCGTCATGGTAATGGACGATCGAGTAATATAAGACGATATAAGACTATATGGGATGATATAAGACGATATAAGACGGTATAAGACGATATGTGCCCATAATTATGAAAGTGGTCTAAGTCATATATTTTTTGTTTAGAAATTACATTGAATAATTTCGTTTAAAATAATATGGCGTGAAATAACTGATAAACTGATTTTTTTTTTTAATTTTGACTTAGACCACTTTCATAATTATGGGCACATATAAGACCAAATAAGATGATATAAGACGACATAAGACGGCAAGTTAGAAACGCAAGCAATACCCATATTTTTTTCATATAAATAATGGTAATCAAAATTATATAAAGCGTACAATTATAATTAACTCTTTAAGCTGTAGATGCACCCGTTCGGCATACATCACATATATCGTAGGCACTTTCAATAAATCATATGATATCCATATTAATCTGGTAAAATGTTAGATCATTCGGAACACCCAGTTCGGGGAAAAGTGATATTATTCCTAAACGAGACTCCTTAGACGCCATTTTTATATCGGCTTAATTACTGGAGGTCTTGAATTTCATTTTTCCACTAACTGTGATCTTATGTACTAACAATCTAGGGATCTCGTGAATCTTTCTAATTAAGGCCCGGTTCACTTCGAGTTAACACTCACTACAAATTAAACTTCGGTTAACTCGAGTTGGGGGACCGCGCCTTAGCTCGACTAACAAGGAAACATTCCCAAGTGTCCGCCCCCGATCTTATTGATTTTCATATNACACGTGTCTCTTAGATTTTTGTGTTCTTCAACATATATGAAAATTAATAAGATCGGGGGCGGACACATGGGAATGTTTCCATGTAAGAAACAGCTGATTAGGTTACTTATATTTGATGACGTATTTATGAACTGATAAAATATGGAGAGAAATGCTCAGAGCGTAGATGCCGGGAGATTTTCAAAACGGAAGGTATTTTGGGCATTTTATTTTACGCTGAACGGAGGACAGGAAGCGAAGTAGGAATTTCGTCGGCGAATTCTCGAGACCTGAACTATTTCCTCAGGCGTGGCCAATGGCGGCCGATCGAGTCTGCGGTAAGCCGAGGTTTACGCTTCATTCGAACTTAGTCGAAACCAGGAAGACCGTGCCTACTGACACCAAGAATCTCGGGACTTTAAGGTGAAGTGAAACACGTCGAGGAACTTGATCGACGTCGATAAAGAAGATTTTTATAAATGACTACGATGCCGACGTTAGTTTTTATATTGACAGCTGGGTCGAATTATATTGGGTATTGTACCAAATGGCATACTCCATCTGTCGTTTTCGTACAATAATTATATAGAAATCGAAGTAAAACTCCAGAAATCCTCTAGATTCATGCCTTCTGGGCCCTAATTGACTACAGAAGGACCCCCCGGCGCCATCTGTGATTTTCAGGTCAATTAAATTTTCACTCCGAGACCTCGTATTCCCATCGTTTTAGCATACAAGCGCATACAATACTTTTTTTGCCTTTATCCCGTTCAAATGCAAGTTTATCGATTACCAGAGTGTTCTAAATTGTCGTAAAATTGTCCTGACCGTTTCGTTTCTCATATCAGAGCCTTCGATAATTGTATATCGATCGAAATATGAGAGCTCGACGCCATTTTGGTTCTGGTCTGGGCTAAGTTAAAAAATTTTTTACAAAAATCCAAATTTTCAATGTGTCGGGACAATTCTTAGATAATCAGGAGGGATGTGTCAAAGTTTCGGACACTTTGGTCTAATGCCCTTAAAAAAAAGTGTTATATTCGTATCAACTGATTTGAAGGGTGTTTCACTTCACCTTAAGCCGAGTTTCCGTCGTCTCTTTCGCGGGCTATCGAATGGTTCAAACAGTGTCAAGTCGAGGCTGTCTCTTTCCCTTGAACCGAGACCACGCCGTGGCGTCGACCGGGTCTCAGAAGTGAGAGTTAAACCCGGCCTGGACGAAAGTCGTTCCGAATAACTCATGAAACGAGGAAATGGACCGTTGAAAGGAGCGAGGAAAACAATGATCTTGTCTCCGAGGACTGGAAACTGAGATCAGGAAGTCGAGGGTCCGACGTCTTCGCGCGCCTTCCATACAATCTCCAGAAGACAAATTGAACCCTCCTAAACGTACATACACCAAGAGATCGTTAAATGTTACAAAATAATACATTGACTTTATAATATTACAGAGCTATGATAAACAATGAGTACATTGACCAAGCGACCAGGGTGATCGCTTTTAACTTTCCGAGGCTCGTTAGAGGTTAGGTCCATCGAAGAGAGGGAGAATCGCGTTCTACGCTCTATTCGAAATCCT